TGGGTGGGTGGATGGATGGATGGATGGATGGATGGATGGATGGATAGATGGATGGATGGATGGATGGATGGATGGATGGATGGATTGGTGGATGGAGTGATAAATGGATGGATGGATGGATGGATGGACTGATGGATGGATGGATGGATGGATGGACTGATGGATGGATGGATGGGTGGATGGGTGGATGGATGGAGTGATGGATGGATGGATGGATGGATGGATGGATGGATGGATGGATGGATGGGTAGTTAGATAAACTGATGAAGTGGTGAGTGGATGGAGGGAGGGATATATCGATGGATAGATTGGTAGATAGATAGACTGATGAAGTGATGGATTGACAGACTAATGCACCAATGGATGTTTGAATGGATGGATAGATGAGTGGATGGATGGACTGAAAGATAGAAAGACAGACAAATTGAAATATAGAAAGATAAGGTAGGTCTACAGATGGAACAATTGTTTGTATAGAACAAAATTATATACATACACTTTTGATGTGTGATATAAAAGATAAGAGAATGTCTGCCATCATAGAACCTGAAAATGAAGGAATATGGTTGATACCTATTAAACTGTATGTTGCCATCGGATGACCTGAAATATGGAGATATTAATGATTACTAATAATAGAAGAGTTTACAGAAACAAAATCAATTATGAAAATATCACAATTTCTTAAATTTCTTGAAACTCTTGATATCAGGGTAAAGTGACTGCTAGCATGGTGGGTAGCATCGTTGGATTGCAATCAGATGTCATTGGCCAGCTAGCTGAGGAATATGCAGGAAGGGTATGTATATCATTCTAATGATGTGCGTGTTTAAAGGAGGTGAAGACATTGTATGGGTTAAAGTTTATTAAGATTTGTCAGGGTGAACACTGTTGTGAACTGCAATAGTTTTTGTCCTCATTATTTAAAAAAAAAAAAAATTCTTCCACTTTTGCTGCCACTTGATTTTTGTGTTGACATTTTTTAAGACACGTACTGCAGAAGTGGGCTCTCATGGGGACACCATTCGGGTGTTTACCCAATAGCAGGTGTAGGTGTTGTCAATCACCAGGATTAGCCTTCAGTTTTATGATCAACAGGTCTATTGTAATTGCCTGCCTTTCCCCATATGGCAAAGTAATATATAGATAGAGAGACAGAGAGATATAGAAAGAGAAAGAGAGAGAGAGAGGGGAGAGAGGGAGAGGAGAGAGAGAGAGAGAGAGAGAGAGAGAGGGAGGGGGGGGGGAGAGGGAGGGGGAGAGAGAGAGAGAGAGAGAGGGGGGGGGGGGGAGGGGGGAGGGAAAGAGAGAGAGAGAGGGGGGGGGGGGGAGAGATAGAGAAAGTGATTATGAATAGAGAGAGAGAGAGAGATAAAGAGAGATTGAGACCGAAAGAGAGACTTAAGAGTGAAAGGGAGAGGTGCTCCCAACCCCCCCTCATGCAATGGCCTTGTTTTTCTATAGCATTTCACCCACATAGTAAATCAGGTGTAACCACCCCCATCACCACCACCATCACCACCACCACCACCACCATCACCATCACCATCACCATCACCACCCCCAACACCACCACCACCCCTCCCCAACTCTGATACCAGTACTACCACAGCTGGTAGACCCACTACACCACTCATTCTCTACGCTGACCTTTGACCTCAAATACCATCATCATTTATTTTCTTTCTCAGAAATCCGAGCTTCAGCAGATGGAGGAGAAGCCCGAGAGGATGAGTGGAGCCCAGCAGCACCAGAGGATAGTAGCATCCTTACAGAAACAGGTCACTGCTGTCACCAAGAAAGTAGAAGAGGTATGTATGATGCTCCTATAGTATATATTGCTCTCGTTATGACAATATTGGACGAGTCGAATATTGTCATAGCGAGAGCAATGTTTTCTTGTATTACACGAAAACAAAGCCGTAAAACATTATTATCATTATCTGTATCAGGCTGACTAGCCAAATAACAAAATTTGACTTACCTCGATCGGCAAATGTTGCTTTGTTTTCATGTGATATCGGCGTTATCCATAGTTGAAGTTCCCGGATGACATAGCAATACACAAACAATATTGGTAAGTCATCCGGTTACTGTGCTAAAGATATTGAATACACTGAATTTTTGTACCTCTTAGAAGCCTTATATAGATCATAATACAAACTATTGATTGTGGGGAGTTGTGAGTTTGCCTAGTGGTTAGCTCTCACCCCCCCCCCCCCATCCTACCAACCTCGATTGGGTTGGGATGGCACAATGCTCGTGTTATTTTACAAATCATCTGAAAATGCATTGTAAAACAAATCCCTTAGTAAGACCTGTTTCGGACACAATAATTATTTATTTAATCAAATCTGGTGTCGGCGAACTACGATGAAATACACATGGACACTAACTGCTATGTGGCATTAAATGAAATGAGAATTGTATTTTGACTGTTTTATCAGTCGAGGGCATCAGCAGAGAGCCAGCAGGTGGCCTACAGTGAGACACAGCAGAGACTCCAGGAGGTAGACACATACTCCTCCAGGATCGATGAGGAGATGGCCAAACTGGATGAAGTCGGAGGAGAAAACAAAGGGTGAGTTTATCAAAAGTCACTATCAATATAATTTCTCTAGTCTCTGTTCCTTTACAAGGCCCTGTACAGAGGTGATTTAGTCTTCTGGGGGATGTTTCACAAAGATCCTAAGTTGAACTTATCTTTAAGTCGGACTTAACAGTTATGGAAAGCCATTAGCATCCTTGAAAATATGTTGTAAAAGTTATTATAAAAGGCGTAAAATGTTGATTAAAATCATTCATATTTTCTATCATCATGGGAGATTTCATGTTCTTAATGTGGAATTTATGAAAAGTCTAAAATATTTGAATATTTTGATTTTTAATATATTTCATTATAAGGCCACAAATGGCTCTCCATAATATTTAAGTCCAACTTAGAGTTAAGTTTGACTTAGAATCTTTGTGAAACACCCCCCCCCCCCCCCCCTGGTCACATTGAGGACCTTTTCTTAATAGTTATGAATAAACCAAAGTTTAGTTGTTTGCTTTTTGGTTTGTATGTTTAGTTTTGTATTTATTTTTTCATTTATTCATTTGATATTTGTTTAGTTATTCATTCCTGCATTAATTAATTAATTTATTAATACATTTATTATTTATTTTTAATTTTTTAATTTATGCATTTTGTTCTTTCTTTCTGATACCGGTTCATATATCAGTCAACCTTCCATGATTTCTCTTGTGAGTACCAAAGAATAACTTGGTCCATTGAACTACCTGAAATTCATTTTTTTTTACATAATGGGTTCTTTTCTATGAACCAACAAGCCTTATAAGAACTACCCTACAAGGTGTTACTGGAAAGTCTTAGATGAATATTCGATATGCCAAATGTGCTGTATTTTGAGATTTTTGAAGGTCCTTATGGTGGTTTGCTTTTCTTTTTTTTCCCTGCAGAGTTCTTAAAGAGCTGAGAGGCCTTGTAGCCATGAATGAGAGTCTGAAGAAACAAGAACAGGAATTCAGGGCACACTGTAAGGTGAGGTTTAAAGCGGGACTGCACGTCTTGTAGCTATACACTGGCGCCCTCTATACAGCCAACAATGCCTAAGCGGTACCTGCTGATCCCCCATGGTCCCCTTTTCTTATTTTAATTGAGAGCTGATTTGATGAGATGACCATCTGCCAGTGACCACACAGGGAGATCTAATCCCTCCTGGTCAAACTAGTGCAGACAGGCTTTAAGATAGTGTTCAGTATGGGTAAAACTGTTTGTCAGCTTTCTAATTCTTTTTTAATCCCATACTGAATAATATCACATTAAAGACCCATAGCTGTGGGCTCTCATGGGGAATTCGACACCATTAAGGTGTTTACCTAATAACGAGTGTTGTCAATCACCAGGATTTAATAGCCTCCAGTGTTATGACCAACAGGCCTTCTGTAATACTCTGCATTTTCCACCGATCGCCCCATATGGAAAAGTCAATATCTTGCATTTCCCTCAATCAATGACTCTCCGACAGACTGGGGGTTGTTTCTTGATGGGACCACGGGTTTGCTGTGTGCAAGGCTTGTACACCCATTAATGGTATTTCCATCAAGTCAGGTGTCAGCGAATTATGACCTACTGCACAAGAAGAACTGATGACCATCTCCCTTTAACAAAGCTAATTGTAACAGGTTACTCTTAATTGCTCTCAAATTCTAAGTATCACCATAAATATATTGTATAATTTGCCTGAACTACTTTAAGAAAATTGATAAATTTGTACTATATATCGTTTCTCAGTTTGACTAGAAATAAAATGATATTTGAAGATGAGGAACAAAACGGTGAGAACTAAAAGTAAATTCAATCATATTTTCACAATTTTCTTAAATGATATTGAGGAAATTGAAAGTGATTAGTGTTGGTTGAAAACGGCTTGAACTTTAATATTTCCTCTTTACACGACAGCTCATTATACAAGGCACGGGAAAAGAGGAACAGGTTTTTGGAAAATAAACATTGTTAAAACATGAAACAAGCAAACCCCTTTTTGTATTTTTCACTGTTCTTTGAATGAATATGTATTTGTTAACTTGATTTAAAGGAAGAGATGCAGAGATTGAAGCAGAGCATAGCGGATCTACGAGGTCTGGATGGTAGCGGGGAGGTCCAGATGTCTGAGAGAGATCAACTCATCGCCAGGCAGTATGAAGCTGATAAAGAAAAACTGCAGAAGATACGGCTACTACTGGTAAGATCACAATGTTCCATCCCAAATATACACATGCGCGATGGCTCATGGAGGCGGGGTGGCTCAGTGGTAGAGCACTGCTCTTATAACCGGGAAGGCCTGGGTTTGCAACCAAGTTGATGCACTAGTGCCCTTTGATATTAGGCATTAATCCTCATTACCAAGTCCCTTGACGAGGACTTATAGCCGTCGGTCCCCTGGTTGCTTACTTACAAGCATACACATGCAGTCTTTAATAGCAGTCTGGTAAAACAAACAGACAAACAAACATGCACTTTATTTGTAAAGGTCATCTATGTTTTACTTTAAAGTTGACTTATCTCCACAATGTGAGTTGTTTGGTTGTTTGGATTGTTTCATTATCTCCATTTTCTATGATTTTCACAGGGTTTTGAAAGATCACTTCATTCTTTCAAAAGAAATAATGCGTACAGTAATATCCTAATTCATATATTGATGCAGTATAAAAAAGCCCTTTAATTTAATAAAAACTACACAAAAGAATTAGATTGACAATTCTGTCTGCAGGGTAATATGTGTAAATATTTTGTTAAATAACAGTCCTACTGTACTAATAGAAGTCACAATTTGGTTAGCAATAAATTGTTTTCTGTAATAGTTTGATTAGAGATTTAAATCTACAGATTCCAAGCAACATATGTTGTATTCTTTTGGTCACAAGGGAGCTTTTAATTTGCACAACCGAGTTGGTCTGTGACGTGAAATTTGTTGTTGTTTTCTCTCTGCAGCTGCAAAGATCATATCTAATAATCATGTTGTCATACCCTTCTCTGTCAAATTTATTCCAGGCTCGTAAAAACCGTGAAATTTCGCAGCTCCAAAGAAAGATAGATGAAGTGCCTACGAGAGCAGAGCTTACTCAGTATCAGAAGAGATTCGTTGAGCTTTATAATCAAGGTAGATTTCATATTCAGAGTTATGTTTTTGACGATACCAAGATGGTGCTAAGACCACCATTGAGGTGTCGTAGTTGAGTGGTTTAAAGGTATACACCAGTTCTGGTCATGCTATTGCATTGTGAAAGAAACATTGTGGAATCGATCAGAAAAGGTTGATCATCTAGCATATAAGTATTGGTGTGCACTGCAAGGTTCTGGAATCATCAAAATGATAAGAAATTTGGCCCAGTCTTAGTAAAGTTACAAGCACTGTACACAGAAAGATGTATATGGGACTACGCGATATCTTTCCAGGCCGGGTCGATATGATAATTTACCAAATATATCAATTAGTTGGCGGTTTCCCGGCAAAATTTGTATCATCAGGTATTAGTATTCTTTCACATCATTGGTAATAAGAGCTTCCATTTAATTTTTTGAGAGGGGGGCGTTTCCAAAACTGGTCTATACCTTTAAGCACTTGACTTCAAGCGGTCATGTCTTTTAGCAAAGCATTAATCTACATTGGCCACTCCATACCCAGGAGGGAAATGGGGACTGTAGGATGATGAAAGCCTTGTGTTGGTAATTGCAATATGCCCTCATGGTGAATATATGGTTGGAATACTCCCCAGGGAGTGGAGATGGTGCACATTGTGTGTGAATGGAACCGATGATCGGGGTAAATATATCTGTAAAACGCTTAGAGATGGTAATTTGTATATAAATCCAGATTATTATTGACTTGGGACGTAGCCCAAATTTGCATCAACCTTGGGAAATAGTTCCCTGATAGTAGTTGAGTGTTTTTTTGCATTATCTGTTGATCCAGAATGCTATGAATTACAGGATACATGAGCTGAGAAGTAATTTTTTTTTAAAGAGTCAATTTCTGTTTAAGCACATCGCGCCATTCATAAATAGGAATGATTTAATTGAAAATAAGCATTAAAGTCTCTATATGAATGGACCTTGTAATCACTGTTCTATCAGTTTATTATCATTATTATCATTAAGTATTTGGCGTCACCTGTGCCTGGGAGGCTGAATCACTGTAACCCTCGGGTCTCTCCTCCGGGTAAACTGATTGGGGGTGTACAGGTGGACCACTACACTGGGGTTTTCCCCTACTCTTATACGAATAGTGCAGTTGGCTCTTAACATGCAAAGGTGGTAACTCTCCTCTACGTTTAACATCCTATCCAAAGGACAGAGTGTTTTCCACTAAATATACATGTAGCCTGCGTGTATGAAACAAGGGGAGGGGCATGTTAACACCTAACGCAGGCTTTAGTCATTCGCCTGGGTTGGATTTGAACCCAAGATTTTTGGTTCGACAGGCAGAAGCTTTACCGACTGAGCCAACTTGCCTGTTAACATGTTGCTGAAGCAAATCCTCTTTCTATTCCACGAATGATCTTGAATTGTTGCTCTAGATTAGCTTTGAAATACAATAGAAAATGTTTCCTTTTTTTCTATTTTCCTAGTTGGCAGCACACATAGGGAGACAAAGCAATTCTACACTCTATATAACACGCTGGACGATTCCAAACTATACTTAGATAAAGAAGTCTCACTACTTAACTCAATCTATGACAATTTTGAGCAGTAAGTATCCACTTAATTAAAGGTAGAATATCTAACATTCTCAAATGCTGATTGATATCCATTTGTCCGATGTTATAGCTTATGTGATTTGAAAATTCTAGGCCTCTGATTGGTCCAAAGTCCAGGCATGAAATTTGCTACTGACTGCTGGGCAGTAGAGCAAACGATATTGACCGGGCATAGTTCTACTTACGCGTACAATGCAGGGACACAATCACTACGCATGAAGATAACAATGTGAGACACGCACAATGCTCTTAGCCGGTTGAATTTTCCTAGACTGTAAAAATAAATGCATCTTGACAGGCGTATTTGATTAAAATATCTCCTTTTTGAGAATGGACACTGGGGATGTCGCATATAAAACAACTATTGACTGCTTATTTTTTCAGTTAAACTAGAGCTCCTGGTGATCTTGGTGATCGAGGCTGTACTGTGCCCCTAGACTTTGTCTCGGGGCACAGTACAGTTTGGAGATCACCTTGGGCAATAGTTTAAACTGTGTCCCTCAAAGCAGTCAATATTTATATTATATGGAAACAATGAGAAAAATTAGTTTTCATTGTTATGACAAAAATCTACAAATTTGTGTAATTACTCTTTATGGCTGAGGTTGAAACACAAGCCTTGACAAATGTTTGTTTTGTGAGGACTGCATCGGTATGTTATGATCTCTGACATCTTCTTGCTAAGATGTATTTCAAAGGATATTTGAAACATTGTCTGATTTTATTTTCCACTCTCAGAGCAATGTCCTCATCATCTGGAAAGGACCAGTTTCTCAAACAATTTGATCAAATTGTCAATGGAGTCAAGCAAAATTACTCAAAGGTTAGTTCGCTTAAAATATCTCTATTCGTTTCCCTCCAAATGTGTTATAGTGTCCCCTTATATTGTCCCTTTACTACTGAGATCATTCAAAATGATTTTTGTGATTGTAAAATGGTAGTAGGCCACTTGTATTTAATGTTTCTTTTTCAGTTGTTTTAGTTTGTTTGAAAATTATGATGAAATTATAGATTACGATAACCACTGAAAATTAAATAAATATGTTGAAGCTTATGCCCCATCTTTTCTTCAAAACAAAACAAATAAACCATTCATACAAAATACTTTGTATATATGTGTATACTGTTCCTACCTATTCTTTTTTGCTGTTATGAGGTTATGTTCATGATTTTGTTATTATTATTTATTATTATTAAAAAAACACCTATTATTCCTTATTATGTTTAACAGGGCCTCATGAAAGATTATTGGTGATAATGAGTCACCCTGTCTAAATATCAGAAATAAATGAATGAATAAATAAACGTTTGTATACATGTTGATAGATCCATATTAGGTAGATTCAACCATCTTTCTTCTTCTTTCCTCCTTCCTTAGGTTGAGAAGAAGAAACAGGAGGAGAAAATGAAGAGAGATCAATTCAATGATACCTATCTAGATCTGGTAGAGAAGCAGAGATTGTACTTCAAAACGGTCAAAGAATTCCAAGAGGTATGCCATAGATTTCTGCTTCTTCCAACAGTGCCATTATATCATAATAAAGGCATCTTGTCTATGCCACGTCAAAAAAAATACAAAATGATATAATCTTCAAAATGCAAACATATATGATGAGATATCTGATGTGGGAGGATCATGAAAAGCATGTAAATGGCCTTAAAAAATAATCCTCTCAAAATAACAATAACTTAGTGCATTATTTACATAAAAATCAAGAGTACCTTTGATAGAAAGTGGTCAAATCCAAGAAATATTAAAAATGTTGTCAATGGAACACAATTTTGAGGGTCTGAAATCTGTTCTTCTTGATATTTCCTGAGTGAATATAACATTGAGGGCCTATTCATCTTCAATATTTCTTTTTTCATCTTCCAAACAGGAATGTCGAAAGAATGAAATCTTGTTGTCCAAACTTCAAGCGGCAAATTGAGCAAACACACCTCAAGATTTCAACAGGAAACTTCCAGCTCAGCAACGATATTGCCAAAACATCTGTAGCCTATCAATACGATGGGCTAAATTTGAGTGATATCCAGGGGGTCAGTTTCTGCTATTTACTTAAAGGTAAAGACCAGTTTTGGAAACGCCCCAATTTCAAAAAATGAAATGGAAGCTCTTATTACCAATCATGAAAGAGTATGTTTTGACTAATACATGATGATAACAAATTTGCAGGGAAACCGCCTACTAATTGATATATTTGGTAAATTAGTTTATCTATTGGTGCGTGAGAGATAAACGCATGTGTCGCGCACGTGTGCGTATACATCTTTTTGTGTACAGTGCTTGTAACTTTACGAAGACTGGGCAAAATTTCTTATCATTTTGATGATTCCAGAACCTTGCAGTACACACCAATACTTATATGCTAGATGATCAACCTTTTCTGATCGATTCCACAACGTTTCTTTCACCATGCAATCGCATGACCATAACTGGTCTTTATCTTTAATTAAATATATATATATATATATATACATATATTTGAATCTAACACATCATATGCTTTGACAGGGATGCAGTACGTTTTTTTTTTCTTAAATAAGAAATAGATGCTTACAGGGAAAAGAAATGAAATACCATCATAATATATAAAATTTTGCTCCCTGGTTTGCCCATTGTTCCCCCCCCCCCTGCATGTTTTAAAACAGCATAGTGCCTCTTCTTGTTCAGTGGAAAGCTTGATCATTAACTCATTTACTGATTTGATATGGGGTGTGCTATTAATTAATACCCGTTCTGTTAACCTACATGTATATGCAACTCGAGTTCAGAACTATTTGGCAGTATGCTGCTTAACTCATCTATTAGATGAGTGAAAAGCAGAGTAAATGTATACAACATACTCTAGATAAAGCAGCATTCATGGTTTATGTATTTATATACCTGTAATTTTGAATAGATTTAGGAAAAATAAAGGGACATACAAGGATACCCACAGGAGTTTGAGCGTATCATGGGGGTGTTTCACAAAGATCCTAAGTTGAACTTATCTCTAAGTTGGACTTAACAATTATGGAAAGCCGTTAGCATCTATGAAAACATTTTGTACAAGTTATTATAAAAGGCATATACCGGTAATGTTGATTCAAATCATTCATATTTCCATTATCATGGAGATTTTATGTTCTTGATGTGGAATTTATAAAACTCTAAACTATTTGAATTTTTGCCCTTTAATATATTTTATTTCAAGGCTACAAATTGCTCTCTATAATGTTTAAGTCCAACTTGGAGTTAAGTTTGACTTAGGATCTTTGTGAAACATCCCCCAGATCAGTGAAAATCAAAAGGTATCCATATGATCAGATAGAAGTTTATTTTTTCTTAATGTAGGAGTGAAAATTCAGGTTAAAAAAGCAACAAATAAAAAATACACACATGTACGAGGCATGTCTGATATAATTTCTTTTTATTGAAAACATTGGCAAAATATAATTTGAAAGGTTGGTCACAATACAATACATGAAACACTGAATTTATTAGCAAAGATTGTACTCGCCATAATAACCTTGACCTAAGAATTATAGTAAAAAGGGGTCCAAGGATGTGCCTAGAATCTCTCTGTCTGTAACCATGGTCTGAAATGTGTGGAAGTTTCTTTTTCAAGCAAAGTACCCAGTTTACAACTTTCTGAGTAAACATTGAAAGGTACAGGTGTATTTAGAAAAAGTGCCATGTTTTGTACCGAAATGTAAGTGTTTCTCAAAGTGATTTCATTTTCCAACTAAACATTTTATAAACATACATTTAAGTACTATCTCTGTAACCATACTATGTTAAGAGCGAAGTCGTATGGATTTATGTAGACTAGTCTGATCAGATTAAACGGCTTGGTTTAAGGGGATTCTCTAGTTTGAGAGACATTGTGGTTAGATGGAGAGAGATAGAAATATATATGCAGAGGCATAGCTTATATGAGTTCAAAAGAACATTCCATCTGTATATCAGAATTATTTATTAGCATAGATTTTCATTTTATGCAATCAGGAGCTCTCTGCATAATATACTTGTAAGTGCAGAGACATGCTAGTACATTTACATTGTTTAACAAAAAGGCAACAATCTTTTTATAATGGAGTCTCAATCAAAGTCTTGTACAAACATTTTAAAGGTCATCATATATTTCTGTTAATTTGTTATCCTAATTTCCGGTATATTAACTTACATGTATGTCTATGTGCTACACAGCATTATAGAATTTTCTTGATTGAAAGTGTTATACACAACAAAATCACTGAAAAGGAAATTGTATTTTTATATCCGTGTTTATGTATTAAATGAAAAGAGTTTATAATTATTTCAAATAAAGACTTATAAAGGCAAACAGTATTTGTGTTCCCTAGATATTTATGAATAAGTACGAGTTTCTGTACGCTACAAGCAGGTATATATATATATATATATATATATATATATCTATAGGCGTAAAGAAAATGGTCATAAAATGTCAGAGTTGAGAATTCTCGCACTTTTATATATATATCTTTTAGGCTACTTTCTCTACATGTGTGATATGAGTATATTGATATATTAAGGGGTGGTTCACACTTCAATAAATGAGCATTGCCAGACAGAGTTTCTTAAAAACAAGAGGTCAGACTTTGTAAAACCTCAAGCTGATCATTGCATGTCTATTTAGAAACAAACTTTATGCCAAAGTCTTCTCATGCAACAAGTCTGCGATTGCGATATGACAAATACAAATATATGATTATTTCATTAAGAATCCTCAATATTTATTCTGCAAAATCTTGGAGATAGACTGCCACTCTATGCAAATCATTACAGACATTTCTTTACATTTTTAACAAGTCTGAAGAATTAATAATCAATCTCTGTTACAAATGGCAGAATTGACATTTGAGTTTAAGTACATTTTTTTAATATTCTAATAATTTTGAATTTAGTTAAATATCAAGTTGCATCACCTATCAGATGAACCTCTTCAGGAATATTCTAAAGATAATTGCTATGATATACCCTGTTCTACTTGGATATTATAAACTATAGAATTATTTTCCACGATTGAACATAATAATCTTCTTACACAAGCAAAGCAATATCTTATGGGATCCATTGCATCATACCAAATGAAATCAAATGCCAGTGACAACACGGCATATTGCTGTAAATGGTCAACAGATGCTGTAATAATAATCTGATAATTTTCCATAAAGTTCATGTACCACATGGATATACAAGATGAACATTATTCACAGATGAAAATAATTTGACATATGAATACGTTTTATGAACGCAAAATTTTAATGAGGTAGTAGTTTATTAATTTTGCGACATGATACTATCTTGACAAAGGGGCATTCACAAAACTTAATAAGTTACTTGCATCCAGTATTTTCCTGTTGTACAGCACAGAAATACAAATTCAAATGATTTTATTTTTATGAATCATTTACTATTACAAGTATAGGTACATGTACCTCTGAAAATTATTGCACAAATTATGAGACAAGTTTTTCTTCAAATATTTCATTTGCAAAATACTGTATAATCAGTGGCAGATCCAAGATTCTCTGATAGGAGCAGATAAATTTCCTCTACCCCCCTAAAAAAAAAGAGAAGTCCTTTGGCCTTAGCCCTCTTCCTCTTTCCTCCCCCTTTTTTTTGACAGGGAGGGGGAAGGGGGATCTCATGCCTCCCCCTGGATCCGCCACTAACGATGAATTAATGATGACTTTACGATAAGGCAATTTTTGGAGTACGTGTTGGTCCTATCCACTTGTGACCTTGGAAGTAAAGCTAGAGCTTACTACAGCTTACTTTTTCTGGTCAACCAATCAAAGTCCTGAAAAAAAGAAAGACAAATTCATTTTCATTTATTGTTTAATACGCTATGATTTTTGTTCCTCAATTGTGATCAAAAACACATTATAGTTTGCATACTTTATGCTTTCTAATTTATATAAATGATGACAAAAATGAATGGGCTGGCTTGTTCCTTTTGTAATTTTGGAGCTGTGTGTAAAATTGTGTGGCATACGGTCCCTGTACAGCTAAGATCTTCAGAGAGAGAGAGAGAGAGGAAACACTTACGGCCCCCTATATTTATATACATTTAACTTGGCCAACTTTGAACCTGAATTTTGAACGACGGAACTTATAAAAACAAGGTACCACTTTATCGAAATGGGGAGGGGGTGGGGTCATTAGGAGTTCTTAGACCATTTTGAGGGGAAGGGGCTGTCGGATCAAATTTGCAGTCACGTTAGAAGGAATTTTCTGACAAATAGGCCAGCAAGCAAGCAACAACAACGGAATTATAAATATATGTATAAAAAAAAAAAAAACATATTTTTTTAAAGATTTGCGGATAGAACAGAAACTTTAGGGGGAGGATGGAGGTTGTCACACCCCTTCCCCTTCCCCCTTCAGACCAGGCCCCACAATACTTGACTTACCTGCTGCTTACGCTGAGCCTGTGGACTAACCATCACATTGATGAGTACTGGTTGGTTGGCGTGCTTGGTAAGACTGAGACGAAGCGCATCCTCCAGCTCGGCGGGCGTGGTCACGTGGAAGCCGACGCCCCCAAAGGCTGTCATCACCTGGTCGTAGCGAGCGTCAGGCATGAGGGCAGTCGGCATGAGGCTGTTGGTTCAATAAGATGGATGAAACAAGGACGTAAATTAATCCAAATATTAGTCACATTATGATATGATGGGTGACTATCTAGAAAGAGATACAGTGAAACCTGTCTATAAAGACCGACCAAGGGAGACAAGAAAAGTCGTCATTATAGGCAGGTGGACGTTATGTACAAGTTCCTTCAGTAATTATACGTGTTTCAATGAGAGACCATTTTCAAGGGAAACAACAAATGTGGTCTCGGTAGACAGGTGGTCTTTCTATACAGGTGGTCATTAAAGCAGGTTTGAATGTATATATATGCACATGAAGACTAAATAATCTGAAGAGGAACAACGAGGAGAAAATTTGGCTACGAAATAAAATATTGAAATGAATGATCCCTTTATAAAGTGTATGCTCTCTTTGCAGATCTTCAAGCTCTAACAAATTAATTCTGGATGTCCTACAAACAAGACAGTGTGGTGTTTTTTCCTTCTATGTTATGGATGCCCCTTCTCCCCACCCCCCTCCTTCACCCCCCCCCCCCCCCCCCCCCCCCCCCCCCCCCCCCCAAAAACAAAAAAAAAAATAAAAATCTCCACCTTGTTTTATGGTTGATTTACTTGAACTGCATAATCATGGACAAATGTACAAAGAACTTCAGGGATACAAATTCTATGTTTGAGATGATCTCAGAACTGATAGCGATACTGATAAGTTTTCGGGATACCAATTACATGTACAAGCATTTTGCTTTTCGGTGTTCCTAACCATAGTTTTGTTTACCGTTTTAATTTGATAAAATGTTATTGTTTTCATTTGATGTTATTTTATGGTTGAATCATTAAAGACGAAAATACAAAGTTAGAGAAGATAAGAGATTTCCAGACGCTAACCTGTGGGGGCGCTCTTCAGGTGGGGTGGCTTCCCATGTTTCCTTCTCTGTCCCGAAGCCAATCCCATTATTGTTGATCACAACAATGAGCACTGGAAGATTGTATCTGCCAGTGAAATAAAAATCATATATTTTATGTCATGTTTCTCCCCTGTTGTATACAAATAGGTATAGCTAATGTGTGTGTAAACGCTATTGAATCATTTCTAAGGTGCTCCATATATCTCTTTGTAACTCCATACCTTCCCTACCCTTTTCCCCCAAAAAAATGAATACAAAATAAATAAAATAAAAATAAAATAAAATAAAATAAACAATACTACTACTAATAATAAAAATAATAGATAAAATAAAAATAAAATAAAAATAAAATCAATGTAAAGAATTTTCCCCAAATCCATCCTCATGTGTATCTGGTACATTTGCATATATGTCAAGACAGACTACCTCTTTTGAAAACTTGTCCGCTAAGACTAGAGCCAGAAGGCTGTTGACTCTATGTAAAAGTATAAGAATTAATTGATTAAAATTAATGCCCTTCTGGCTCTGTGCAGACAAAATATATCTAATGAATTTCAATGGACTGACCTAATCTATAAATGAAACATCTGGGGGGTGTTTCACAAAGATCCTAAGTCAACTAAGTTGGACTTAAAAATCATGGAGAGCCATTTGTAGCCTTGGAATTAAATATACCGGTATTCAAAGGCATTCATAAATTCCACATCAAGAACATGAAATCTCCTTAATAATAGAATAAACTGAATGATTTGAATCAACATTTTATGCTTTTTAAAATAACTTTTACAAAATATTTTCAAAGATGCTAACAGCTTTCCGTAATTGTTAAGTCCAACTTAGAGATGAATTCAACTTGGGATCTTCGTGAAACACCCCCCAGTAATACTTACCTGCAGATAGTCTCCACCTCCATCCCTGAGAAGCCAAAGGCGCTGTCTCCCTCCAGACACACGACACGCTTGTTTGGCCATCGATCCCTGGCGAGCAAGGCTGCGGCGATGTTGAATCCCATTCCAACGCCCATGGTTCCAAAAGTGCCTGCGTCAAGTCTGTACAGAACATGAAAGGGTAAAAATAGTAAATATAGTTTATATGATGCCTTCTTGTATAGTGCTCATATCCATCATGCTGTATAATATGCTCCTGGTGCTCCAAAACTATTACCCTGGTCATAGCTGAGCAGCTAAATATGTAGTGCATAGGCATATTGGGTACCCCTGTACACCTGGGTGGAGAATGTCAAATACAGATTAATGCCTTACTTAAAGAACAACAGTGCCTGGCTGAGGTTCAAACCTTCAACCTTTTTTATTGAAAGTCAAGAGAATGAATCATTCTACCGTGATGCATGCACAATACAAACTAATCAGTTATATCAAATGAAATAGAAGAAAAATATGATGCTTTGTTTGGTTATCGATCCCTGCCCAGTAGAGCTGCAGCTATGTTGAACTCTCTACCCACACCCATTGTTCTATAAGGGCCTGCATCAAGTCTATAAGAATATAGAAGAATACAAGCTAAAACACAAGACCATGTATCATTAAAGCAATGCTTCAGGAAAAAAATATATAACTTCAACCCTGTTAAGCATCATTATAAATCCCTGACAGGTACTTGTCGAGCTTGACAAAGTCATCAGTTTACAAACTTTCCCATTTCCTAAGGTGAAAATATATTTTGGGAGGGTCAAAGGAGACAACTTTTAGATATGAGACAGAAAATTGTTTTGCTGCAAACAAGTCATGTACATGGAAGAAGACATTACTTTGATAAGGCCAATGATATTCCCTCTAGATAATATCTATGATAAATGTAATATTTTGTAACATTACAAAATTATCTTACCTGTGTCTTGGAGAATGATTGAGAAGGATCGTCCTTCCAATGTCCATGGTGTTAGCTCCCTCGCTCACTATCAGACTGTCCTTGGGAATCATTGCTTGGACCTAGACAAGAATAAAAAACACTTCTGATAAATTCAATTCAATTCAATTCATTTATGTCCACAAAACAGTCGTGTGAAGTGTACAACAATGCAGAAAAAAAAACATTAAAATATTACAATAGTAATATAAAGATGCAATAAAGAACAGTACATATTTAACATGATAATTGGGAATATGTTGGGGGGGGGGGGGCTAGCAAAGGCCGACGTTCGGATAAAATAATGATCAAGCAAAACCATATGTATGTATCGTTCTAATTCAAAGTCTAATTTCTTACAACCACTCTCAATAAAAAAGAACCACTACCCCCTACTCTAATAAACATATCGATAAGGTCACAGCCCAGCTTTCTCTATAAATCATTCCTTGCACCAATAAAGAAATATTGTTATGCCTCTAATCTTGCATTGTTTTTTGCCTTTGTACTAAATAAATATGATTCCTGTAAAATTTGTTTAACATTAATATCACAGACTTGCTGACAAGCAGTCTCTCTGACTGATGCTAATGTTAGTGTGAAAAGAAATAAAGTAAACCCATGAATCACTTGATCAATCAATCAATAATTCAGTCAATTAGTCAGTCAATCATAAAATCGATCAATCAACCATTAAGTCAGTTGTATAGTCAGTCAGTCAATCAATCAGTCAGTCAGTCAATTAATCAATCAGTCAGCCAGTCAGTCAGTCAATCAATCAGTTAGTCAATCAATCAGTCAGTCAATTAGTCAGTCAATCAGTCAGTCAATCAATCAGTCAATCAATCAATTAATCAATCAGTCAATCAATCATTTAGTCAGTCGATTAATCACTCAATCAATCAATCAATCAGTCGGTCAATCAGTCACTCATTCAATCAATCAGTCAATCATTTAGCCAATCAATTAATCACTCAATCAATCCATCCATCCATCAATCAATCAATCAGTCAATTAATTATTTAGTCAGTTGATCAATCAGTCAGTCAATCAGTCATTCAATCCATCCATCAATCCTTCCAAGAATACCTTCAAATATTACAATATCATCTGCAAAGCTCAAACAGAATGACGATACACTTTCACATTGGATTTAAGCCCTTCTGGAAATCATCACAGCAATGCCCTTTTAGCTCCCAGAAGTATTACCTTAGAGATTGCTGCATAGTAGTTCATAGGAACAGACATGTCGCTGGCTAGGATCTTACTCTTCTCCTCATTATCTTTGACCTTTGACCTCAGACTCTGCCACCAAGGGGTGTTGGAGGGGTAGGACCATCCACCCCTCGCACTGGAAGTCTTTCCAGCATCTATAAGCTGAAATGACATAAATGTGGTTCATCATGCAACTTTCAACTTCATTTTTAAATGTCTCAGCGTTAATGAGACAATCATTTCTTGCATTCTTTCAAAGTAGACATGGTAGGGATATTAGAAGGATGGTTCATCACTAAGGCTTTAATTGGTTTTGAAATTTATATTTAAAAAAAAAATGATGATCAGCATTTTCTTACATTCTCTATTAGCAGTTCTATTCATAATATAAAACAATAAAATCACTACATCATCATTTAAGCAAACTGAAGTTTGTTACTTTCTTCAAAGCATATTTTGTTACTGAAGATGGGTGGGGGAGGGGGTGGGGGCTAATCAATTATCATAATTTATACATATATTTAAAAATATATTTTCTACAAAATTCTAAATCTTGGAATCTTTAAAACTGATTTTGAAAAACATTTTTTTGGGGGAGAATCATTACGATATGATACCTGTTGAGTAACAGCTTGTAAGTCCCCAGCTAGTCCAATCACATTGTCGCTGTTAATGTTGTTACCCAGCTCCTCATGACAAATATCAATCTACATAAGCATAACCAAAACATAAGCAAATATATTCACTGCACATGAATGAAAGTATAAAATAAATAGGATTAATGGTAATTTCATAATAATTAAGAAAACAGAAATGAGTCATTGGTAAATGTAGGTAATTAATATATAAGTCTGACAGAAGTGTGTGAAAATAATTTTTTTTTTATAAATATATGTTTTCATAAACTATATTGAAAATAGTGGTGATGCAGGTTAATGACATTCTAATGACCTATAAGTAGCTAAAGATGGGAATAATAGAATAATATAACTTCCAGTAGGCATGCCAGAGAGAATAAAAAATGAGTATAAAAGTCTAGATTAAAGAAAGAAAAAACTTATAATGACAAGTGGCAATAGAGTCAATATCAATAAACATGTTAACAATCATAGTTGGTTAGATTGAAATCATAACATATATGGTAATACTAACTTGGATAAACTTTGTTTCTTCCCCAAACCTAGGTGGTCTTCCGAAATGAAGCATCCAGTTCAGACGAGCTCCTAACAGAAGGATCACATCGGCTTGTAACAGAGCTCTGTGATTAAAGGAGCGAAAAAACAAAAGAAAGCCAAATGATATAAATTATCTGTTTTCCTTCACCATTTTACCGAACTGAAAGATTTGATTCAGATCAAAGAGCTCCTTACAGAAAAAAAGAAAGGAAAAGCTCCAAAAACATCACTTTCCATTTAAAATATCTTCCATGTCTATATCATGTCTTGATCTCATAAATTAATGTGCCTAACAAAATTAAAAACATTAAACAAATAAATGAAAGAAAGTTACCATTGAATAAATATAATGAAAATGAACACCTTCAACTTATGTTGTGTTATCATTATTTCTCTTCTTTGAAAGTCTGGATAGGAAAATGAGATTTCAATTGGTTTAGCCTCGGGGTAAGAAAAAAGGGGTAAGGGGAAAGGGGTAAGGGGTAAGGGGTAAGGGGTGAGGGGTAAGGGGTAAGGGGTGAGGTGGGGAGACAAATACGTTCATGTCAGAATGGGAAAAAGTGTGAGCATAGAAAATTTTAAAAAAGACAGAGGGGAAGTACAAATTTCGATTTAATTCTGTTTCATAAAGATAAAGACAAAGCCAGACTCAACAAAAATGCGCCAGTATATCCGCTCGGCGTGGCAGCTCAAAGACGAGACGGGTTCAGTTCATTGTCAGCCGAGGTATAAATAGATTTATAGCGAAATTCAATCAAAGTATTTATTTAAATAAGGAAACAATGGACTACCTCAAATATTCTGTCTTGCATCTTTACAAAAATCCTTAAAATATTGTCAACAAATATTACTGTACGTCGAGGACCTCATAATTATTTGATAAATGTTATCAAAGTGATCGACACAACCCTAGCTGCAGTATAATAATGGAAGAGTCCAAAACCAATTACAGGTAGGAATTACGTAACAATAACAATCGGATGATCACGCGCAGGCAGGCAAGCTAGTTACTGTAGGTAAATAAAACATGTACAAATACATGATCTATTTACAAGGATCCGACTGCTATAAGTTAGCTATATACTTCCCTTCCCATCGTGCATGTAAACTGGTTTAATTATTGATTAATAAGTGATTTATTAACAAAGAGACCGGCTAGTTTATCTGACTGGCAATTGGACCTTTTCATGATTACTTAATTGTCAAAACATTCTGCTATGACAAGCGCTTGCATGTAATACTTGTGCCGTCGAATAACAATTAGCACTGTTTTGACACTGAATAAAGGTGGAAAGAGGTGAAAATGGCGGACATATTGAGCGCTGTGCCGCTGGTGGAAAACTATACGAGTGTTTCTACGGCGGTGGGAGTCGAGCAGGCATGGCGCTACATGAACGAGAACTATTCACGATTTCAGATCGCAACATTCGGCTCTGGGCTCGTTCATTTCGTAAGTACAATGATCAAACCGATCAAAACACGTTTTAGTTTTACAATTAACCTATAGTTTTAACCTAGTATCGGCCCTCGGGAAAATTGTCGACCTTTGATCAATGACCGTAATGATTGCTTTAGTAAGCAGTTCATATTTCATCAGAATAATCCAGTTGAGAAGAAAGCAAAGAAAGGGGCAAACAAATTTGGGCCCGTTAGTCACAAAATTGCCCAGAAAAAATATATACAAGCAATACCCATTGCAAGGTGATAGAAATATTTTTTTCACCAATATATATATAATTTTCCTGCAAACATGTCATTAATTTCAATGGAATTCAATCGTCGTTTTTCTCTTCTTCAATTATATCTTTCTTGATTATATGTTTAAGTTGTTATGAATAATATTCTGATTGTAAACATTTGTTTGCGGTCTTTTATTGTATCTCTTTCAAACTACAGGTATCGTACATTTTGATTTCTTTACCATCAGTCCTCTTCCAATTCATTCCTCAAATGCAACGCTTCAAGATTCAGCATGTAAGTTCATTTGTCAGAAATATATATTTCACAAACTAAATGCGGACATACTACTAAGTAATAAACATTGGAATATCAGAGTTCTACACTTGAAGAGTTAACTAAGATAAGAAAATACTCAATCAAGTTTTTATTTTTGTTTTAAAACGTAATCATCGAATTTAATACCAAAACAAAAATTGATACATAAACAGGAACGCCTCCATCTGATGTATTCAACACATAAATCAGAAGATGTTAGGTAATCATTCGAGATTGTGTTAGCCTTAGATAAACAGGCCTTGGTTTATCAAATAAAACAACATATCTAGATAGTTACGACTTGCAAAATAATAGCACATTTTTACCTATTAACTAAATGCAAAACGAATAATAACCGATGTTGTCTTTTTTAGCCCTGTTTTTTTTTTTTTGCTACTGTGTTTTTATTTTCGTAAAGACGTGAATCCTCGTTTCAGACAAAATAATGTTCGAGGAATTACATGTATATAATTCCATTATCTCTACCAGAATCAATCGCTTTTTGTAACTTAATTAGATCCAAGATTCTCTGGCGGACGGGTCACACAAACACTTCTGACAATCAAATATATTCGAAAACAATTTTCACATTCAGGTACCTTTTAAGTCAAAAATTTGTCTATGGAGTGCAAACACTTGGAACACGCCATTTTCGACAAATTAAAAAATTCAAAGCCTGCGTCTCCTACTGAAATGTGCGATCATAAAAATGTCACATTACTTAATCCATGATTTCTATGGGATATATTTTACAGGATATTGAAATTGCCGATTTTTTTCAGAAATAGATGCGATCGTATTACCCCCCCCCTTAGTACATGTAGGTTTTGCAAAAGATGCCCCCCTATCAACCAATGTGGCCGGTGATTTTGTTTTTTCTATAGACCGAAAGTGAAGGAACTTATTAGTACAAATTGAAGGGAAATGATGATGATCACTGCTTACAATACGTAGAGATAACCAACATTGTCCTGATTGTCTAGGGCATCATACGACTTGAAAACGAGTAATTATAAGAATACATTTATATGATATGAACATAACTATATATATTTTTTTGTAGGACAAACCAGTGACAGGGGCCAATCAGTGGGAGTGCATCAAAATACTCCTTGTGAATCAGTTCATCATTCATATCCCATTCTATCTTGGAGCCTATTTCTATTGTGAACTTGTCAACCTGCCCTTCAGCTACGAAACAATGCCCGCATGGTAAGCAGTTTTCAATCATAATTTTCTTGTCAATTTACCGTTCAGCTACGAGACAATGCCGCGATGGTATAATTAATATAAGCAGTTTTCGGTTCAAACAAAAAAACTTCTCATTTTCTTAAACATTTTCCCTTGGGTAATTGTTTGTTATTATTATGTAATAGAGTCGTTTAGATGTGTTGCTTTTCTCTTCCCTATACTTCTACCATTATCAGAAAGCAATGCAAGGGCGGACCTATAGGGTTCTGTGTACGTAGATACCAGATTAGGTTTAAAGGGGGAGGGGGAGGGGCACGGGACGGTTGCCCCTTAAATCCAACAGTGTGGAATGTATCCGTCACTGAACTATTAAACACTAGACTCAAAAGTGGAAACGTGACATTTGTTGATGAGTAATAATTATCGTTCACATTAAGTTTGTTTATTTATTTCAATACGTTGGATTAAATAAAAATCTTTCAGCCGCAAGGCTGTTTTTCAAAAAGGTTATACCAACAACATTTAGTCTTCTACCAAATATAAATCAAAATGCAAAGATAATCAACCGGGATAAAGGGAGGAGATAAGAGAGGGAGGCATAAATTTATTTTCCTGACATTTTTCTTCGGTTTCCTTTCTCATGCACCTATACATGAGCTTGCAAATATTTGTAAATAAACTGTTTTGTAATGTAAATAGGACTCAAAAGGACGTAAATTGCGGTTCACACACACACACACACACATAGTTTGCAAGAATCTTCAGTCAATTTGAAGGAGGCAGACTTAATCAGAAAAAGAAGGGGCGGATGGAATTTGTCGCCCCTCCGCCCCTGGAACCCCCCCCCCCCCAATTGCCATTATTATGATTAAATCCACAACATATTGTTCTTTGTTTTTCCTTATATCTATGTAGGTACGTTACACTGGGTCATTGTTTTGCTTGTCTCGTAATCGAGGATACGTGGCATTATTTCAACCACCGTCTCCTGCATCACAAGAGCATCTATAAGTACATCCACAAACTACATCACACCTGGCAGGTGAGTGGGCGCAGGTGTGAGGACTGGAGGATGGGGTAGGGACCCGGGGTGGCGTACTCAGATTTGGTTTGGATGGGGGTGTGCCGCTCAGGCATAGAAACCCCTATCCATTTCAAAGGGTCATTTGGGGGATTTTTCTCGAAATAAAGGCCCATTTTTCACAATTTTCTGGTGTTTGCAAATTTTGAAAAAACGAACCTATGTTTAGGATTTTGTGGTGTGAAAAAGTGACCCATTAGAGCGGCACATCCCGTACTATGTCTAAATAATTGAGAGTAACGCCCCCGGGGTAGGGAGATGCGATATAATTAGAGTTGGTATGGTCAGGTCTAGTGGATAAGTCATCCGGCTGTGAATAACGAGGCACGGGATCCGAATCCATATGACAGCACTTAAAAAAACGCAATAAATGAAATGTAAAACTTGGACTTTCAAAAATAAATAAATAATGGCAGCGTAGTGGTGAACGTTGTAAAACTAATAGAGTACAGTTACCACACGACACAGGTGAGGTAAAATGTAATGTGTAACAGCTATAGAGGTAAACTCCTTGAATGCAACAGCGCCTTAATTATCATGCCGGGTATATACTACCGAGGCTAAAGCCTGGTTAACAAAATCCATACGCCCGTAGTTGGCATAGCAAATTATATACATGGGACAAAACTTCATTTAACTTTTATTTTCGTATGTTCTATCTTACTCCTATTTTTGTTTAGGTCGAAGATGCTTTTATGTGATTTCATCATTTTGCACAAGCGCTGATGTCAAGTGGATGTGTCGCACTAAAAATATTATTACTATTGTAACTATCATCGTTATTATCATCGTTATTATTATTATTATATTTTAAAATATTTTATACAAGTGCAACATTAGCAAGCGCATAGTCCGGAATAAAAGAATTTCAACAACATTTAGTGGAAGTGATTGGCTAAACAGATAAATAGATATAAAGACATACAATCTCTATACCGTGTATAGGGCGTTCATTGATCTTGAGATTTGATTAGGGTTCGTTAACCCCAACAGTTTATCACTAACCTTTGGAATAACTTAGCATTTCAGATAAATGAATGGAACACGAAGGGCATTCAAATAAATATCATACTATCAAGAAGGCATATTATGCAGACGTAGAATAAATGATCGGATATAGTTATTGTCAGTGAACAATTATTATTGTAAATACCATCGGTTATTGCCATAAATAAATGCAATTGCATAGAATAAATTAGCAATTCTCTTGACACAGAATGGAAATCCACAGCGTATGAGTCAAATCAGAGACCATCTCATTTGGAGCTGAATAGCTCCATATTGAAGCTAAATCCGCTTCAAAGTAGTAATTGAATAACTCATCCGCGATTGGAATTCATTACAATATTATTATTTTTTCTGCGGGTACTTCTATTGTGACGATATACCCTGAGTTGACTCTTCCCCCTCCCCAAAGTGGACTTCTACTCCTGTTTAGACAGTAATAATGGTTTCCCCCCTTTTTAGGTGGTCTGTTATCAACAGACCACCTATTGATTTCGTCAGAATTTTCTTTCTTCTTTATTATTATTATTTCTTTATTTTTATTTATTTCTTCACTTTTTTGTGTGTCGGATAACGTAAGATTGGTTATGTCAATTTAATTCAATTTTGGCACAGTCATAGGTCATTATCATGAGACGTGACAGATACATTTTTAAGGTCATTAGGTTATCGTGACGTCATCCAGGCGCCATTTTGTGAAATCACGTTATCCATCATATCTTCATGATGCATCAGCAAAGGTCATTCATATTTATATCACATATACTTTAGGTCAAGGGTCAACAGGTCATGTCATCAAAGGTCACATAAATGTCATGACGCGCGCGTATGTGCGCGTCAAAATTTAAAATTGCTCAAAATCACTAAACTATTAAACGAGAGTACGAATCAGGTCATTTTAAGCATTTCAAAATTTTCCGTCCGTAAGTGTCCCCGCGCGCGGTGTGCGCGCTCACAGCGCGCGGAAAAGGTCAAATTCAAAATGTTTACATGATTTAGATTCCTCTTAACGTAATTGACAATTTACATTAATTTCAGTCACTCTTCATATTTCATAAGGCCGTGAGCGTGCGTCAAAGTTCAAAATCCGCGCGTACTGCTATGGGCAATATAGTGTAAATTTGATCAAAAACATGCCATTTTAAAAATCGAAATAGCTCTTCAGATAGTCCATTGACCCCCAATTTTTATATCATGGTTGGAGAAAGCATGAGTTGGAGATATGATTTCATACCACCCTGACTCGTACAAAGTGAAATAAAGTCATCATATTGGCATCTAAACTCAAACAAATGTATTTTGTTGATGACGTCATTTTTGTCTTTTTTTATTTGAGATTATCTCACTTATCGGTGAACGATTTTCTCCCAGATTTTGATATATTGTAGCTGAGATAATTCTCTATCAGAAATATGCAATTTATTTTTCATTTGAATGACGTCATCATAGTAAAATATTCGATTAAAGGCGACAATGCATAATTTGTCATATTTGCGTGTTATGTCTATGGGAGGTCACTTTTTTCAAAACATGCATCTGCATGACAATGTGTTTTGACCAGTATCTCGGTTATTATTCAACAGTTTTCTCCCAAATTTTAGTATGTTGTAGCTGAGACTATTTGCTATCTAAATATTTCCTCATTTTTTCAATCAGATGTCAGGATTATGTTCATACTTATCATCGTCATCATCATCATCATCAATATCATCATTATCATCATCATCATCAATGTCACCATCATCATCATCATCATGGTCTGAAGATGATGATCATCAACAACACCATGATCATGATCATTATCATCATCATCATCATCATGGTCTGAAGATGATGATCATCAACATCACCATGATCATGATCATCATCATCATTAACATTATCGTTTTTATCATCATATAACATTTTCATTATCATGATCATCATCACCTTTACTATCATGATCATCATCATGTTCATCATGATCATCATTGTTTACATGTCTATATAACTTCTCCCATTCTCAAATCTATAAGACTTAGACAGACCACCTTATTCGTCTTCGTGACGAATTAAATTTCTAGTTTGTTGTTGATCTGAAGATAACATTTTATTTTTTTGTTATGAATTCAGTCTCCTTTCGGAATGGTGGCTGAGTATGCTCACCCAATAGAAACCATGCGTAAGTTTTTATCATTGCTATAATATTATTTTGTCCTTCTTTATAAAATATAGTTCAGATTACATCAACCAGAGAGTGTTAATAGCACGAACCAAAATCTTATTTACTCTTAAACAATGAAAAAGCAAACTATTAACAAAATAATATCGAGTCTAATCTTTCTAAATTGCAAGATGGAGTTGCATTATCATTACGGTTTTTGTTTTGTTTTGTTTTACGGTATAGGTGTCCTCCGATTCTTATGACATAACAAAGATGTGTCACAGCGGGAGTTAGGGTAATGGGGACCCCACTGGAAATAAGCTCTCGGGCTTTCGTGGGTTATCCTGTTCAAGCTGACTTAATGTTGATCTGTCCTTCTTGTATAGTGTTGTATGTTGGAATAAAAATCAATCAATCAATCAATCAATCAAGTGGTTTTAAACGATCAAACAGCTCTCTTTAATAATTATTACCGATCTGCGAAGTGTATAATTATCTACAATATCTTATCATTACTAAAATATTGTTGATGTGTTTCAGTCTTGGGTATGGGTACCATGTGGGGCATCCTGCTCTTCGGGAACCATCTCATCCTCCTCTGGGTATGGATGTGGATACGGCTGATTGAGACCATCGACGTTCACTCCGGCTACGACATCCCACTCAACCCCATGCATCTGTTCCCATTCTACGGAGGTATGACGTCACAATTGAAACAAAAAGCTCTCGCGAAATTTTGTTGTTGTTTACAAGGCCGATGTCATGACCCGGTGACAATAATAGCTCCGTGGTTAACTTCCTACACAATGCGAAATAGTCAATTCATAAGTTCCACCCTGTACCAAACACTGAACAGAACCCTAGCCCTAACCTAAAACGTAATTGCAATCCTAACCCTGACCGTATACCCGGCCCCCCACTCAGGGGTCGGAATGACCGCATGCGTGTTGCCAAAATGTCCGGTAAAGGGGTACTTTTCGTGCGACAAAGTCCGGCCCGAGAATTGTAAAAAAAGGGGTGTATTTGACTTTCACCCGGAGATTTCTTCAAAAAAGGGGTGTTTTTTCTTCTTTTTTCTCATCTCTTTGGACTCCTGAGAAATTATTCCGAATTTAGGGGGGTACATTGAGCATTTTTCCTGATTTAGGGGGGGGGGGGGGGGTCTTCAAAGCAGGAAAAGGCCGCGAAAAGCCCGCGAAAGGGGGGTTCGAAAATGTTGGCAGTCCTCAGATAGGGGGTGCTTTAAAAAATAGGGAACGAGCATAATGCGTACCATAAATAACACTGAGTAGGGGGGGGGGGGGGCCGGGACCGTATATCTCTGACGAAATAAAGCCAGGAACGAAAGTCGCAGAAACAACATGTCTGGTTGCACATTCTTTGAGCATTCTGGAAATAGCTGGTGCATGAATTGGGCTTGCTTGCCATTACGCGACCGATTTCAATCAGTTTCATTGCGTTTTTGTTTTTTGTTACAAATAATTTTCGTTTCCGGCCGTCAAGTTGGAAACGATTAATTACACGTAAGATTTTGTTGACGGTTACTTTGTTTTTCTTTTATCACGCTGTAAATTTGGAAGCGTGAAATTACTTTCTTCTTCTTCTTAATTTCCTATTTATTCTTTTTATTATTTTACTACCATGATTATCAAATTCTCTGTTTGTTTTAATATGGGGGATTCAACTACATATATTTTCAAGAGGGTGTGTGTTCTTGACAGACACGCTCTCCTTCTATGCCCTATTAGGGACTTTTAGATTTGCGTGGACTGATACGTGTGACGTCCATTCAAGGTAGTGCATTAAAAAGACGTCGATCGTTGCAATCCACGTTGTCGTTCTACAAATCTAAAAGTCCCTATTGTTGAAATACACGTATCTTTGTTGCACAACAAAATAGCTGTCATTTCAAATCATTTTCTTTTTTTATATATTTACTACAGGCGCTAAGTTCCACGACTTTCATCACATGAACTTCCAAGGAAACTACGCCCCCACGTTCACTTGGTGGGACAAGATATTCGGTACTGATATTCAGTTTAAAGAATATTACAAGATGAAGGAGGAGGAAGCAAAGAAGCAGAAGTGATCATGGAATATCCCCGAGGATTAATATATATATTCCAAAATTGAATTTAGCATTATAAGCAAATATAATAATAATTATTATAATTATATTTGCTTATACAGCGCCTAACACTTACTTTATCATAAGTCTCTAGCGCTCTACAATAATGCAGCATAATATACAGTGCGTTCCTTCTCTTCAAATTGATGTTAATCACCCATGCATGAAATATGCAAATGAGTTGCATCAAATGAAAGAGGTGGATCTAAGCTTTACAAATATTATGTGTCATTTATTGATTATAATTGTGATCATAAGTTATGATAAAACATCGATAATTCTCGATTTCTTTTTGTCTGGGACGTACTGTATAAATAAATCTGTTCTTCGAGTAATTTGAAATGAAATATTTCAATTGGTACTGACGTTCAGTGTGAGGAATATTACAAGATGAAGGATGAGGAATCGAAGAAGCAGATGATTGTGTTCATGAGATATTCCTGATGATTAATATATATTCGAAACTTGAATTTAGCATTGTAAGCAATATATAGATAAATCTTTTCTTCGAGCAATTTGAAATGTTATGTTTCAAACTGGTACTGATGTTCAGTATAATAATATACTAAAAGATGAAGGAGGGAGAAGTAAAGAAGCAGAAGTGATCATGAAATAATACAGATGAATAATACAGATTTATAAATTGAATTTAGCTTGATAAGCAATAATAAAAAAATATGTTCTTCGAGTATTTCGAAATGAAATATAATTGTAACCGATGTTCAGTGTAATAATATACTTCAAGACCAGGGAGGATGAAGAACTAAAGAAGCAGAAGCGATCATGAAGTGATACTGATGATTCAAATTCAAAAATTGAATTTAGCTTGATAAGCTAACAATTTAATAAACATGTTCTTCGAGTAATTTGAAATGAAATACTTCTAATTATAATATCCAGAATGATAAATACCAAAGGGTGAATGAGGATGAAGTAAATTGAATTTAGCATTATAAGGAAATATATAAATAAATCTGTTCTTCGAGGGGGTAAGAGGACACTTTTTTTTTTTTTTTTGGTCTCGAAATTTGGAAATTTGACATTTTGCTCCGTTGGGGGGGGGGGGTAAGGTCACCTTTTTTAGGTCGGCCATGGGAATAATTTTTTATTTTTTTATTTTTTTAAAAAAAAAAAAAAAAAAAAAAAAAAAAAAAAAAAAAAAATCCAAAAGGGGGGGGGGGGGGGGGGGGGGGGGGGGGGGGGGGGGGGGGGGGGGGTTTTAGGTTTTTTTAAGGGGGGTTTACACACACAAAATTTCCAAAGGGGGGGGGGTTTAACCCCCCCCCCCCCCTGCGTACGCGCCTGCCCCATGCACCCCGCAACTTTTGCAGGCATCCTTCGCCCCATCTTGTCATCTATTTCTGGATATACCCCACTGTGTAACAACCCAATAAGTATTCTATAGGTCCTAGGATACATACATCGAGTTTCATTTTATTGCGTACAACTAGTAGTAGTTATCAGATTCTCTACATGGGTATATCAATACACGATATTATTGTCTGATGCGACTTCCTGTAATACGGAGACGGTCCCTGAACTAGTACACATACCTCTTTTATCTGCGAGTCGAGTCCGGATGAGCGGGTTACAGGCGATCCCTTACTCGACCGCATGCCAGTAACCTTTACCCGGGCAGCATTCTCGCCGCTGATTGGTGCGTTCCTTACCGCTAAGCCATATAGCGCTGTGTTACGTGGGCTTTTTGTTTCCGCTTCTGACTGCTGTGTGCGGTTAGCTTTATTCACCGTAATACATGCAATTTGCATGGTATATTCCAATACACACACACACAGCCGAGCCGGAATATGGCAGTAAAAATGCCCGCATGATAAACACACATATCCACACGGTGCTGTGTTCCCCACATCCACCATCAATACTTATAGTACACGGGCAAAATATACAACCGCGTCATTTAACACGTACACCAACTGGATGACTGATGCAGTAGTTAGTTGTGAGTATAATCTTTCTCAAAAATTGAAATGTATTGTGTTGCTTGTGCAAAATATGCTCCAAAGATGAATGTATGTGTGTTAATACTTTGTGGGATAGACATAATGTGGTATAGAGATTAGATCTGTTATTACTTCCATGGAATGTGTTCATATGTTTTCAAAGTTGTTGTAGGATTTTAAATTGTCTATAGTGACAATTTCAGTTCAAGTTTCATTCGGGCTATACACGAAAGTGGGCTTATCGGGTAGCCAGCTGCCTAAGAATGTAGTCTACAGGATCTGTATGAACACCCGGTAGGACAACGTGATTGGTCTACCGCCACATGCACTGTGAAGTCAAGGAGTTTTAAAGGCAGGCTTTACTACTTCAGCTAGAAGGGATTAGACCACCCAGCGAGCCAGCGAGGTCACTGTGACAGGTGGCTATCTCGTTAACTCAGCTCTCATTTAACATAAGAAAAAGAAGATCATGGGGGACCAACAGGCACCGATTGAGGAAGTTTCTATATAGAGGGAGCAAGTATATATAGCTACACGTAGGACAGTGTGCCTTTAAAGAGAGTAAAGTAAAGAACGAAGGGCATGCTAAAGATCTTCGCAGGAAACGCGTCTCTTAAAGTTTTGGAAACGCCCCCTCTCAAAAAATGAAATGGAAGCTCTTGATTATTATTAATCATGTGAAAGAATATGTTTCGACTAATACGTACGTAGTGATACAAATTTTGCCTGCTATATGTTTGGTAAATCATCATATCGGTCCGGCCTGTATATCGCGAATGCACTTCAACATTGAACATATTTTGAGCATATATTTCTGCTCTTTTGCGAATTTAGGTTAGAGTATTGCCATCTAAACCTCTGAAGGCAATGAAACAATATTGAATGGATATTTTGCACCAAAAAGCCTTGAACCGCAATTTTACCACTACCGGTTTATATGATGGTTGTTCTTTTCCCCTTCTTCTGCGATCGTTATGAGTACAAGTAACTTCCGTCTGGTGTATTAATTTTAAAAAATCTATATATTTTAATGGATAAACTCATTTTACATCCGCGCTCTAAATCAAGAGATGATACCGAACACTCTCCTTGGTTCATTGGTTTTCTGCATTTATCTTTCCTAAAAATCTTTGTTTATCGTTCTTTCATCTTCTGCTTTCTTGTAATACTAATTATAGATTTCTTTAACAATTATTGTTCTCTTCCCGTCACCCCCCCCCCCCCCACGTGAGCTGTGTTTATAATGAAGGCCCGCGGCCATGTTTTTACAGGATGAATTTGTCAGATAATCTCAAATTGGCGAATTGGTCATGCCTGCCCCGGGAAATATTAAGGTGTGCGGAAGATATGATTATTACGAAATTAAAAAGGCCTACAGTGAATAAGATAATACGTAAATAGACATACATATATCTTAGTCATATCATGGAGTTAAACTCACATTGTCAATGTATTTTTAATTGTCTGAAAATTGAATCACATAAGAATTGTTTCGAGTCAAAATATTAGACACATGAAATAGTTTTTATTCAGTGCATGTCTTCTATACGGTTGAAGGGGGGGGGGGTGCAAATATTAAATAGAATAGAGAAAGGAAGGGGAAAGAGGAGTGCGGAAAGACCATGATATAGGACCCCCTTACCCTTGTTAATTCACTTTCCATCTATCCACTAAGACCACTGCCCCCTCCCTGGTGATGGACCATTGTACAGTTTTTACCCTATACCCCCTTTTATGATTCTTGCGATAAGTGACACAACAGGTACGCTTTAAATAGGAGAGAAGCATGCCCACTTTATCTTCATGAAACAGAGAGTAACTGTGATTAATTAACTGAATGAAATGAAATGAGGACTTTGTCCATCTTCATTCTTCACCACGCACAATCATAAATCCAAGGCCATTACGTAACCAACTTTTAAATTAAGGATTCTCAGACATAATACGAGAGAGAGTGTAGAGAGAGATACGCGACTCTCGTATTTTAATGTTTTTTTTTTTTAAATCCCATATTCAAACACTGGACAATTACATCTCGACGTGTTTATTCTTTTCATCTTGAAAGGCTTTCGTGGTGATGGTAGATTTGATGTTAATAATGGAAACAAAATTATAATCTTGATTATTTCAGATTCGCGAAATCACTCAGAAACGGTGCCAGAACCGTTCTTCTGTTAGGAGCTTGAAACGGTTAAACCGTCCATATATCCTCCGACATGTTCAAATCCGGCTTCCAGCCAGTGTGCGTGCTATACCAAGGAAATCAATCGCCTTTTGATGGTAGCTGTCAACTGGTTTGCCGACACCAGATACAGGAGACACAAATCAGCCAAGGAGATACTGTGACGGTAATTCATATATTGTCTTCACTTTTTTTTGCTTTCCCACTCCTAGCTTCTTCTCCTTTTTTCTTCTTCAGCATCATTGTTTCGTTCTCCTCTATCATCATCATCATCATCAGATGGTGATGAATTTTACTACTAAGAGTAAGAGTTCGTAACATTCAAATAAAAAGATTACCCAAGGATATCATGCCGATTGATTACTGAACACGGCTTCCTTTCTTTCTCCTTCCTATGCATCCTCTCATTTCTTCCTCTTTCTTTTGTCTTGGTTTTTTGTGAGGGAAACTTTCAACCTATCAATATGATGTGCTCATGTGAATGGCTTTGTGAGGGAAACTTTCAACCTATCAATATGATGTGCTCATTTGGATGGCTTTTTGAGGGAAACTTTCAACCTATCAATATGATGTGCTCATTTTGGATGGCTTTTTGAGGGAAACTTTCAACCTATCAATATGATGTGCTCATTTGAATGGTTTTTTGGGGGAAACTTTCAACCTATCAATATGATGTGCTCATTTGGATGGTTTTGTGGGGGAAACTTTTAACCTTTCAATATGATGTGCTCATTTGGATGGTTTTGTGGGGGAAACTTTTAACCTATCAATATGATGTGCTCATTTGAATGGTTTTGTGAGGGAAACTTTCAACCTATCAATATGTGCTCATTTGAATGGCTTTGTGAGGGAAACTTTCAACCTATCAATATGTGCTCATTTGAATGGTTTTGTGGGGGAAACTTTTAACCTATCAATTTGATGTGCTCATTTGAATGGTTTTGTGAGGGAAACTTTCAACCTATCAATATGATGTGCTCATTCGAGTATTTATAGGGCCCCATATCAGGCCAGCTTTAAATAATGATATAGATTGGAATGGAATGAAAGAAAGTACTGATAGAAATGAAAAAAAAATTATACTTTTCATTCTGTCAAATGATCAATTTCTAATAGGTCAATACTGATACTGTGGTTGACACAAAATATATTTCACATACATGCATGTACAGGCGCATACGCAGGGGGGGGGGGGGGGGGTTTGAACCCCCCTCAATTTTTTGTTGATGTGTTTTGGAGGAAACTCCCCCCCCCCCCAATAAAAAAATATATATATATGTCCTCTTTCTCCTTGTATTAAAACAAACATATCACCAAGGGACTTCCCCTTTAACTGTATGCATATAGTTTATAGTCTAACCAGGCTTTTACACTAATGGTATTTTACTCTGTTTTTTTGTATTCCTGCATTTAGGTGGTAGATTTTGTTGAGTCACAAGGTAGCAGCAATGAGGCTTCCAAGGATGTAGGTCCAGTCATCAGACAGGCCATTGTCATGGGACAAGAAATGGTGTCCAGTCTGATCGGGGCACAATTTCAGACCAAACAGTCAGAAGAACCGGTATGTAATCGTTAGCGCTTAGAGATTATGGTGGAAAGCGCTTTATGAGCACCGTTTTTATTATTATTACTAGTTATTACTATTATAATTATTATTGTTACTAAAACTAAAACTGAACTTTATATTGCTTCCCTTTTTGCTTTTAAAATGCCTCAATGAAATTGGTAACATTAATTTTAAGAAATCTATACTGGGGAAAGACAAAGCATCATCAACAGTGATGGTGGTATTCCAAGTTTTAGGTTAAATGTTAAGTTTTTGAAGACTTCTAACATTTTAGAAACACACTAAATTTGGATACATACATGTAGATGTATACTAGAACATCTATGGAGGGTGGAAATGTGTAACTAAACCAATCTCGACATCTGAAATTGGCAGAAATTATATATCTACTGGATCAGAATGGAACTTGTGCTGAAGGTTAAAGACCACAAATAAAGGATGTCTGTTACTCTATTTTGCATACTTTTCACACAGAATATTTCAGAAAAAGAGAGAAATTTACGGTTCAAAACAAAAGCTTACAGGCCAAAATAATAATAGGAATCATTCCTCCAAAATAGGAATGGTTGGCAACTATGAGTTTAAGGTGCGAAACAAAGATCGCTCTGTCTGGTTTTGTTTCAGCCACTGTATTTTGTCAGTCTTTTACAAAATGCATCTGTTCATGGAGCTGGCATATTTGGTTTATAGGTTAGTCTCCCGATTGGGACTGTAGAATGATTCCACGTCTTTCATGTCATTGTAACCTTGGGAAGATGAAATTTAATATGAAGGTACATGGTATAAAAATACATGTACAGCCTAAGTTCGATTTCTGAGTATGTACAGTAGGTCAAAGGTGAAAGGTCATAACTCATTTAATATGCAAAAACACCTAATTATATATGTGAAAATGTGGTTGACTTTGTTGCCTAGTAATATAATAGTATAATTCAATGGAGGTAACTTGTTCTGACGTATATAGGCCATTTGTACCCTGCGAGGGGATGCTACGCTTTCGTTGACTTGATCATTTTTGTTCAACATTTTGTCCTTGCAGAAATCGAGCAAGAAGCGGAAGGTTTCTGAGGAGCAAGAAACTCGGAGGGAAGATAAAGCTAGACATGTAAGCTCGAGTAGTCTCTCTCTCTCTCTATCAGCGTGTTTCCACAAAAAAAAGTGGAACACGGATTATCTTTTCTAGAATTGAAATACCGTGTTGCGGCGACATGGTATTAAACCAATCTGTTTCCGCAGAGCGCAGCATTCCGATTAGCCCCGATTCCGTGTTCCAAGTCAGGCAAATACCGTGTCAATCGGAAGTCAAGATTCAACCTTTGACCTCGATCGTGGATCCAGATCTACACAGGATTCTAGGCGATCATATGTGGTTCAAACGAGCTGTTCTCCCTTCCACAGCGTTTTCACTTTTCACACGGATCGACACGGCATGATAATCCGTATCTCGGTCGACACAGGGTCGCCAATAAATCGTGTTGCTTGTATTTCCACAGGAAAGTTACACGGTATTACACGCGTAATACCGTGTAACTTTTTTCTGTGGAAACACGCTGTATGTGCCATGTCCTGAGACGTTGGCAATTATGGAGTGCCACAGCTCTCTGTCCCATATTCTATGAAGTAATTCATTCTCCCGGAGATCGATTCCACTTTCAAAAATCCCACTCCTTATGAAGCTACTCATCCATAGAATCCTCCTTCTACCCCTATTCCTCCTCCCTTTGATTATTCTAGTCAGTGCAAGATTTTCCAAACCATTCTTTCGTATAACATGACCCAAGAAGCTCAGCTGTCGACCTCTTTTATGATTCAGAAGCTTTCGTCTTGTTCCTGCCATGGCAAATACCTCATTATTAGTTGTAAGCTTGAGTAGTAGAATGTCTTAATTCCTTATTTTCAAAAGCTTACCAAGGCTGTATTAACCCTTACTGTACTGGGCTATTTTGAACAGCCTCTGACTGGGGGGGGGGGGGGGCCTGGGAGGCCCCCCCCCCTATGATCTCGGCCGTCGATTGTCCGATGAACACGAAAATTTGCATGTTTGTAGATATTTACGTAAGGAACAAGATGGTATAATAAGTTTTTTCCGAACATGCACATTTTTGTCGTTAGCCTAATTAATTATGCAAAATGCGCTAATTTTATGCATTTTACAGAAAACGTGTCAAACTCCACTTTTTGAATGTTGAAACTCATTATTCATATGAAACTTCTTTTCTAACACAAAAAAGTTATTTTAATGTAATAAATAATGATAATTTATGCAAATTTTGATGCGATTTTTAATTTTTAATTTTTTTTTTGATGACATGCGCATACTAATTGTTATGTAACGCCTTACAGGTATATCCGATTTCGACGAAAATGGTATCAAAGTGTGCGTAAGACTTGAGGGAAAAAAGTCATGAAACGACAATTCAAAATTCCAAGCGGTTGCGGCGCAATCTCCGAAAATGTCGAGGGGGGGGCCTCCCAGGCCCCCCCCCAGTACAGTAAGGGTTAATAATAACAATCATGATAATGAATATTTAATTTATTTGTGGGCAAGTCAAAGCTATTCGGCCACTGACCTAAGGGACAGGTGAGAACCTATATACCAGTTTAATTTCAAAATGAAATGCACAAATAAAGATACCATAGGAAGTTGTGACTTTAAAATTAAATGCAAAGAAATCTGTAATATACAGTCAAACCTGCTTTAGTGACCACCTGTCTACAACAAGCACATTTTTTGTTTCCCTTGAAAATAGTTTCTCATTGAAACATCTGCTAAAGGAACCTGTCTACAAAGACCACCTGACTACAAAGACCACTTTTTGTGTTTCCCTTGGGCAATCATTGTAGACAGGTTTGACTGTAGCTCTGTTAACAAGGTTTTATTCTACCAGTAGTTGATTAGAAAAGTTGATTATTTGACCCTAAAAATCACCTTTAAAAATCTGATGAATTTTTAAGGATGGTAATTTTTTTCTTCATACATTAATCACACATACACTCAGGCATAAAAAGCATAAATAACAAAAAAACAATTCTTTATGTTACTGTTAAGAAAGTAAGAAACAGATGAAAATATAACTATCTGCCTGTGAGATGCACAATTTGTCCTTATATAAAATACAAACACACGCAAAATTCTGAAATGTATATTATAGTACACAATGAAAAGTTGACTTGTTAGGTTTCTCATTTATTACATACCGTAAGTATAGGTATCTAAATGCATGATGACTCTAGACCTTTGAAATCTTTTTGACATCCTGTAAGAGGGAGGGGGCAAGAAAGCATCGAGTATAAAGAGAAGGGAAATTGACTGCAGATCAATTGTCACTTGATGTTTCATGGATCCTCTTTGTTTCCAAGTATTATTTTTCCTACCTTTGTATCTTGATGATCATTCATGTATCTTGATGTTGTGTTCGAGTGGATACGTCATCGGACTGTCGATCACATGGTCCACAGTTTGAGTCCCACCACTGCACTAATGTCTTTTGGTAGGACATTGATTTCCAATTGCCACACTCAACCCAGGTGAGGTAAATGGTTACCTGGTAGGATCATTCCTTGAAATGCACTGTGCGCTGATAAGGGTGCCTGAGCTAAAGCTAGGGTAATAAAGTCCAAAGCTCTTTGGAAGCGCATAGAGATGTTATTTCATAACGTATTATGCGCTATACAAGAACTGAACTATTATTACTATTATCTATATCTTTATTTTCAGGAGGAGATTAGCCTGCTACGTGGTGTCTTCGCAGCCGTCAAGGTACTCAATGAAGAAGTATCGAGGCAAGCGAGGGAGCTGTCTCACATGAAGCAGCGGCAAATCCAGATGATGAATCTACTGGACGCGGTGTGTCGTAAACAGGACGGTAAAAGTGTGGGAGGATTTGGAGCCCCACCTTCCATCTCTGCAGATGCACAGAGTCAGGAGGAGGAAGAGGTAGTAGAGTCTGGGCCAATCATAGCATCTGTACGATCCACTTTTGCAGAAACTACAAGGCAAGTCCAGGACGAAGAATACAGTGTTGTCAAAGTCTCTGCAGAAGCTTCGTCACCCGTTTCTGAGCAAGGTAGCGAGACATTCGAGGAGGACTTGTTGTACTCGGCTATCAAATTGTCACCTGGCAATGACCATGGATGGGAGCAGGACCAAGGCTCATCCTCAACCTCACCGGTTCTGGACAAGAGGAAAGATTATCTTGAACTGTATGTGGGCAAATGGAGGCGTGGTGAGAATGTTGAGATCGGAAACTTCACTCTCAAAGTGATGATGCCAATTACCGAGCTAGAAGACATTCTGTACAAGACGAATAATGCAACAAGTTTCGGCTATCGCTTGGCTGGGAAGTGTTTCACGTCAAGGGAGATGGTGGAGGGCAACACACGTGGTGGTGGATTCCGCACAGATGGTGAGATCTTCAAGCAGCTGAATCCGGACGTTGTGGAAATGATATTAGGTGAAGTGAAGAAACGGTTTCCATTCAGTGCGTCTGACGAATTGCTTGCTCGCAGTGTACGAAACGCCATCAACGAGAGGGCTCGTAATGAAAGAAAGAGAATAGCTAGGTACCAAATGACCAACAAATTTGAAGAGAGTCCTTTAACAAACTGACATTCTAAGCAAAAATGAGACTTGATCATAAAAACTGATGGCCAAGTAACTGTTGTGGAACAAACCTTTCGCGAATCACAACCACTTGTTAAATTCCTGTTTTGTTACCATTGACTCTTATCAAAAGTAGAACATTTGTGAACACTCATGTGATACACATACATTTTTACCTTTCGAGCAACTATTCTTGGAATAAAAAAGTATTTTTTTTGAAGAAAAAAAAGAACTACAAAAACTCCATACATATATATTTACAGCTGAATGTTATATTATGAGTTGTACATATCACGGGTATGCACATGTCTTACAAAATAGATCATACCTATTAAACATACATGTGTTATGCATAGTATACAATGTATGTAAGTTTTAACTAAAAGCTATTGTTTAATGTTATCCGTATTTGAACCAGACACTACTCATAACTTCAACACTTGAGCTTGTCTTAACATTTTGTCAAAGTGTATAACTGTAGTGTACAACAAGGATAACTTTTTTTACTTTCATGGGTGCATAATTGCATTCTATTTTGGGATTGATACTGTTTTTCCTTTTCATTTAATCTTTTGATAACTGTTACCAATTGATGTTAAAGGGAGTTTATCCTGACGAGACTACGTGTCTTTCCCGTGGCCTGAATCGGGGCCAATCGGGTATAATATGACTACAGACATACGCGAAACCGAAGCGTGAGGAGAACTTTGGTCTGTTTCGCGAATGCTGCCTACTGTTAATCAAGTCTATTCTATTTGCAGTTGTCCGATAAAAGACGTAGATGGCGTTAACCAGTATTTGCCAAGCTACACTCCCTTTAACTTGTAATCACTTAGAGCTGTAGTTGAGATGTGGGCTCGATCTTATAAAAAGTTATGACTGATTTGAATTAATTCTTTTGTAACCAGACATTGATATCGATTCCCAATCTTTAGAGCACACTCCCAAGTGAAGAATGACAGTTTGTAACTGATAAAGGGACATGAGATCAATCAAAACAATATGTTCACCTTCAAATGTAGTGTTTTTTTGGAGTTGTCAGTTGTCATGAAGAAAACTTAATTTGTTGTTTAAATCACAGCACATGATTAGTGAAGTGGAGGCTGTTTGTTCCTCCACTATCTCTGGTGTTTGATTGCAAATGATTTCCAACTTGATAAACAGTAATTGTTAGTTTTTACTAATCATTTTCTGAAGGAACATTATGGCAAACAATACACTGTGACACTTACAGATATGCAGATTACTACTATCTTGCTTTGTTAATGAAAAGATAAATTAAAACCATTGAGTAACAAAGCAGTTGATGAAAACTGTTTTGTTGTAGAACTTTTGACTGATAATGAATATTTCATTTGTGTCTACTGGCTCAAAAACACCTGGGGCCGCTTTCAATTCAGTACACAGATTAAGCCGGTATTTTACTTAGTATTTGGCTTGCCTAAGTAAAATGTCCTTACTCGTATACAGATCACATCTATGCAGTTTACTTTCGCAAGCCGAATTCAAGCAAAATACTTCCCACAAAGAAGTATCATTATCCTTGCTTTAGCCCAGCTGCCCCCAAAGCGCTTAAAGTATTCAAGGAATAATTTCTTACCAAAAACCCATTTACTACACCTGGATGGAGAATGGCAAATGTAGATTAATGTCTTGACAAAGGACATTTTAGTGCCACGGTGGGACTTGAAAATGCCTAAAAATTGACATATCTAATCTCTCTCTCTCTCTCTCTCTCTAAGTGCCATATCAATTGACTTTGGCGATCATGCTGTTCCACAACCCTCGGTTCATAGCCTTCTCTATTAGCACCACTCCCAGTTCTTTCACTCCTCTTCCAACAATTTCTGCAGACTGTCCATCCAAAGTATCCTCCCTTTTCCCCTTTTCCTTCTTCCCACAATTTCCCCTGGCAAAGCAGGTCGTGAAATGTGACCCATGACCCAAATCTAAAGATGGATAACATCCGACAGGACTTACCTTGATCGAGCTGCAATCACACATTGGTTATGATCATCAGGCATGACACCTTTCCCCATGGGTGTCGGGAGGAACGGAAGACCGGTTTGATCCAAGAAAGCACGCACCTCCTTCTCAGCACGGGCATATGCTGCTCCTGAAATGCACATTCATTTGGAAGAGTTTATATTATTTTACACTCGATCACTATTGAACACACCAGGATAAACCATAGCATATTGAGGGATAGTTGTGACACGCCCACAGGTATGCGTGTCACAACTATTTCTGTCAATAGGCTATGGGATAAAAATGCAAATACCACCTGTAGTTCCAAGATGTAAATAATTGTTTACCAATTTTTTTCTTTCTCATAAGTCTTTCCCTTTCTCAAGATTTTAAGTTTACAATACATTTTGAAGCAACTACAATCTTGACCTCATTATCTCTGTTCTGTTCACTATTTGTGTTAGTTTAAAAGTAAATTGCTGTGCAACCTTTGCACTTAATCATCATTGTCAGATAAAGTTAAACAGATAAAGGTGATGCAAATATGCTGCCTTTCATGCAGATATCCATGCTTTAATTAGCTTATACCCTTGGGCAGTTAGTAGAATATTTTGTCAAATTTACTAAAAATCTGTACATTCCAATAACCCAATGTTATTATGTCATTCCTACTAACTATACAATCAAATACGGTACTCTGTATTATTGTTGACATCTTTTTTTCAAAATGAAGTTTCATTTACAGAAGTCCCACATTGCCTTCAAAATAGACAACAACAGTCACATGATTATTTCAGTGGTATTGTAGTAAATAATCTCCCGTAAATGTTGAATTTTAAAATGCAGCATTTCCCAAAACTATTTAAAAGCATATCAGCATCTGCATGACTTCTTTAAAGTGCAATACCTTTTCCTACAATCACCAATGGATTCTTTGCTTGTGAGAGAGCTTCTAGAGTCTCTGTGACTTGCGATGGCTCAGCATATGTCTTGGGTGGAGGTCCAACTTCGGGGAAGAACCTGCAAAATCACAACAGAAAACAGAAATAAAAATGCTAACAAAATGTATAATGTTGTCAGCTACCACAATAATGTGGGCAGTCGGTAATATTAAAGGGGAATTCCACCCTGATAATTAGCTGGTATCAATTGAAGCAGAAAAACAAGAGAAATAAATTAATGAAAAATTTGAGCACTATCTGATCAAAAAGCAGGAAAGTCATGAATTTTTAAAGTTGTGAAACTATCAAATTGGCTAGTACACTGTGATGTATCCTGCGAGGTCCTCTCCGAATTGCTCAGTACAGAAATTTCATTAACTTACATTTTCTTAGTTATTGTTTACGGAATAGATTTTTTTCATACAGGGGTTGTAGAGAAACATTTTTGCAATAATTATATCTACCGTAAATGTGTGCTTGAACAGTGCAAATGGGAGGGAACCTTGCAAGATACATCACAGAGTTGCCAATTTGTGTTTGATTGATTGATTGCACCTTCAAAAATTCATAACTTTCTTAATTTTTAATCAATTTTTGGTCTAACTGTCACTGACCTGTTTCTCTTGTTTTTCTGCTTCTATTAAAACTAACTTGATATCAGAATGGACTTCCCCTTTAACCTTTAACGTATAGAATGCCAGGTTAAGCTTTTCAAAATGATTTTAGACATTCTAGCTAACGTATTCAAATATTATTTTTTAAAGGTTATTGGTTCAATTGAAATCGAAGAGTTTCAAAAGTTTTGAAAACACAATTGGTACTGGGAATGACCTAAGTACCTCTGGCACTAATTTACTGTCACAAATACACACACATGGGACTAACCTGACACTGCTCTCCTCTACTGTTCCATTCACCATGTCACCGTTAATGTCCAGGTAACATGCACCTGGCCTTCCGTGGGTGCTGATCCGGACAGCCTGCAAGATGAGACAGAAATCTTAAAGCCCGTCTGTACTAGTTTGGCCAGGAGGGATTAGACCACCCAGCGTGGTCACTGACCGGTGGTTATCTCATCAAATCAACTCTCAATCAACATAAGAAAAAGGGGATCATGGGGGACCAACGGTAACCGATTAGGCATTGTTTGCTACATAGAGGGCACAAGTAGCTATACAGTGTAAGTAGTACAGTGGGGCTTTAAAGATTAGGGCCTTAATTGTTTCATAAAGCTTGTTAATAATAGCAAGTTACAATATCTATAAGCCATGGAAATCATGGTATCTGATTTGCTGAGAGCAAAGTTGTCATAGAAATGTATCATTTGTTATTGATAACAAGCTTTATACAACGTGGCTCAAGTAAGGACTCAATTGATATAAGGGGTTTCATGTTGTCATACTATATTCAAAATTTAAGCTTTAAATATCTCCTACAAAGAGATATTGCAATTTAAACGACTTGTTGAGTAGACGCACACATGCTCACATAGAATAGGGTTCACACTGAACCGACATGGACCTGGGTTCCGTAAGCCCCATTTTATGTTATCCTTTATATTCTTCATGGTACATTTAAAGAAATCTATTTGATAATAAAAATCTTCAAAAGTAAAATAAAAATCTGTTTATTCTAATGACATACCTTTTCCACAAAGAATGGAATGTGCTCTATTGATGGTGGTCTGGCAGAAAACTTAGTGTACAACCTAGCACTTTCAACCTGCAAATGATTTGAAGTAAAAAAGAAAAAGAAAATAACATTGGTTCATTTTGTGCTTCTTTAAACAGGCATGGGCTAGAGAAAGATTTTTGTCCTACTGTACATGAACTCTATCAAATTAGCAATATAAAACTTGAGAGAAGGGTACTGTGTAATTCAAAATTTTCTCAAAAGATGATTTAGTTATTTACCTACAAATGCATCTTCCTCTAAATATGACAATGGTATATAAAAAACAAGAGTAATTGTTTTTCTCTCACTGTAACTGTATGAAATGCATGTGACTGAAAAGTTAATGACACTGAAAATTGTGATATCGGAGAATGTTTACCTGAGGCCATTCCTGGAAAGCACCTGTCCCTTCTTGGTCTTCGTCGCTTGAGCCCCCAATCACGATGACAGGCCTGGACCACAAAACAAAATGGCCATTAATATGTTTAAATAATTGAAATTTCTCCTAGGAAGCATCACTTTTATGTTAAACAAAATCTAGTTTACTCATTCTAAACCATGAAGTCTTTGAGCACTCTTGGAAGATGAACTTTTGTGTATTACATAATAATGATAATAATAGCTCACATTTATAATGCGCCTAATACTTTGGTTCTAGGCGCAGCACATATGATTACCCCGGTTATCGGATTCAGGCTTACCCGCAACACAATGTATGTACATTCTCCACTCCATGGGGAGCATTCCAGCCAGTCACCATTTTAACAAGCGTTACGTACATGCTAATGCAACCACACCTCATCCTACCGGGTACCCATTTAACACCTGGGTGGAGATCGGCAAATGTAGATCAATGTCTTGCCAAAGGACATACATGTAAGTGCCGTGGCGGGATTTAAACCGCGGACCTTGTGATCCACAGTCCGGTGACATATCCACTCGACCACGACCAGATCTCCATTTAGTAGATATATGAAACTCACCAAGCATTGATGGTTGCATTAGCCAGTCCTCCTATAGTGTGTAGCATACCAGGCCCAGATACTACCAATACAACACCAGGTCTGACAAGAAAACAAACAGAAACAAATACCAGAGATCTGTCATTTATCCACAATCCCAGAATGGAACAGCCTTCAAGCAAATGCATTGCACGCAGGCTGGATCAATAACGGAACTCAGTTCACATCGTGCCATATTGCCACTTAAAATAGGATAAACTTTATTGTATTCAATCTGGCGCCACAAGTAAATAATTCTTCTCACATAAAATGCTCTGACTTCTGTTTCTGTGTTCTGTCAAGTTGTTGTTGTTGTGTTTTGAGTTATTGGCGATTAGTCAGTGATTTGACTATTGTCGCCAAATTACTTTACGGCACGTGTTATATCTCTCAATTTTGGATTTTAAAAAAAAATATATTTATTTCGTTTTATATTTATCTATCTTTTAAGATAGTATCGTAAAATAATATCGTAAGCAAAACATTCATGGGCTTTGTTAGTGTTTCTTAACAGTACGTGCAGATTATTTGTTATATCACATACACACCATACATAAATATGTATATAAGATAGCACCGACACAAGCTTCTATATTCAGTAATCTTATTATACCTTTTATCATTGTTGTTACTTTTTCTTATTTTATTTTCTTAATACATTATGTTATTATATTTTTAATGTACTGAGTGTAATTTAACATATTTATAATATCGTATTATGTTTTACTGTTCTTATTTTATTTTCTTATTACATTATGATTGTTATTATATTTTTAATGTACTGAGTGTAATTTAGCATATTATAATATTGTATAATGTTTTACTATTCTTATTTTATTTTCTTATTACATTATGTTATTATATTTTTAATGTACTGAGTGTAATTTAACATATTTATAATATTGTATTATGTTTTACTGTTCTTATTTTATTTTCTTATTACATTATGTTATTATATTTTTAATGTACTGAGTGTAATTTAGCATATTTATAATATTGTATTATATTTTACTGTTCATCAAGGGAGGTATTACTTCCTGATAGGGAACCGTTTCGTTCTGAGAAAGAACCGTACAATAGCTTTTTGTATACTGGACTCCATTATTCCATAATTTTTTCAGGTTGGGATTCGTTAATTTCTGTTAAAAACATAGCCCTTTCTATAATATAGTTAGGGCAATGTACTAAAAAATGTTTTACAGTCTCTATTTCACTGGGGCATCTATTACAGAAACCAGTAGCATGAATTCCCAATCTGAGGAGATCCTGGTTAAGTCCAAGGACTCCAAAGCGGAGTCGATGAATTATTGTTGAATGTTGTCTCTCTAATGAACATATATATGGTTTATTAACATCTTTTTGATATGTTTTCAAATACGAGTTGGTTTTGTTCCACCTTTCTTGCCAAAGGAGTTTGGAACTTGTAGTAATTAAGCTTTTCATTTCTGACATATTTAGATTATTATTGACTTCTATTTTCTTTACTAATGCGGCCTTTGCGTGGAAATCCGCCATCTCGTTCCCTTTTATTCCACAATGTCCAGGTATCCACTCTACATATATATCAACTCCTTTATTCTTTAAGTGAGTAGTCATGGTGAGAATTTCCAGAATAAAAGATTCGTCCTTCTGTTGTTGTAACGCAATAAGTGCACTCAGTGAATCACTAAAAATAACAACCCCCACATAAATGTCTAATTCATCTACCCATCTGAGAGCAAGAATGATGGCAGCCAATTCAGCCCTGTACGAAGAGGTGAAATTTGCTAACCTTTTGCTCCGATGTACAGAATAGTAAGGGACGTAAAAAGCAGCTGCAGAGGTCCCTCTTTCAGGTACTTTTGATCCATCGGTGTATATATGTAATTGAGTCGCCCATTTAGTATGTATGATTTCCAGGCTGCTTTGTTTTTGTTTTGTAGGATGATCTGTTTTCTTTATTCGAGTACTTAATTCCGTTGACACTGCCGGAGGGTAGAATAACCATGGTGGAAATGGGGAGTAGGTTATCGTTTCTATACGTTTTCCCAGCCTGCACTAGCGAAAAAACCTGCACTAGCGATTTTAAACTGACTCCAAAATCTACGGTGTCTTCAAATTGACCTCAAACCCAAAAGAAAAAATTAAATAGAAATACAAAATAAGGTTTGCTCAACAAACCACAGGCAGTCCAGATAACTTCCAGGGACTGCTCCTGTGGCCTCTAATGCCCTTATCTCATTAAGAATCATTTGTCTTTCTCACACCGCTTGTAATCTTTAGTTTAGCTTTGTGATAGGCTACATATAGCCCCTTGAAGATTACCAGAAGAAGAAGAAGAAGAATGACACTGTGTGAATGAAAGTTACCCCCCCCCCCCAAAGAAAAATGAATCAACAAGAAATCGTACAAGGGAATACTGATTATAAATTTTACAGTTGCCAATTTAGAGACTTCAATGATTAGTGAATAAGTCAATACATGCCACATTAGTGTACGGTACTGCAACAGAATTGGAATTAAATTATCAAGGATTAAAATAATCATCAATAGAAGGTAACACTAAACAGTCTAAGCTGCTAAATCCATTAACCCTAATAAGGCCGGGGGGGGGGCATTATGCCCCCCCCCTCCATGATTTTTTCGATTGCTCGGGAACGCATATGGATGGCGCCCCACCGTTCGCTGACTTTTTTCTTTCAAGTCTTTTAAAAGAATTTTTTTGAAAATCAGACCTACGGTTACAAGGTCACGTGACCTTTTGTCTTTGCATGTCAGCCTGAAAATCGCTCATTTTCGTGATTTGTGTACAAACATACGGAAAAGTCATTTTTCCTAAAAACAGATCAAACATGGGTTGTTGGGTCTTGTTTAAAGTTTAGGTGGTTGTTTTGAGAGTCAAAATAGTTGAATTGTAGTAAGAAATGAAATAAAACAACAAAAACAATGAAATACATAAGAAATTATCAAAACAAGGGATAACATAAGGAATAAGCTGGCTCTTCCAATTTTTGTTGTCGTATTATTATATGTAGTGAAAAAGAATGCTTAAATATGAATAATATATGATCTATGGGTAAAATTGTGATTTATATGACTTTATTTGCATAAATTACCATAAATATGCAAATGAGTGAATTTGTAAAAAAATTGAAATTATCATATTATTTTATACACTTCACTTGACATGCGTGCAAATTTTCGCGGCGATCATCTTAAGGGGGGGGGGGCATAATGGCCCCGCCCCCGGCCGTACTAAGACCTCAAATAGCCCGGCCTTTTTAGGGTTAAGGGTTTGGATATATACTTTCAGAGCCGCAGTCATAAAGAAACCCAGAAAGGTGTTAACACTGAATTAACGTATGTGAATTATTGCCCTTCTGGCTTCAGATAGACGGAATAAAAGTAGAGATTTGATTTGAGAGAATTCATATTTTTAAGAAAAACTTTCTTTCATTATATAGACATTTTTTCAGATCCTAAATAATGGCATAGTACCAGAATATCTAACATGGCAAGCAGAAATCAAATCCACATTGATAGAAGTTAGAATATTTTCAGTTGAATGATTGATATTGAAAAGAAACTCTTTTTCGAAATCACCTTTATTATGCAAAAAAAAAAAGGGATTGCAAAAAACATTCCGTCCAGGTTGCTTGTTAAAAAAAGAACAATGCATAGGATGATATACACTATACGATGAGGAACATATCATATAAGGTATTACATTAGATGGAGTGTTACATAATAAATATGGCAATATAGCTTGAGATTGTAGAGTTTAAACTTCAAAGTTTAGAGTATAAATATTTTGAAAAATGCATAAGACAAACAAATGACAACATTTCCCAACTAACCTTCCTGTGAGATATCCTATAGCTTGAGCAGCATAAGTGGCCTTTAGAAATAAACACAAAATAAAAAAAGGATGAGGGACTAGATGATATTGGCAAACAGTTCATTTGTATGAAAGCAGGTAAATAATTGAAACAGAATAGCGAAAAATTTAACATACAAATAAGTGTACATCGGACTAGTAAAAAGGAAAGTTATGAGTGTTTGAAGTATATAATAAAACCACCATATCTATGCAAATTGACAATTTGATCAGTGGATATAGAGATACATCACATATCAAATATTTCCTCCTAGGGGCACTACTCAAAGTATATTAGGCCTACCAAAAAAGATGTTGGATTGCCCTTTAGGTGCCAAAACATGGGTATTTCCCTCTTTGGAATATTTTTCACTTTTGAATGCTTTAATACATTTTTTTCCTAAAAACTTTTTTTTAAAGCCGACCATAGAAATCAAGATTTTTGGGTCGGTCGCAAAGGGCAATACAAAATCTTTTTTTAGGCCTTATGGATAGTACTATGATAGGTCCTCTGTAAAGAAAAATCCAAACACACTAATGCAATCACTTTTGTATACACTGATTTGCAGTTTCCTAACCACAACTCAAGTTCCTTTACCATTGACCTTTAACCCCTGTACTTACTACTTATTCCTCCCTCATGCTATGACCCTGAACCATCCAGTCTGCATTGGCACACTGAATTCAATGACAGGGTAATACCCACTATAACACAATTAATTGACCTTTGAACTTTATACTTAAAGCTTGTTCAATCGTCATGGCTATGAACTTGAGCCCTGCAACCTGCATTGCTATACTATTACTTACTTACATGTAAATGGATGACACATAATCACTCATAACACGATTCATTGACCTCTGAACTTTATACTCACAGCTTGTTCATTCCTCATGGCTATGAACTTGAGCCCTGCAACCTGCATTGCCACACCGACTTCAATGACCGGATAACCCACGATTCCGAATACATATTCTACTCCCTGGAATTAAAAGAGGATAAATAAAATGTAATAAGACGACTCTAAGATCTTGTACATGTAAGTCAGGAGGGGGAGGCAGTGGTGTATCCCCTGGAGGGAAGGGGCCCAGGCCCCCACCCCTGGCAAAAAATAAATAAATTAAAAGATAGTACCTTTAAAAAAAGAAAAAACAAAGACGGGGCACCCCAATATTGTTAGTGCTCACAACCCCGGTCCCCCCCCCCCCCCCCCCGCTGATGCGCCGCCCCTCTCCATCTAGCAAGTAGGTGTACTTTTATTTACATCACTATCAGTGACAAGTCTCTGCAGTCTGCAGAACAACCATTCAGATTCAAAGACTGAACATCTGAAGCCTTTGCGGCGCCTCGCCCTCGGTCTAGCCTCTAGTCTAGTGTTAGCCTAGTTCTACATGTATAGCCCTAGGCTAGACAGAAATAACCATCTGATTTGGGTCATTTCTGTAATAAAACTGACATTTGTTGACATTCCCCAATACAGACGGTAACCCAGAGATCTCGTACCGTGGGGGTAATTTAGAGCCACAGCGGAACATCTTTTCGTTCCCGACATTTCTCCCCCGATTTACTTTATTTAGATCTAATTTTCTGATTTCTAAATCAGATGTAAATTAGGTTGGTATGTCATTTGTCCTAATTACAGTTATCAAAATTTGATAACTTAATATTAAATACATAATTTACGGAGTTACTTATTATGAGTTATCCAATTTTATCTCAGAACCGCGAAGCAGTACGTTCATGCATTCGAACTATTACCCGACGGCCGATATATTTCCGGTTCAACCTACCAAAACATAGCCAATGGCCAATCAGAGCACTCGTTTCGTGGGAGTTCGTTGGTCAAGCCGGGCTAACTCGTACATAGCTACGGTAGCTATTGGACGTTCGAAAAGAAAAAATGAATATTCATCAACTAAAACCAAGACAGATAATGCTGATGAGACTTTCTCGGATTAATCATTAATTTAGGATCTAAATGAGCAAGCTATCGTAAGTCAAATAAGCTATATATATGTTATTTTTAATTTTTATCATAATTGCAGCAGTTATGAGGATGTAAAGAGTGAAAATCTTGTTGCATATATCATTCATCGCGGTCCGGTCGAGCCGAACCATTTGTTCCGTACAGTCCCGTACAGTCCCGATAAGCCATACTTCAGTCTCTATAATCGGAGGTCTAGTGGAGCCAGACGTAGTCTCAGTGGAACAACCAACGATTAGAGAGACTGAAGTTTTCGGTCTAGGTCCAGCCCTAGGCCTACATTAAAAACCTGTTTTTTGTAGACTTTAGACAATTAGTCTGTATATGACAGAACACCTTACAATTTGTATGTTTTCTTTCTTGCCAATAAAAGAACTAGGTGGGTTAGATAAAAACAGCTAACAAAATTAAACATGTTCCAGCATTTTTAAATTTTCCGACACCACATGGTATCGCTTCTTGGTTTATTTAGCACACAAGGACAACGGAATATGTGTACATTGCTGTACAATATATTCCTTCATTCAATTTTAAGTGAGTGTGTGTCTGCGACTGCCATTTATAATATCGCTTAAAAACACAATTTGCCAGTACCAGAACTTTGTACAGTTGAAAGAGTAATTATTTAAGCTTACCTGATCAAGTAAAGCACGGGAGAGAACTGTGGCCCCATCTACTAAGTCACCAGCCATTTTTCAGAGTCAAGTAATTTTGCAGTAAGAGTTGGTGGGCGTTTGTTTGTTTACAGTTAGCATCGCGCGTTCCATAGTCGAGCTTAACTATGGAATTCCAGTCCATATTATCCACGACATGTATTTTTAATGTTTTATCATGGACATTAATTTGAACAAACAAACATATAAATAAATAAATAGGCAAACAAACCTAGACAAAGAAAAAGAAAGACAAAGAGAGAGAGACAAAATTGGAGACGATCGAAGAAGATCTTTGACTCCTTGAAATACAATAATTCCATTTATCAGCAGCTCTAGATCTATACCACTTATTTCACAATTAGTAAGTGTATAAATGTTCGTGATTTCACATGATTTTCAACAAAATGCTAGTAGGGGGCCGGAAATTTGAAAATTGCGCAGACCTTTTTTTCAACTCAACATACCAATACTGACAAGGTCATATTAGAAGCACCATACCAGTACAAGTTTTGACATTTTCATCGTGGGGGAGGGGGGGGGGGGGGGGGGTGGGCTATAGCCTCTTGCCCGAAAAGGTAATTTTCTGGTTTCACAATTCGGATAGTGAGCGAAGAGAGCGAGCAATAATTTGAGCATAAGTATTTTGTGAAAGTGTTATTTATCACCGAAATAAAAACGGAAAGATATCAAAAACTGATATTCGGGCAGGTCGCTGTCACCCCCCCCCCCCCCCCCCCCCCGCCGCCGCCATTACGCGCGAAGCGCGGAAGCTTTGACCTTTCATTAATTATTAGAGAAAGAAGACGATTTGTCGAACAACTCTTGACTCTTATAATTCAGCCCCCTCCCGCTTGGAGTACGGTAGCTTTGGCCTTTCATAGTTTAGTGAAATTATTAGAGAAAGATATGATTCGTTGTTCCATTTTCGACTCTTAATCCTTCTCTGAATTCAGTTTTCCCCCTCCCGCGCAAAGCGTGGAAGCTTTCATTAAATTATTAGACAAAGAAGACGATTCGTTTTACCATTCTCGACACCCAATTCTCGTCTGAATTTAGTTCACATTTCATTAAATTATTAGAGAAAGAAGACGATTCTTTGTACCGTCCTCGACTCTTTATCCTTATCTGAATTCAGTTTCTCCCCGCCCGCGCGTAGCGCGTAAGCTTTGACGGTTCATTAAATTATTAGAGGAAGAAGACGAATCGTTGTACCATTCTCGTCTCCTTGTTTGAATTCAGTCTTTCCCCTCCCGCGCGAAGCGCGTAAGCTTTGACGTTTCATTAAATTATTAGAGAAAGAAGACGATTCGTTGTACCGTTCTCGACTTGTCAGAATTTTCAAAAATGTTTCTTTGTCTGCTCCTTTTTCGTCCTATGTCCTCTTACTGCCCCTACCGCCCCTGGCTACGCGCCTGCTTTAAAGGGAAAAAGAAACAATCATGATTGTGATAGCACAATTAGGTTAGTAGAAAGGGAAAAAAAGATCTATTACAACAACCAAATCACGGCCTGGAGCGTCATATCATAGTTTTGTGTTATCGGGCGAGGGCCGGGGCGTAGCGACCAAGCGAGATTTTGCAATGTTGAATGCTGAAATTATGTATTCTAGAAAATCCCGAAGCCCAATATGTACGTTCTTTCCGCTATATTTCTTTCTAGCTATATTTCTAAATTTCCTGGGGGACGTGTCCCCCTATCGGGCCCAGGATTTCCGCCCCTCTCCATGATTACTACCAACATGAGTTCAAATACAAGCACATGCAAGCGAGTTGGTATGAGCTGAATCCAAATGAAGGGCAAAATAAGAGTTGTGAAACGGCCCTACCGTTAATTTAAAATTTGACTGTTGAGTATATAGCTTCTATTTAAAAGATATCCAAAATATTGTGCCCTTTTCAAATTTCTTACTAAAGAGTGATGACGTAGCGCAAGTCGGCTATTACTTCAACGTTCGTAGATGCTGTACCCATACCAGTTCCAAGGTCTCGGTATGTGGAGCGAAAGGAGAAGGGGAGGATACGGAAGCGGAGGAGAAGGAAACTTCAGCGTTTGAAAAGAAGAAAGAAGGTATTGTGTGAAAATAATCTCTTTCCTACAGTTCCCATTGATTCATAACTCTAAATCTCTTTTTTTTCAGGTTAGTTTTATTAATTTCAAAATTAAGTTTAACATGTATAATGAATCAAATTTGGTTAACATCTACATGTAGTATTTATTATATTTTAAATGCTGTCAATGGCGTGAAGTATATATTTTACAGAAATAAAATAAATTTAAATTGTTTCTGATCTACCGGTATTTGATTCAATGTCATTGCCATATAGAGTAAGAGTTGTGTAATCATTTTATGAAAAAATAACACATGGCCTTCATGAAATGATTTTCACAATTCATGAATCATGTTTTTGCTTTTTGTTTAGCTACGACATGGCCCACTTCAGCAGCTGACTGACCTCCCACATCAACAAGACGAGCATCCACATCCCCAGCCTGCCCCATCCCCATCAGAAGCGGATCGTCCCTCTCCAGAGCCTCCGGACTCGTTACCTACTCTCTTAATTTCTAGGACTTAAATTTTAAATCCATTTTGAGACTTAAAATATTTCAAGTCTTTAAGACTTAATAAATTGGGAATTCGACTAAAAGTTTTATCGAAACCAGCTTCTAGATATAAATCTTGGAAAGACTTAAACTTCTCGCCAATAAGATGTGCATATTTCCAGTTGCACCTGTTGATGACTGACTGTTGGCATATTTCCAGTTGAACCAGCTGACACCAATTAATTTGCATATTGAATATGGGGTGCGTGCAGATCTATGTTTTTTTTAACAATTTTTCTGAATTTACAGCATATTTCTTAATTACTGATGATTTAGGTATATGCAATTCATTTCGAAAATACTACAAATATAAATTACAAGTTATTAGGACATTTCGCTACTTCGTATGAATTCCATTTAATTAAACATGAATAAGGGAAACATTAACTATGAACTAAAATAATTTCAATAAAATACAAGTATATGAAAAAAAAATCGATTAATTAAATTATGTATAAGTCTACTTATTACCGATGCCTTTACATTGATAATACAGACGTACCAGTATTGAAGTGTTGTTGCCGTTCAATTGGTTGGAAGTTTTACCAAATGGTTCTAATGGCTTAGCTAGACCAGTAAATCTAAAAGACTTGAGATATAAATACAATTGACTTAAACTTTAAATCTTTCAGGGACTTAAAATTTTAAGTCTTAGCTTAGATTTATTTTTGAAATGAATCCAAGAAAGGTTTAAAATAAATATTAAAAGACTTGAAATATAAATCCAATTGACTTAAATTTTAAACCTTTTCAGGGACTTAAAATTTCAAGTCTTAGCTTAGACTTATTTTAAATCCCAAAGGGTTCGTCACTAATATCAGTCTCTGTTAGATTTAAAAGTAAGACTTTAAGATTTAAAAATAAGACTTTCAAATTTAGAGAGTACCTTACGAGATAATCCCCTTCCAGAACCTCCAAGGCCTCGGGTTAGTTTTATTACAGTTAATTTCAAAATTAACTTATGTAGTAACATGTATAATGAGTCAAGTTTGGTTAACATCTAGTATTTATTATATTTCAAATGCGGTCAATGGAGTGTAGTATATGTTTCACAGAAAATAAAATTATTCAATTAAAGCTTAACAGAGCTTTTGGAATTTTTTTTTCCTAATCTATTCAATTGAATGTCATAGCCATATAGAGTAAGAGTTGTGTAATCATTTTATGAAAAAATGAAATGTGGCCTTCATGAAAATAATTTTCACAATTCTTAAATTCTTAATCATTATGTTTTTGCTTTTTGTTTAGCTACGACATGGCCCACTTCAGCAGCTGACTGACCTCCCACAGCAACAAGATGACCATCCCCAGCCTGCCCCATCCCCAACATTACCGGATCGTCCTTCTCAAAAACCTCCGGACCCGTTACCAACCGTAGAAGATGGCCCCTCTCCAAAGCCTCCGGACCGGCTACCAATGGCGGAAGATCGTCCCCCTCCAGAGCCTCCTGACCCGCTACTGACTGTAGAAGATCGTCCTCCAAAACCTGCGGACCTGCTACCAACCGTAGATGATGGCCCCTCTCCAAAGCCTCCGGACCGGCTACCAATGGCGGAAGATCGTCCCCCTCCAGAGCCTCCTGACCCGCTACTGACTGTAGAAGATCGTCCTCCAAAACATGCGGACCTGCTACCAACCGTAGAAGATGGCCCCTCTCCAGAGCCTCCGGACCGGCTACCAATGGCGGAAGATCGTCCCCCTCCAGAGCCTCCTGACCCGCTACTGACTGTAGAAGATCGTCCTCCAAAACCTGCGGACCTGCTACCAACCGTAGAAGGCCCCTCTCCAGAGCCTCCGGACCGGCTACCAATGGCGGAAGATCGTCCCCCTCCAGCTCCTCCTGACCCACTACTGACTGTAGAAGATCGTTCTCCAATACCTGCAGACCTGCTACCAACCGTAGAAGATTTTCATGACCCCACATTGATGCACAGTAAGAATACAAATGTTTCGCTGGGATGAGTAAAAATCCACCCTGCCACAAATCGGTTTGTGGGCCGTGTGCAATTTGTAAGCGTGGAGGAAATTTGAAATATTTTCATCTCTGTACAATTAAATTAGCTTCCCTTATAGAGTTTATTAAGAGTGAAAATCCTCATGTAAGCCAGGAAAGTTGTATTTGCCGTGCATGTCGTTCACGGGCTTGTAGAAAGATAAAAGATTCTGCTTACACCCCTGAAAAAACTCGCAAAAAAGATTGGTCTCATTGTTTTTTATCTCACTTTCTCATGTGCGACCTAGTTGCTGAGGTCAACACATGCTGTACCTTGGATGATTTTAATAATACATTTTCTTTGCAGTGTGAGTCTATTCCCAACAGCATATCTCTATGTAGGAAACATAGAACCCAAGTTTCAAATTTTCATATGAGGAAGAACACTTTGAGATGTTTTATTTGTAAATCTGTAATAAGAAGTGAGGACAGGATATATTGTTCAACAGTTCTGTCAGAAACAGCTGTCATTAGGTTAAAGGAAATTGATACAACATTTTCTGTCAGTAATGATGTTCATTTATGTGCAGGATGCTATCGATATTCAATGAGAAGTATATCAAAAATACCAACACTGGATGAATTGGAAGCTGAAATTATCAAGCAAAATCAAAGTATTGGAGAAATTCAGACTCCAAAAGATGCTTGCGATAAAGCACTGGTGTCTACCTTACAAATTCTTTTGATGATATGTAGAAAAGAGCATGGTTTTTTGATGCCAAGGGCATATGAACTTTATCTGCAGACCCTTAAAAAAGTTTGTGCTGACACAGTGCAGTATGAGTTTGCAAAACGATCAAAAACTTGGTTAAAAGTTAAGATTATGGATCAGATTGGAGATAAACTGCTTGTCAGCAAGGCTTCATTAAAAAAAGGAGACTTTTTGTATGTAAAAGATCTTACTAATTCATGAAGCACTTCCATCACTTTGGCAGTGCTTTCTAATAAATGCACAAATTGGGTAGTTTCCTTCTTTAAAGATTATTCTGTGCATATTATGAGTCCCTTATTGTTCCTAAGCTAACAACTGATCCATTATATTATGTTGATTTGCATGGTGGGAGGTAATGGATGCCTATTTTCTCACGAAATGAGTGAACTATAACGAAATTGCCTGAACGCGCGTGTACAAATAATGTATTACAAGACGCCATACATAAAGCTCTTGTATAAAATTCCTCCACACACAAAAAAAGATAACAATAATAAGCATTATTTTGTTGACAATACAGGACCAGTCAACCAGTCGATCTTACAAACACGGAGCATGGCTAGTCTGCAGGCACAGACCCTAATCTGACACTTAATCAAACAATTCGTCCTTCTTTTCACGAAGTGACGGTAGCGAGGAAAATCGTAACGCAAAGTGAATGCAATTTTTTTTCACTACCGTCACTTCGTGAAAACAGCGACGAATTATTGTGCCTTGAGAGAAGTCTAGCCCAGCTACCTACTGGTTGTGTCAATACAGTACATGGCCTATGGTAGTCTTATAGTGCAGACTCACTTTTACGACTGACCAGGGTTTGTGCTTGCAGACTAGAGCATGGCTGTTATGTGGGAACTACTACTAGTGCAGCGGCTTAGCAAGAAAATTGTGCACTTTTTGAGAAAAGCATGAAACTTCCAGCATAGTTTGCTTTCACCATAAGATTTATTTTCAGATGTGGAGGGAAGTCAGATTTGACCTCTGATGACCCTGAGAGGTCAAATCCAAAATGGCCGCTTGTCCGCATGGTCTAATGTACAAACACGCTTAACTTTTGAACCAAATACACCAGAAAAACGTTTAAGGTGTCATTTCCAACTAACTTGGGGATGCCAATTCATTTGGTAATACTTTTGAGATCACCTGAACTCAGGGTTTTGCATTTAGGTCAAGGTCAAGGTCAAAATTGACTAAAAATAGCAAGTTTTGAATAGTTACAAAAGGTTAAATCTCATTTATTTGTCATTTGTTCTCAAATTTATTTAGGAATGGTTCACCTGCCGAGTCCTCCACCTTAATCCTTTTCAGTTAGTTTATTTCACAGTTTGATGTGACCTCTGATGACCCTGAGAGGTCAAATCCAAAATGGCAGCCAGTCCGCATGGTCTATAAACGTGAACTTGAACCAAATAATCTAGAAAAACGTTTAGAAAAACGGTTAGAGATCGCCAGAACAAAGAGCCCCCGTGAGAAGGCTCACGGGGGCTCTTTTATTACTGACGGGGGCTCTTTTTTTATACAAAATATCCATTGAATTGGTACCTATGATACTCCTCAATTATTTGCTATTTTTTCATTATCATTTCAATCAGGATTTTCCCTCTTACAAATTTACAAGCTACATATAGCTGTTACTGGCCTGTGTATATAATATATACGCATACAACACTGATCTTTATGATGTCTTTAACGTGACATATCTTCTTCTCCCCTTGCAAACGAAAAAGAAAACAAGGTCATTAAAAGGGATTAAGCGACAAATAATGATTGTGATTCAAATTGATGCAAATATTTGTTTGAATAAGCACTGCTATTCACCCGAATCTTCTTTGTAAAAACAACTTTTACAAATCTCAGCCATGCTCACTGAGTTGAGACGTTCCATTCAATTTGAAATACCCATTACATAATACACTTCTCCTAATCTCAAAGTGATCTTACAGCACAGTAGCAGAATTATTGCATGGCTGAGATTTGTAAAAGTCGTTTTTACAAAGAAGATTCTGGTGAAAAGCATTGCTTATTCAAAAAAATCCTTGCATCAATTTGAATCACAATGATTATTTGTCGCATGGTCCTTTTATTAAATAACCTTGTTTTCTGTTTTGTTTGCAGAGGGAGAAGAAGCTATGTCACGTTAAGAAATCATAAAGATCAGTTGTATTATGCGTATATACATTATGATACCAGAACAAATGTTGATTATCAGAATGTCATTTTGAAATACCTCTATACAAATACCACACTGTCTTTAGCCCGTATCAGTATTAGTATGATCCAATATAAAGCTATTATTCTTTATTTAATTCAGTATAATGCTTTTCCTCAAAAATAGTTTTGCTATTTTTTTAGGGTTGAGACGCTAAGAAATGGTTTCAAATGTACATTACACGAACCCTGAACCATTGCAAAATGATGGTGGTTCTCTCTCTCTCTCTCTCTTTATTTTAATCATCCATTATCAACTACATATAAAGCAGCAACCAAAAACTTATGATTATCTGAGATAGGTGAAAGTAAGAGTTAAACAGAAAGTCATGCTAAAACGGCGCTTCACTTCCCCCCGCCCCCTGAAAAAAATTAAATAGATTAGTAGTCCTCCTCTCCAGCATCCCCCCCCCGCTTTAATATCACATTTTCACTTGGCAGCACAAGGGGGCCGGGGTGGGAGGAGGGGGTTAAACCCCCTAACCCCCCCCCCCCGTAGATCTGCCCATGTTACCATATCATTCCACGACATTTTGGTCTTCCTCTTCTCCTCAAAAGGGACTTTTAGATTTGCGTGGACGTGGACGTGGACGTGTTACGTCCTTTTAAGGCACTGGCAGTCACATTATGTGACGTCCTTTTATAAGCACTGACCGTGCCTTAAAAGGAGGTCACACGTTGCAGTCCACGTTCACATCGTGCAAATCTAAAAGTCCCTATTGATTTACTGGTCGAGGTTCATTATTTGCTGACAACAAAAAACTTCTCCAGGCCATGCATGTTTCTGCCCTTGCGCGATCGCCTCCAGCTCCAGCAGACATGGCGCGGCAGCGTGCACACGCACCGCTACTAAAGGCGCAGTAGGCCTATATAACCACTGCTGACGGCGGCACTGCACTGCGAGCTGAATCGGTAATAATAGGCCTACTCATAAAACGAGAAATCTTGCACGCTAATCTTAGTTCCATTTCATTGGTTTAAGGTTTGAAAATTGAAACTCAATATTGTGTTAAAGTTATAACAGAAAAGATAATCTTTATTTTATAATTCCACCGGGGCGATTTTTAATTTTGCAATCGCCCCCGTGAGCAACCTGACGGGGGCGATTATGTAGCTCACGGGGGCGAATCGCCCACCGCCCCCGTGTATTTTGAGCGCTGCAGTAGCTGGCCTCTGACCATGCTATATGCAAATGGTCAGTTACAAGACAAATAATGGTTTGGTGCTATAATTAGTGAAATAAACTAACTGATTACGATGGAGACTATGCAGGGGAACCACTCCTAAAGAAATTTGAGAACATAAGGGGACAAAAAAATGGGAAAACTTTTTGTAAACATTCAAAACTTTTACCTTGACTTAATGCAAAAGCCCTGAGTTCTGGTGTACTAAAAAGTATTACCAATTGAATTGGCATCCCAAAGTTAGTGGGAAATGACACCTTAAACGTTTTGCTGGACTATTTGGTTCAAGAGTTAAGCGTGTTTGTACAATTATTAGACCATGCTGCGGACTGGCGCCATTTCTTATTTGACCTCTTAGGGTCATCAGAGGTCAAATCGAAATGTGAAATAAACTAACTGAAAGGGATTAAGGTGGGTGACTATGCAGGGGAACCACTCCTAAAGAAATTTGAGAACATAAGGGGACAAAAAAATGGGAAAACATTTTGTAACTATTCAAAACTTGCTATGTTTTAATCAATTTTGACCTTGACCTTGACCTAAATGCAAAGCCCCGAGTTCTGGCGATCTCAAAATTATTACCAAAATGAATTGGCATCCCCAGGTTAGTTGAAAATGACACCTTAAACGCTTTTCTGGACTATTTGGTTCATGAGTTAAGCGTGTTTGTACAATTATTAGACCATGCGGCGGACTGGCGGCCATTTTTTATTTGACCTCTCAGGGTCATCAGAGGTCAAATCAAAATGTGACATAAACTCACTGAAAGGGATTAAGGTGCGTAAATTCCTAAAGAAATTTGAGAACATAGGAGAGAACAAATGACAAATAAATGGGAAAACTTTTTGTAACCATTCAAAACTTGCTATTTTTTAGTCAATTTTGACCATGACCTTGACCTAAATGCAAAACCCTAAGTTCAAGCGATCTCAAAAGTATTTCCAAATGAATTGGCATCCCATAGCTAGTTGGAAATGACACCTTAAATGTTTTTCTGGACTATTTGGTTCAAAAGTTAAGTGTGTTTGTACATTAGACCATGAGGAATAGCGGCCATTTTGGATTTGACCTCTCAGGGTCATCAGAGGTCAAATCTGACTTCCCTCCACATCTGAAAATAAATCTTATGGTCTAAACTAACTATGCTAGAAGTTTCATGCTTTTCTCAAAAAGTGCACAATTTTCATTATATTGGGAGCTTATCCGCTGTACTATACGAGGTCCATGGTGTAATATAATATGCATCGACCTATCTGGTCCAATAGACAGTGATCAAAGTTATACACCATAACAGCTATATCCTTGCTAATGCGATGAGATTTGAATATTTGCTCATAGATCAGTTTTGTGTACATTCTAAGCTGTGTCGTGAAATCGGAAACGTGGAAATTACCCCTTGTCCGGTGTGAATGCAGGCACTAAGTTGTGTTCGAAGTCTAATGTGAGTTATATGCACCTGATCATGTATCAGATTTATATCAATATCAGATATGCACGTAAACTATAATTATATACATGTATATTCATATTTATTATTATATTGTTCTGTACCAATTAATAGCAATGTGTTACTGATGAGCGGCATAGTCGATGCAGGAAGAAACTAAGGCCAAACTGAACACGTGATTACTTTTTACTCTTGCTGCATACAAGCGTATACATAGATGACTGTTTAAGTTGGGCGGGGGGGGGGGGGGGGGCGGGGGGGGGGGGGCGGAGACGAAGTCGGCGAAATATGAAAAGGCAACCCAACTTCTGTAATAAGTTCATTTGTATGAAAGTAGAAAATAAGAGAAACGGCCGGAGTGGAGAAAGTTTGAAATAAATCGGAGCTATGATAAAACAATTATGAATGGTTCAAATAATTATAAGATTACTAAATATTATGTGTATCTCAATGTGGCAATTGGGTGAGTAGATCGTGACGTTTTGAAGGAAAACATTCCCGTTTGTTGTGTACAAAAATATTGTTAATTTACGTTTTGTTCTACCCCTATAAGCGCCTTCTCCCTTGTGGCACTACTCAAAATATAATATCGATAGCATTTTATACGTCCTCTAAAATTAAAAAGACTTTCCCCTGCTACCATACATAATGACATTTTTTTTTAAATACATATTTTATGTGTTGAATCAAATGGGAAAGTTGTCCGGCACTATACGACACAGGCAGTGACATTACCGATTCAGGCGATTTTAAAGTGCCCATACGACAATGATTACAACATTCCAAATTGTATAACTTCCTTATTTTTGTCTGATTTCATTCCAACTTTCACATGTCTGCTTTTCTGATTTGTCTGTACTCTTTACAGTCGAATAGTTGTCTGTTCAAGGTTGGAGCTTCCTTTAATAAAGCCTTCCCCGGGATTGTGAAACTACCAATATCCGGGCAACTTTAGGCTCTATTATATTCAATAGGGGTGAGAACTTATTTTTTTCTTTTTTTTTGCCCTCGGAAATTTTGAAATCGTGCCGACCGATAACCCCCCCCCCCTCCTTGGGGAAGGGGGGGGGGGGGGAAGTAAGCACTATTTTTTTCGGCCCTCGAAAATTTGAAAAATCGCACCCCCTTGAGCGCCAGAGGAGAGGGCCCATCGCCAAAAAAGGTAAAATTTAACGGGTTTTTCTCCAGGGGAGGGGGCCCGGATCCGCCACTGAATATGGCAAACTTTAACATACTGCCCCAGTGGGTCCCCTTTCAAATTTTCGACCCAGGTTTTGAAAGAGTGGTCCCCCACCCGCCCTCCCCCACCACATTCTAGATCCTCCCCTTGTAGGAACCATTTTGATTACGACCAATGCATGTGTTCCCCAATCCTTGTCTTGTTTCTTTTGTAAAAACATGTATTTTAATTGGACCCCTATAATATGAAAAACAGCTGTGCTGACTAGCGTGTTCCGCCCGTATGTGGAAATAAAAAAAATAAAAAAATACCCCTGATCACATCACATTTTCATGGGAGTTTTTTTTTTTTCTTCTTCTTTCTTTTCTTTGCAGTTATCCAGCCGCAGAGAATAAACGGTTGAGTCTAGCTCGGAGGTCTGCAGAGCAACTATGACAGGGTTAACGATGCCTAACATTGCACTGATCGGCCTTTTCTTGACACACATCCGCACCTGTGGTGCATCGAACATATTAGTAAGCCCCCTCATCGGCAAGGGAAGCCATTTCTATCTCTCAGCCGCCATTGGGGAGCAACTTCTCGTCCGAGGTCATAACCTTACCTACCTGGTCAGTAATGCGTTCGAAGACCACGTCAAGAAGAGTCGTTTCGGTGAGATGTTCCACTATGAAGTATTCAAGCATTCGATCCCCGTGGAAGACATCCACGAACTGTTCCACAATTTAAGCCGATCCCTCTCATCAGTAGGTCCAGGCAATGAGTACAACGTGAGTAAGATATTATTCGAGACTCAGCGAAACGACTGCACCGCCATTCTTGAAGACGAATTCCTTATGACTCGTCTTCGATCTGCAAACTTCTCATCACTCTTGTACGACACCACTTGGGTTTGTGGCGCGATCATTGGAGAGGTCCTTAACCTTCCATATTTTGCAGTTGTTCCCTATCCAAGTCCTTGCTTCCACACAGCTAGTGAAGGTTCAGGGTTCAATCCAACCTATGTACCATCTATAATGACATCTTACTCCAGTGTCATGTCTTTTAAAGAGCGCTTAATTAACTCATTGGCTTTCGTAATTTATCACAATCTAGGTATACAAGTTACAATAAAGCCCTACAAACCTATATGTGAACGATTTGGTATAGCAGACCCATATGATCTTATGAAGAAGATAAAGCTGTGGTTTGTGAACAGCGACTTTGTTGCAGAATATCCTTGTGCCTTACCCCCTAATGTCATTCCAGTGGGTGGTCTTACGTCGCGAGATCCCATGCAACTCTCATCGGACATAGAAGACTTCATCCAAGGTTCAGAAAGTGACGGCATCATCATCTGTTCATTTGGCACCATCCTGACCCTGGATGACTCTAACATGGCCCTGTTTAAGATGTTTGTAGAGGCGTTTACCAGGTTACCCCAGAGAGTTCTCTGGCTCGTGAAGACATCGCCTCCATTTCCTGTCCCCTCAAGTATCAAGATTCTGCCGTGGCTTCCCCAGAATGATATCCTTGGACATCCTCAAACGAGAGCCATTTTCTTTCATGGAGGGCACAACAGTTACTATGAAGCTATTTATCATGGTGTTCCTGTAGTTGCGATGCCCGTCATTGCAGACCATTTTGACGTGTCGAACAGAGTTGTACACTTCGGGCTTGGACTGAAGCTAAACAAAGATAACATAACATCGGATATGATTTATGAAGCTCTGTATGAAGTAACATCCAACAGCACCTACATGCAAACAGCCAAACGGATGTCGGCTAATTTACGGAATCGGCCGATGAAGCCGGCTGAACGAGCAGCGTTTTGGATTGACCACGCCCTCAACCATGGCACCGACAATCTTGAGATATCCGCAGAACATTTGAATATTTTCCAGTATTATCTCTTGGACGTGATAGCTTTCATTTTCCTGGTTATTATATTTTCTGTTTACTTTACAATCAAGTGCATTAAGGTGGTATGTAGCCGAATATGTCGCTTTCGAAATCCAACGATAAAGGAGAAAGCTAAGTGAAGGATTATTAAACAAACATTGATTTGCTCAGATCTTGCTTCTAAATGATCAGAATTATGTGCTGTCAAGTTCTCCTGTTATCAAATACATTTTCCCCGAAATTTCTTGTTAAAGGGCAAGACTAATGTGATCTTTTCTGTCCGATACATATAATACCGGCCATATCCGTATACGAGCTGTCATGTTCTTGTGTTCTCCTGTTTTTCGTAAATAGGCCTACTTGAAGATTGAATCAAGGTAGAGATTAGGCTTTTTGAAAATATAGATTTTGCTCATTTTGTTTACACTTGATAACGTGACAATAAAATGTTTTTATCAAAAAATATGTGAATTCCTTAAATCCCCCCCCCCCAAAAAAGAGTTTACTTTAACTTTTTGCTGACTATAACGGTATAAGAACAGAAGAACAATAACAAAGAAAAAGAAGAGAGATTAAAGAGAGAGAAAGAGAGAGAGAGAGAGAGAGAGAGAGATAGAGAGAGAGTGAGGGGGGGGGGGGGCTAAAGTAGGCCTAAATGCAGTCTTGATTTAAAAATATAAAATAAATAGGATAACATAATTATGCGGACCCCGGCCAATCTGGAAGATTCTCAAAACTATAACTGCACTGCAATATATTTGAATAGTCAGTCATAGAAATTGTTAGTGTGTGAATGACCTATACAGGATAATCGAATCAAACAAATTTCGGAGAAATTACGAGAGCCCCTCATTGAGGAGACGGTTGACCGATTAATTTCAAAATGCTCGACATAAATGGGGTGGCTACAACTGCCTCCCCATCTTGTTTGCCATTGAAATGGCTATAGCTACAGGGGGCCGGGGCACGTGGAGGCGAGAGAAGGTGAGGGGAGGAAGAGGAAGGGGCAGGGGCGGCGGTGCGCCTTTCAAAGTGGGGGAGCACCAACAGCAAAGGGTTCCTTCACGAAAAAAGGGGCACCACAAAGAGTAATCTCAAAGTAATAACAACAATTTCTCTTTACGTGGTCCAAGATACTGCTTCAGCAACATGCATCATCTGTGAGGTCTCATTGAGACCGATTAGATCTTATTATGAAATATCGAATTGGGATGGGGCTTTAAGCACTCTAATCGCAATGAAAGAATAAATAAGGCCTTTAACATTTGACCCAATGTATAAACTATAGATGCGAGGGAGCAAACTAGCGAGGTTTTGGGGGAAATTTGAGAATTTTTTTTTGCTGTTTACAAATCGCTTTAAATTATAGGAGCACATGTTAGGGATACTATGAAAAATCCATTGTTTCGCGGGGGATGAGGGTTATGATCAATTAGTCAATTAGTATTAATTAGTATGGTAATTATGAATTATATATTTATTTTATTTATTCATTTTTGCTTTCAACAGGATAGTTTCATTCAGTTCCACACTGGAAGCCAGTGGACCTGCTTTTCAAGAAAGCACTGCCTGATACAATGACAATTAAAACATAAATATAATGATACAATTATTAATAATTTTACTTACATGTGAACTACAAATTAACCATATATCATTTTAAAATAACACTATTTGAATCATACAATATTTATTATCAATTATTAGAACAAATAAAAGTACTGAATTATTACAATAAAATTACCACAAAATTATGACATTTTCTAATATAAATGCGCAGTACGTTGATTGAGTTTGAATAACCCTTCATTGTCTAAATCTTTATATTCTTGAACAAAGGGCAGTTAATGACATCTTTCAAAATTCAAAAGAGCTTGGGGTTCAAAGCATGATAGGTTGGAAGATGTCTCTTTTAGCACTTGAGTAGAATATGTCATGACAGTTTAGAGAGGCAAACGTTTTAGTGTAAAAAGGGCACCCTTCTGATATGAAAATGACTTGTCTAGAAAAGGAATATTTGATAGCATTGAAAACGAGCACGATTATATTTCTAAAAGGGGCTAGCTAGTTCTTATGAAATTTAGGGAATTGTGCTCCCCCGGCTACGCTACCTTACTTTGTGTTGGGTAGAAAATAGAAATTGGGTACCTGTTAGTACTCAAAGCTGCTCCGATACTTTGAAACTAGATGTGGTGGTACACACTTTGTAAGCGACAGTTGAAAATGTAGGTATAAGGGGCACTTATCAGAGGGCAATTACTAGGCCTATTATTAGAAAGAAAAAGAGGCACTTATCAAGTGGAGTAACAAGGGGAACTTATCATATTTGAAAGGAGCATTTATCACAGGTGAAGGGGAGCATTAGGGCATTTATTAGAAAGGGGGACAAACAGGTACTTATCAGAAGGAAAATGGACACTTATTACAAATGAAAAGAACGGATACGTGTAAAAATATAAAGGGGCACTCATCAGAGATGAAACGGGGCACTTATTGGAATGGGAAGGATGCACTTACTACAAGGGAAAAGCAACAAGGGCAATTACCTGAGGTGAAAAAGGGGCAATTTATAAGAAAGATAAAGAGAAACTTATTACACGAGGAAAATGGGTAGCTATCAGTAGGGAAAAGGGTACTTATTAGAAAAGAATATAGAAGGTATTTGAAAGTTAATATAAAATGGGCACTCATACGAGGTCAAAAGTGGCACTTCTTGCAGCTGAAAAAGGGCACGTATCTCATTTGAATAGGGACACTTATTATCATATATGAAAAGGGGATACTTTTGAGAGGGCACTAAACAAATAATTGGGGGCTTTTATCTGAATTAAAAAGAGGCTTTTTTGGGGGGGGGGGTACTTTTATAAAAAAAAAAATGGGGGCGCAGTCTCTGGAAGGAGGAGTATAGGTCTGAGGAAACACTCTACAGGCAGCAACAGTTACATCATAACAGTATGAGTAGGCTTCCATCGGTAAAAAAGACATATTACTATTTTATAATTATTATTATTATACCAACGTCGTGTCAAAGAGATTCGATCATGTACGTGTCCTATCCACAGAACTCTTAAATACGTATTTAAAGGTGAAATTCAAAGAAAATCACAAATATGTCAACTAATGTATGACTAGAAACTGGTAATCTAACAGATGGCCATCGTACAAGTTATAGGTCAACTACATATCAGGTGATGTATAAAAAATACAAATACAACCACCTCCATAGCAGCTGGGATATACCACAGATTCGCCGGAAAAATAACGATATTTTAATGACGTCACTATATGGACCAACACTGCCCAAGCAGACGACATCCCATAGAGAATGAACATAATTGCAAAGCTATTATTTGTCAAATTATAATGAGTTTAGTGTATATAAATGTAATGGCATGTCAAACCATTCAAAAGGGGATATGACCCGATTCTGATAAAACTAAAATCTTTTGCTTGTAAATGCACAGGATAGGGGTTAATTAACAATCAAAGAAACCAGACTTTCAAATTGAAAACCCCCTGGAATGATATTAAGGACGGAATTTGTTCCCTCTTGAAATGCCGAGCATACCCCGGTGTGTGCAGCTGAATATACAATGGCATCTTATTTTGTTTACCAGCGACAGATACCTTTATTTTTGTATCGCTGCATTTGTCATCAAAATAAAACCATGCGCGGGGTTAAGAGTGAGGCCATAGATTATACATTTAGCCTGACGGTAGTGAAGTAAGAGAAAGAACTCAAGAAAAGATGAAAACACGGCACTGAAAATGTGTGAGATGTCATGGGGCATTGTCTGCTTGTGCAAGTCATGTCCATACTGTGATCTCACACATTTCAGCAGCGTTCGGAGAGCTCTTCCGGTGCTATGCCGGGGCTGTATTTAAGCGTTTTGTAATTTATAATAATCATTACTCCGAATGTTTCCAAGCATTGAATTTTGATAACCTTGTCGAATCAAAGTTTCAACTTTGCAATTATGAAAATAAATTTAGTTTTTAAAATCAATGAATATCAACTTTAAGAGTTCTGTGGTCCTAGCCCTCCGAACGTGTCAAGATTTGCGCCCTCTATGTTCGATACAAGAGAGCATAAACAATAACATTCGAATCGGATGATTAGATTCGCAATGAAATTCTTTGACCAAGTTAATCTGAGTGTTTGAGAAACGTAAGTAGAATTGTGCGTTGATAAAACATTAAAAAGCATAATGTACATATTCTAGAATTGGATTTATGGTCAAGATGAATTATATATCGTTCGTTTAATTATGTAAAAGGTTTAAGAGTGACGAAGACGTAGACGAACGAGTACCTGAGCTGAGACGAGTACTTCACCGCTGCGGCTACCGCGGGGGGCCGCAGTGGTGCTCCGCTCTGTTGGTATGGCGAGGTAGACATATGAAGGGGTGACCAAAGTTCGCGCACATTTTAGAACATATTACAAAATGTGATATTCGATCTATGATTTCTCACATTCTACACAACTTTATTTATTTCAATTATTACCAAATGGACGGCAAAGTTTTTTACTAAAGATTGGTTCAACTAGAAAAATTTACCGTCGAAGGATTTCGGAGATATCGCGATCTAAAAATTCGATGTCCGATCGTGCGTGCGCGCTGCATCTAAAAAAGTCATAAAAACAATGAGACCTAACTTCGCGCACGGTGGTTTACAGTTGATTTATCAAAAAATGCGATCCATCAAAAATAAGGTAATATCATAATTTGCAAGACAAGATATCGTACAATCAGTTAGTACCACTCTTTACTTACAATTTTGAGGATTTCTGATCTCAAAATGAAGATTTCCAGACCCTTATCGGTAAGTTGATAATTTTTCGGAACGGACGCAAATAACTGCAAAATTTGCCGATCTTTTGTCAATATTTTCACAATTTCGCACCCAATTCTAAAGAAAATTTCGTTTCTGGGTAATTTTATGACCCTCTTTCCATTGGTGATATCAGATTTTCGAAATCTTACCGATTTTTTGAGAAAGCGAACTTTGGTCACGCGCGAACTTTGGTCACACCGCCATACATGTACGCCGGGCCACACATAGATCTAGCTGCATTTAGCCTTAAGGGCTCCCTTGAAATGTTTTTTATGATGTTATTCAAGGGAGCCTTAATTAAACGGCTCCCATAGGGTCCCACGGAGAGGTAGGTAAACAACATCTCAAATGGGTCCAAAATCACACTTTCCCGCACCCGACCAATATTGGACAGTGGCTTTGATGAATTTTGTTGTAGTTTTGGTCTTAATTACCTCCTGAATTTAAAAATCGGATGTAAAAATAACAAAATAAGGGCAATTTTCTTACCAGGCCGATACAGCTCTGCTCCCTTTTCACGTTTACCGTGTGAATTCACGATCTCTACACATTGGTGATGACCTCTGACTGGCACTTCGTAAATGTGCTGCTTCCGTACAATGCGCTGGTGACGGACAGACGCGTAAGTGCATCCAAGATGCATACATACTGTAGTGTGAATACCGGCACGCTGGTGAGATCGATATCCGTCGCCTGGTTATATGTACTTAAGCGTCCACGAATGGGTAAGAAATTGGCATATTAAATGCCCTTTTACAAACAGTCTAGATCTAGACTCTGATGTCAAATTTGCTGATCAATTTGCTGAGCACTAATTTTTTTTTAATGCTCAACGAGGAGGAAGGAGAGAAAATGCCCACTATTTTCCGTTAAAATCAACAGCCAACCCCCCCCCCCCCCTCCCCCCTTGAGCATAAACCTGTTTTTTTGCCAGGAGAGGGGGCCTGACTGGAATATCGTTGTTTTGATATTGGTAGATCTAGGAAGCTTTCCCCTCGCACTTTTATCTTATAACGTCGAGCGAAAGGCAGCCAATGATGGCCAATCAGAAGGGCCCTTGTATGCGCCAATTTGGGAAAATGAGGCTCAGACCAGATCAACGTAATGCGCATGCGCTAGATGTAAGATAAAGGTCTACGTGCAAGGCAAGTTTATTATGGTGACTCCTTGGTCGAAGGTTAAACAAATGTCAGAGGTAAACTTGTGGTTCGTTTCGCAAAACTAAATCCATGTCAGTCATATCTTTGTCCGCGACCTACGAGATGTCACTCAAATTGTTTGCAAATTTAAAAACTTAAAGGCTAAGTCCACTCCGAAAATAATTTGCTGTTAATAGATACAGAAAAACAAAAGAAACAGAGCAAAACAAATTTGAGTAAAATCAGATAACTAATAAGGAAATTATGAATTTTTGAAAAAGTATAAAACAATGGAAATCATTTCACAAGTTGCCAATTTGGTTATCAGTTTGTGACGTCATTTGCCTCACTATCTATCGATTGCTTTATACATTTTTATCCCATTAATTTCCTTTTTTATCACCAAAAACGTGATTTCCCCATGCCTTTGCCCAGGTCTAATGATTTGTATCATTCATATTGCGTGCATGATATTTCACAAAATCTTTTATGAACTTTGAAGAAATGATACTATTTTCTCAATATTCATGATCATTGATTTTGATATAATTAATCAAAATTCAAATTTTTCAGGATTTAACTGAAAAAATTACTCTATATTAGTGCATCCAGCCATCCACACACAAACATATACTATCAATTTAACTTGTATGCTGGTGTGAGGAAATAACATTCTTAGGGGGAAAATGGAAAATTTATATCATCAATATAAAGAAAATAATTAGTGGATAGTGAGGCAATGACGTCACAGACTCATGAGTAAGTTGACAATTTGTCTTGTGATTTTCAAAGTTTTTCATGTCATGAAAAGTTCATAACTTCCTTAATAGTTATCCGATTTTGATCAAACTTTTTTTGATTGGTTTGTCTGATTTTCTATTGAAAGTAAGTTATTTTTGGAGTGGACTTGCCTATATGATGGTACAAGTTTGTACCTCGGTATTTCTCTAAAAGTAAATACAGGTACATGTACATGTATGTAGGCCTATGATATTGATTCAAAAGCAAATAGCCGTATATTTAAGATGTTAGTACAGTTTTAGTGAAACAATGATATTTTCTGCACTGTGGCATTAACAACTTAGTTTTGGTTTTGTTATTTATTTCTTGATTACTAGGTGGCTCACATGACGTAAGTGAACAAGCACTGCCACTGTCTGTCAGCATCATGGCTCAGAGAGGACTTGGTGATCTTCCAGTGATACGAAGATGGAACGTGACATACTACCAGGAGGATGACAAGAAGTGGCTCAAAGGAGACCTGGTCCTGTCCAGCTTGAGCCTGTCCTTCCAAGAGCTGGCTTCTGAAAGGATCCATTTAACCGTAGACCTAGAGTCGATCACCGATGTGAAACTAGAAAGGGCTTGGACGGGCTACAAGTCTTTGGTCGTGTTGGTCGGATCAAGGAAGCTCTGGTTTTCATCGTTCACCAACTCCCAGTGCGTCCGAAAAGTCTTGCAGCACTTCATCAAGGAAACCCTGTTTGTCTCTCGACATGTCGGTGGGACTGCTCCAACAGGAAGTGGAGGAGGAGGGGGGAGTAGCAAGCTAGGACGGGAGTTGTTGTCCATTGCTCATGACTCCGAGAGGACGCTATCTGGAGCGGCATCGCAGCTCGTCACCCAGGGGGAGCAGATAGACGACGGCTTCAAGACGATGGATCTCATCCAGCGGGATCTCGGAATAGCAAGGCACAATATTGCCTACCTGGAATCATGGCTCGGCCACTGGCATGTACGCATCAATGACCTCCAGCCTCCGGTGTCTCAGAGGTCGAGTCAGAATCAGCCAATAAACGAGAACCAGGAATTTCCTGTTATCTACAAATTAAAGAAATCTGAAGAGGAATCAGGGTTGCTCGTGATTTCTCCTGATGGGATAGCCGTGCGCAACGCCAACGAGGAAAGAACAGTATTGCAGTTCACATACAGAGAGATCAGTGTAATCAATGTTTCAACTCCATGGACGTTTACCATCACCAGGAGGATGATGGGAAAGCCGGACATCACATGCCAAGTTACAAGTGCAAAGGTCATCTCGATATTGAAGGTCATGGGGTCAAAGGTCAAAGAGAAGATAGAGTATGATGAACCAGACAGTGTTGATTTCATCTCCCAAGAGGCTCTAGGAGAAAGTGTGAGCAACAAGAAAAGACTTTTGTTCAGTCAAGGTAAACTGAAGTGTGTTGATATAATGCTGTCTTTCTCTTTATACACAGTTTGATGTGAACAAAATTATGGTATATCATCCATTGTTTTCACTAGGAAATGTCTTGTATTGAGACAAATTATAGTGTAATAAGAATTATTATGTTATACACTGTAACATACTCGAAATGAATTGATAAAGCTGGGTTGTTTTCTGAAGAAGTTCAATGTAAAAAATGTACAATCAAGTTTTTACTATAGTTTTAATAGAACTTTCAAAACTCCTATGAGAAAGAAAAGTGCAGGTTGGGGGAAGGGGGTGGGGGTGGTGGAGTGTGCCATTAATTCTGTGTCCTATTAGGCATGGTAACATACTGACATTACACTATCACAAAGTATACCTTCGCAATTTTGAGAAATTCTATCACCAGTAAAATGCCTTTTCTCAGGGATGCCAGTTTTCAGGCAATATCCTGAATTAAATTGTGATTAAGTTGTGATAAAACATCAATAATTCTCGGTTTCATTTTTTTTTGGGACGCACTGTACATCTAGATTCCAGAGGAGACCCAGAAGGCTTTCAAGACAGAGTCCAACTGGACGGGGGACAGCAGCAGAGCCAGCTGACCTGTACCTCCGATGCAGTCATCACAGAGAGTGAGGCTGCCGAGCTGAGCAACGTAATGAGGGACGTCAAGTCACTGGCGCTCGGCATCGGCAACGAGCTGGACGTTCAAAAGGAGAAGATCTCAGTGCTGACGGACGATGTCTCCGAGGTGACGGAGGACGTCAGGATGAATAACAAGAGAATGCAGAAGCTTCTCTAGTTTGTTTAAGAGGGTTTAAAAGAAACGGTAATAAGTATAGATGCTGTTATCTTGCCTGGGTGAGCTGGATTATAATAATTCCGGTTTCTTTTGACCAAAATTGTGTTCTTCAAACTTGTGCCCATGGTATTTCATTAGGGATATGTTCCTATGCATGTACATGTAGGTTCTTTTGTGACTTTTGTCTAAATTTAAGTTTGTATAATCATAAGAAAAGAATAGTTACAGTGTATACATGTAGTTTTTAAAATGTTCAATGCAACCCAAATGGAGAGGTGCTGGCGAGTCAAAAATTTGTGTAGGGATCTTCAAACTTTAAAAACTAATCTCATATTGTTCATTTGATTCTTCTGAAACATCAGCAAGTTTAACCTGTTTTTTTAAATTGTCTTCATTGTTTAATATGATCAAGCCAATGTAGACGTTCTCTTCATTGAGGCTTTCTTTCAGATTTGAGAAAATAACATTTGATAAAATATTGAGCATGTAAAAACACATAATTACTAATGCTCATTTTCTTTGTTTGCTTTAATATGGGGGGGGGGGGGGGGGAGGGGGAGGGGGTGGGGGTTTTACCACTGAATTCCCTGTGTGGCACAGTGTATAGATTCTAATGTGGAGCATAGTGCTTTCCAGTTTGCAGAGGGTGAAGCCACTGAGCTGGGCAATGTGCCGAGACGTCAAGTCGCTGGCATTGGAGATCAGTGATCAGCATTACGTCTACAAGAAGAAGATTTCATATGGGTAGATATGACCACAGTGACCAAATATCATCAATGAGAAAATGAGTTTGAAAGTGTATTGTACCATTTATTTTGTTTTTATTAGTATGTTATTAGATAGGCATGTTTGGTTATCCTATTTATTTATATGTATTAACTATATGTTATCTAATAAGTAATATTTTTTTATAAAGCATACTTATTGATATAAACATGTATGTATTATATAACTCTGTTCATACTACAACTCATTTCTCGATGCAATCTCGCAAAGTAACAAATGGCATTTTTGTATTCCTTGTAAACTTTTAAAGATGTTATTTTGATGTTGTACATATAAAGATGTGAAATGTATTGCAATGGTGTATATACTTATACAATTAGTATTTTTGAATTAAAATGACATTTTAAAGCAGTACAAATAAGTTTGATGGGCATTTTTGTGTGTAAAAAATATCAAAGAGTTACATGCACTAGTAAGTTCAACTGCATAGAGCTGCAAATATGTCAGTCACAGCCTAACTGACCAAGAAGTGGTGAAATCTTGACCATTGGGGGGAAATTGAAATTATCGTTTGGTATATTCTTGGTCTGTTGTCAGTGTTTGTGGTGCTTAGGTAAATTAGGTTTGTATAAGAAATAGCTCTCAAAAACCACCGGCCGTGTGATACAAATAATTTTGTAAGTAAACTAGAGTCATTCACAGATGTGAATTTAACTGGTATACTAGTCTATTTTCCTACCAATGTTTACGGTGTGTTTTTGATGGGAGATGCTATTTTTGTTACTTAGGTTAGATATGTGAATGATAAGGGAATGCAAGAGAAAGAGAGAGAGAGAGAGAGAGAGAGAGACAGTAGAGAGGGAGAGGAGAGAAAAAGAGAGGGAGCAAGTAAATGAGACAGGAAAAAAGAACATTTTCTGCAGATTTTTTAAAATCCAATCTCTTTCCTTTCTGTATGTCTCTTGCTCTTACTCCTCCCTTTCTTCCACCTTTCTCTCTCTCTCTCTCTCTCTCTCTCTCTATCTTCCCATCCCTCTCTCCCTTTCCCTTTCTTTCCATCTCTCATCCATTTTCTCTCCATCTCTTTATCTTCTCATCCCTGTTTCTCTATCTCTTCCCTTCACTTTCTTCCTTCCCATGTCTCTCTGATTTGTACACAATTCACTTATATCGCACATCCTACACCCTTCCTCATTTCCTTGCATTAGTATTCATAATTACAAAAGCACGCAAGTTTATATATTTTACTCTGTTTTTAATGTTACAAATCCATGACATAAAGAGAAGAGAAAATACTTTGGTTGATATGTTGACAGACCTTTTGTACTGAGCGAGCTAAATGCATCAGTAGTAAATGCAACTTCGCAGAAGTTTCATATCAATAGGCCATTTTCGTAATGTAATCAACATAAATCTTTGCTATTAAGTGCCTCGTTACAAAATTACTTCATTCTTAAGAATAATTGTATTTCAATAGTCAGAATGCAAGTTGCATTACGTTATGTGTTTTAAGGTAGGGCACTCCGTAATCTTTGCCCTACCTAGCAACAATTAACCCTTTGCTTACGGGAACCTGGTGGTCCCCGTGTTAAGCCTATGGGACTTATACAATTCAGTAGTCAACGGGTTAAAGATAAACTCCAGTACTGGTAAAAAAAAAAAATAATTCTCACAGAATCAAACGAAACTTACACTGAATGTTCATGATTACAAATAAATGACATGTGCCAAACAATGTTGGAAGAAAATGTATACTGGCTGAGTAATGAGCATAGAAAGACAAGGAAATCAAGGTAGTACTAGCCCCGACACCATGTGTGTTGTCCCATATATAGCTTTCTATGTGAGTGCTTGTTACTTTACCAAGCAAGACTCGTTCAAATTTATTATGATTTTGATGACTCCAAAACCTTGCAGTGCACACCAATACTTACATGCTACATGATCAACTGTTTCTGATCCTTTCCACACCTTTTCTTTCACAATGCAATTGCATTACCAGTACTAAAGTTTATCTTTAATGTGTGCAACTTGCATTCTGACTGTTTAAGTACATTTATATGTGACAAAAGTATGAAATACTTTGTAATGAGGCGCTTAACAAAGACGTACATGTATTCATTACCGTAAATGTGATTACATTACAAAATGGCGTATTAGATACAGCAATGAAGCTTATGACAGACAAGGTAGTCATCATTGCTTAACTTGTGCTCAAATTCATTAAAACAATTGGACTAAGATATTACGTGCTCATTATAGAACAAAACCAAATATACATCATAAAATGAAATCTATAATTGATGGGTTCATGTAGCTTTTACAATGGTTGAGAATAAATGGGAACTTGGTAGTTCACCCTAATTGTACTTTAATGAAAACACAAACACAAATATAAATGCATTTTTAAAAAAGACAAAACAATGGATTACATAAGAAAGTGAAAATAATCCTTTGGTGTGGAAATTCCAATTTCTACCAACAAAAAAAAGAGAAGGATTTAAACAGGGGCCTAGAAAATAATGCAAGAGCACAACAATTTTCTTTATAAATGCCTAGTCCTAAATCATTCAGTGGCATATTTTGTTGGACACATTCGTTGGGGTTTTCTTTTCTTTTTGCTCAGTTTGTAATAGGTTGACTTCACAGACTTTCTTCAAAGATGTATCAATGCCTGCATAGTATAACATCTCTAATATACACATCAACAATATGTCACAGGATATCTCTCTTCGTTATAAAACAATAATCGTTTCACTCACAAAAAATATGTTATAAATTTCTCTCTCCTCCAACAAACCTCATTTTCATGCTGTCACAGATATACTTTTCTCAATTTTCATATAACAACCTCTTTTCAGAGATATTTACAAAGAAATCATGTTATTTACATTCAATCACTCTGTACAGGTGGTCTACTGTAGTAGAAAACAAAATCCAGGCAAATTATCAAATCCATTAAAATTCAAAAATTGAAAGATTTTTCACCAAGGTAGGCTTTTATACAAGGCTAATTTGAAGAAGACACTCTTGTCAATATTTGATTAATCTATTTGAAATTGAGACAAAATTGCAAGGTTTTTCAACAAGGTGTTCACATGAGGCTAATCATTTAAATTCACATTGATTTCTAACAAAAAAACGAAAGCAGTCAAACTAATTTTGAAGAAGAACACTTGATATTGGGCTACCACGGTTATTCTGACATTTAAAAATCAACAACAAACAAACAGAAAAATTTGTTTTTCTAATCAGAGAATATAAGAAATAAAAAAATAAAATATGTCTTCAATTCCAAGTGTTTTCCTGCATTTTCAAACAATAGGCATGCAATATTTATCATATTCACTTATCTTAAAGTACAATAAACTCAAAGTTTTCAACAAAGAAAATATACAAACTTGTGTTATTTTAACATGCTTATGAAGCAAAATCAAGGAGATGTCGCGACGTCTCAAAACAAATTTTAGCAAACTATACAATCATATCTTCAGTCATCATTTTTGTAATGGACAATTCATGCAATATACAGAGATATAACTATTTACAATATGTGCATCGTGATAAGTCTTATATTTACAAGGCATAGCAATAAGCTGGCCGAGGACGGAATGGAAGATTCTTAATATAATATTCACTCTACTGTTAAACCAGAAACTTCATGTCACAAAAATTTCTAGTTATGATAATAATAAATGTAACTTTAATAGCGACAAATTCACTCTGTGGAGTGCTCATGGTGCATTGTATAACACTCTCGACAGTCCTTGTCTAGCCTAGTTCTAAGTCTGATCAACAATTTGTCCTTCTTGCAGCCCTCTTTATTCTTATATTTGCTTCGAGTGAAAATATTGGCAGGGACTGGGACTGAGCCTAGTAAAAGCAGCTACCACTAGAGTGATTTTGTTTGATCACACTAGACTTAGCCCCAGACCAAAATACTTATCTTCTGGGCAGCATTTAACACCAAGGTGCGGAAAATCATCACCAAGTTTGGAAGCTAGGCTAGATAGGGTTTTAGAATCTGACTTTGCAGTATACTCAATCAAAGCTTTCAAGATTGACAGAGTGATGGATCAGATAAATGAGCTGCAAAATACTAGCACACAAAGTGAAGATACATTTAAAAAAAAGATTTCTTTCCATGAATCAGAAAACAGGATATTGGTCCTCTACATCAAATACAATTGAATTATTAAAAAAAAAAATCACATTTCCCAATACAACTTTTTAAAATTTATTCTTTTAATGTTTTTAGATTAAAAGTCAGGCTTGTGAAGAAACCTTCAAATTAGGTGGCGTAAATGAGGAAGTGCTTTGAATTTCTGTCATAATAAATTTGAAGAAAGCACCTTAGTCTGTTCTAACAAGTCATCGGTTAAACACACTGTCTGATTCCCCCCCCCCCCCCCCCATTTCATGGCTACGAATTTCATTTATCTATTCTTTACACATTGGTTGCAATATATCCCTTACTGTTAAACACAGTTTGAATGCTTTAGATTGGATAAGATTGAAAATACTGACCAAAAAAATGTAATCCCTCTCTCAACACATCAATTATTGTTTAATCTGATATTGCTATGAAAGTAGTATAAATTGGACAATGAATGTCAATAACAGTAGCATTAAGGAATTTGCAGTCATTCTGTATTTGACAAGTACACACATTGATGTTTTATCATCATAAAAATCAAAACATTTCAAACATTCAGAACATATTTATATACAAATCATCTCAATGCACGTGTACACACAATCACTGTTATTGATGTATGCACATACAGCGTACATGCACAATTCTGTTACCTTGTAAAATGTAAATTCACATCTATAATATATTTTTTTAAACAAGCACCATTACAAACATTTTCTTTTTATGCTCAATGAATTACGACACTCGGTGCCCGACTCATCAACAGAATATTTACATAAATATATGAGCCACTTACAATTTCAATGGACGGAATTGGATATTAAAGATTATAATGCCACAACACACACAAACGCACACTAGTATACAGATATATAATAGGCAATCCTACAGAACAAGTACATCAAATATATCAATACAACTTTGTGAAAATAAGACACACTCTAAGAAAATAAATATTTTCTCTATCAACTTAAAAGCTTGTCCATATTCTGGTCAACAGTGACATAGAAAAGACGAGGTGTATTCATATGAAGGCAAAACAGAGCTCATTATTATACAAAATAGTCATCTACTCTTCTGTAAATTTCAGGTTGAATGGATACACCATGATGTACCGTGTTATATCAAGTACCACAGAGAACTACACAAATATGGTAAATACATTTTCATGCATGACATAAAATTATGATTTTTTTTTGGAGAAATTTAGATCTAACTTTTGCTGCTCAGTTCACATATATGCTCTGAGCATTGTCTGGGCTCCTATTCACTTAAAAAGAATACATATAGTCAAATGCCGACCATAAAAATGACACTCTCCTTATACAGTTTACCCTGAAACAGCATCTACAAAAATATCATATCAATCTCATTAAATAACTTACATTTTTGTAGCATATTTTGTGAACACTTAATGCCCAAATTTTCTTTGCCTAAAATTGAAAATATATTCATGTAAAATTTCCGAAAGTTGTATTACTTTGGCAAGTGCGATTTGAATCGACTTACCCGGAAATGAATCTTGATTGTTCTTGAAAAGTGTATTTGTATAAAGTGCATGTACAATCCTGTAATATATCCCTTGCATAATTTTTGCTCTGTAGACAAAATTGCTATGAATTTACACATTTCCTTAATAGAGAAAATCTCAAAAAAATACCTCTTTTTATACTCTCTACAAAAATAAGCATGACAATCCACTTTTCCCTGTGGATGTATGCCTCATCTACCTTCAAACACTCTGCTTTATATGTATGATATAATATACCTCTTATATACTCTGTCATTTATACATATATATGAGTCCACTTTCTTTATGTACAACAGACTCCCAGTTTGGAATTCATCTTGTTCAGTTTTTTTTTAATTGAAGACTAAAATTTGTTGTAGATTTTTACTTTGTGCATGGTGTCTTTTTGAATACCGGTATAAAGATATGCAATACTTGGCACTTTAGTCTGTAGCAAAAATACATCACTTTTATGAATTCAAAGTCTTGTAAGCAGTGCGATACTTCAATTTATGTAACCATCAAGTTAACATATCAGCATATTGATAGGATGCTGTTACACCACTCTGTTCAAGCTTTGATTGTTGTCCTATGAGCTTTTCTTGTCTGACACTCCCCAATAAAGGTTAAATCATCTTTTAACGGAAAGAGAAAATAATCTATAATCAGTAACACCTGTCCAGTACCTCCCTTATTCAATCCTAAAGTGCTTTCCCTCCCATTTGAAAACTGAATAAGGAAAGCGACCACAATATAGTTTTGTCCAGTATGTTTGTAGTTCCATGCTGGCATACTTACAATTTCAAAAAGAATATCAACTCTAAATATTACTTCTTACATAAAGCATGTATACACACTGAAATTACCCCCTAATTAATAGAGATAAAAGGATAAGTTCCATGGCAGTCTTGATATGAAGTCATTTTCCACCTTATGCTCTTTGATACTTCAGCATTTGAACTTCTCAAAGAATTTTAGGGTGATTTTATGCCATTTTGCAGTACATAATTCTTCCCCATGATAGTGCAATCAAGGTTTTCACAAATTAAAATCCACAAGGATGTTGCCTATAGAAATGCACATGTATGTCATTGTCTGTAGAGAGGAGAAAGGGGGGGGGGGGTGTTAACTCGTATCACTACAAAGTAAATGCCCTTAAGGCTCTCAGCAGAATAAGCGCAAGTTCATAATATAATAAGGCATTTCATGTAGATAAATATAAAGACAGCTAGACATCTTGATATGCAATCACAACAGTGAATTCCCGTTGACACAGCATAAATTATGTATAGGTACGTAAATGTATATACCCAAATTAGTAGGTATCAAATATTTATCAAAATTACAAAATCAATAAATATACAACAGCACACATCGTTACATTGAAATCAAGGTGATCACTTTAGTGCACTTTAAATTCAAAATAATTATTGAATTCTTTCTTTTAAAAAGAATAATATCCATCAGAATTGGTAGGCACACATACTGACATTGAACAGATTCAATTGGTGACTGTCCCTTATTATGACACAAACTGTGCAGCAATTTTACCTCTATTTCGAAAGCTGGCAGAGAATGGAATATCTTTTTGTAAGTGACAGTGTAATGCAAAGGCAGTGGCTAACAAGCTAATGTGTTTCAGGAAGAGAGGTCTTCATGTGTCTCTCTGCATCAATACCAAATTGCTGAAAAACAATCATTTACTCCATTTGAAATATTACAGTATGAAACATGTACACCACATTAGCAAGACTTATTCATGATTTTGACCCAAAATGTTTAGTTTTATATATGTTGAAATAATGAAATATTAAAATAAAAAATTTCCTTCTTTCAACCGATTTGAACTGAGGCCCAATAAAAATACCACTGTTATCTTATGGGAAAAGCAAATACAGCTTTAATATGAAACCTTTCCTCCAAGTTCTGAATGTATTTTATATTGCTGATTGAGGCATGAACTCCTTCAACATATGCTATCAATGGCGACACTTGAAGCATAGTTTGGCATTGCACATTGATGATCAAGGTTTTATATGAATAGCCAATTAATTACATCATCAAGAGCAAAATTAAGTCGTTAATTTCTCCCATGTACTATTTGTTCCCCCCTACAGCAAAAAGCATGCATTACATGACATCGAAACTGAATTTCAAATGACTGTCCCTCGCTGTACTTGTAGAAAAATATGGGAACTCTACGACTTGTCGGTTGACCCTCCAGACAGACTCTAGTTTGATTGAGAAAACACTCCATAGCCCAATTGAAGGATTCTCTCGTACAGTCAAACCTGCTTTAGTGACCACCTGTCTATAAAGACCACCTGTCTACAAAGACCACATTTTTTATTTCTCTTGAAAATGGTTTCTCATTGAAACATGAAATAAAGGAACCTGTCTACAAAGACCACTTTTTGTGTTTCCCTTGGGCGGTCGCTTGCTATACACAGGTTTGATCTTACATATGGCTCTGAAAGTCTCTCCATTAGAGCAGGGGTGGCTGACTATAGAACCATTCAAAGATGGCACAAATGGTCCATTCCTTGAGGAAGCTGTTCTGACTTTCAGGTGGCAGGAAAATCCTCATGTGAAGTCACAAATTCTCTCTATTGGGGCTTGGAATGGCCGACTACAGCTCTGTCTATTGACGGTAAGGTTGCCAACATCCAGAGGAAACTGTTCTCACCTACAGGAGCAGGAGGTAGGGTCCAGGAATTCCTTGTAGGAAATTCTCGGTGCAGATCAGATCATGAAGGAGAGTGCTTCTGCTCAAACCTTTCCAAAAAAATTTTTCTTCAAACACTGCGCAGGAACAAATAGGCCTGTCCTCCCTTGGTGGAAACCTACATGCAAGAGCAATCTATATCAAATGACCTTAATGGAACAATGGACATCCAGACCCTCAGAGGGGTCAATCCACCTTTGAAAGGTCCTAGGATTTCAAAGCAGTGGTCAATAAGATATTCCTCTGAACTCCTAGAAGCAAACTGTACTCACTGTTCCTTCACATACATGTGTCCTCTTGTGTATAATACTTTGAGGGTCGTTGGGCAAGGTCACGACTGAAGCAGCAGCTAGAAGAATGTCTGCACGAATCCTCAGATGTCAAAGGACACCTTTGAAAGGTCCTAGGATTCCAAAGCAGTGGTCAATAAGACATCCCTCTAAACTCCTAGATGCCAACTGTACTCACTGTTCCTTCATATAAATGCATCCTCGGTGTATCATACTTTGAGGGTTGTTGGGCAAGGTCACGACTGAAGCAGCAGCTAGAAGAATGTCTGCAAGAATCCTCAGATGTCAAACGATGCCATCCTCTGTATCATCAGGGGTGCTCCACCTATAGGTCCCAGTGGTAATTTTCTCCTGCACAATAGGAAAGATGAAGCAAAAACGAGTAGGTCAGGGGCGGTATTCAATGCAATACTGATGTCAGAAATATGAGCATTTTACTCAATTTCGGCTTTGATGAATTTTCTGTGTATGTAAACATCCTTGTGATTGCAGTTGTGACTATTGCAATTCAGAGTCTACAGCAAGACTTTTACTATTATCCTCTGGATAAGACGGAAAATACTGACAAAAATTTCCTTAAAGGAGGACATTCCCTTTCACGACACAAGACTTGCAAGTGATCTATGTTGCGTGAATGCAATGTTCCAAGAGTTACATGGGGGGTGTTTCACAAAGATCCTAAGTCGAACTTAACTCTAAGTTGGACTTAAAAGTTATGGAGAGCCATTTGTAGCCTTAAAATAAAGTATATTTAAAAGCGAAAATTCAAGTATTTAAACTTTTTATAAATTCCAAATCAAGATACATGAAATTTCCTTGATAGTAGAAAATATGAATGATTTGAATCAACATTTTATGCTTTTTAGAATAACTTTTACACAATATTTTCAAATATGCTAACGGCTTTCCATAATTGTTAAGTCCAACTTAGAGATAAGTTCAAATTAGGATCTATGTGAAACACCCCCATGGTTAGCCAACAAAGGAAGTCTTAGGCAAAGATGGGGCACACTTACCTTGCATGTGGTGACATACTGTAGTAACCGCATTCTGCTAGTACACTCTCAATGAAGTTCTGCATCTGTTCATACGTGATCCCTATGTCCGAGTCATTTGGATCCATAGGCAAGTTCACATGAGCTGCAAAGAAATGTCACATACTCCATTACTCTGACATCACTTGCAACTGACATGGATTTCAAGTGTATTTCAGCAATATAAAATTCTGGGGTTAAAAATGCATGTTCAATCTACACTGTACGTTCTCTCTCGATTTATCATTGACTCTCTTCTATCACAGAAATTTTCTTGCTGTAAAATGACTGAAAATTATCATGGTCCTTAGCAACAACATAATCTCTATACAAAAACAGAAATACTGTCGAGTAGTTTTCTATGTAATTTTCATCATCATCCGTCATCATCATCATCATGAAAATCATCATCATCATCATCATAATAATCTGCATCATCATCATCATCAGCATCATCATCACATGTGATCTGTTATTGCAGGTAATGCGATCCTAATATCTTTGAACAAATGTCTCTCCAGTTATCCCTTCTTTAGCCAACTGCCTCATTTTTCATATACCGAAATTCAGAATCACTTTAAAAACACTAGTGAGATTGCTGTTTCACAGAGCTTCTAAAACTGCAGTAAATGTTACCTCATTCCTAATTATCATTAATTCAATATTTGTGACCATTGTTTTTGTAGACAGGTGGTCACTAAAGCAGGTGTGACTGTATACTAAAGGGAAAGTACCTGATGTTTCTCCTGTGACTTGGTAGCAAGCTTCTTCCTGGTTGGCTTGTCTGAGTAAAAGGGCCGCTTCACCTACACCAAGGTTCAAATCTATTAACTCCTTAGACCCCAGGATCACCTGAAAATAAATCATTCACAACATATATGAACTATTCTACATTTTGTCACAAATCCCTACCACATAATGCCTATAGATCACGATCTGTTGATTTCTGTACTACCCTAAAGTTTGCTGAAGTTGTTCTTCCTTATGTACATGTAAGTTTGTATTTGCTTTTTTTTCTTCATATTTCACCTCAAGTTTTATTCATTGAATGAATACAGTTTTTATCCAAGTTAAAAATGCTTCAAGATTACTTTATTTTGAGTTAAATGCCAAACCATGAATAAACATTTTACTCAGCAATATAGGCTTCATAATACATGGTAATTGCACAAAGCCCCTAACAAGGTCAACAGCACACACATCGTATGTTTATGAGCTATTTGTTTCCATGCTTTAACAAATTTGTCTATGCTTCCTGAAAACTAATCTGCAAGGGCCTGTATGCTTAAAAGAGAAAGACCTTTTATGTATAAATATATATACCTGTAGGTAGAAAGATATTTGAGCAAAGCAATTTATATCAACTAACCTTTTTGAGTTCATTTTTGAGATTAACCGAATTACTCTGCGGAGCAAACAGCGCCCTCTTGAACCGTTCTATGACCTTACGACGAGGGTTAGGGGCAAGCGTCGGCGGTAGCTGGCATATGAAGATGAGCTTGTGGATGAGGTGAAGGATCTTTAGGACGGGATCGCTAATCTGACGGACCTTGCGGGGTGAGATGGTCAACGTGGCTGCAGCTGAGGCTGTGGGTTTCACAATAATCAATTTGTTAAAAGCTGAGAAAGACAATATCCTAGATCAGGGCCCAGTCTTACAAAGAGTTACCACTGATCCAAATCAATCGCAAGTCCTCCAATCAATCGCAAGTTTGCAGTCTCCTATCTCATATGTACATAGTTGCAATTGATATCATTATTTGCGATTGATATCAACTCTTTGTAGGACGGGGCCCAGGGGAGTGTTTCACAAAGACTAAGATCAACTTAAAGTTGGACTTTAATATGGCAGGCCATTCATGCCACTGTTTGCTCTCGCCATTTACTGGCATTGGTCTCTCATTGGTACAAATGATGGTCACAAATCTTCAGAATTTACATTTTGTGATTTTGGGCATGGCAAAAAGAGAAGGAGATAAATAATAAGAGAAAGAAAGATTGAGCGAACTAAAGAAAAGTAAGTATATGCTTTCAATTTAGCTCTCAATCAAAAGTGACCATTCATGACATTTTCTACAGAATCAAGTTATCAAACTACAACATACACATATATATATATTTACACATTAAAGCTACTAAATCATACCAAAACTGAAGAAAACTTATTGAACTTATCATGGAATAAGCTTGACAAATATTGTAGATGTCTCGATGCACAATACTCAATATTATGTTATCATATCTGTGTAATTATTTTGTTCATTTAGATGCCTGAATCAACAAGCTAAAACAAGCTTTTTACAGGTGCTCCCTTTTCCTGCTACTCATTTTCAGTTTGTTTAAATTAACCTAACATAATGCTCATGATTTATATATTTTGAATTGTCTGTACTATATCACATGTATATATTTGTTTGTTTTTAATGGAAATAAAGTCTTTTGACTTGAATTGAATTGAATTTTTATTGCAAAATAACAAGTCCCTTGTACAGCAAAATACATCAGGGGGGTGTTTCACAAAGATCCTAAGTGGAACTTATCTCTAAGTTGGACTTAACAATTATGGAAAGCCGTTGGCATCTATGAAAATATTTAGTAAGAGTTATTTTAAAAGGCAAAAAAATGTTGATTCAAATCATTAATATTTTCTATTACCAACAGGCATTTCATCTTCTTGATGTGGAATTTATAAAAAATCTAAAATACTTCAATTTTCACTTTTGAATATATTTTATTTTAAGGCTACAAATGGCTCTCCATAATATTTAAGTCTAACTTAGCGTTAAGTTCAACTTAGGATCTTTGTGAAACACCCCCCAGAAGAAAGAAAGATAGACTTACGCGGCCGCATCCTCTGGTTGGCCGATGATGATGATGTCTGTCGTTTGAGTGTCTCTATTGATGAGCCACTGAATGCTCTATGAAGGGTGGTTCCTGATGGTCGGAAGGTCAATGACCCCGAAGGTATCTCACTCGGTGACAGGAGACCCTTCGTTGCTATGGTAATCAACAAGAAATTCAGGAAGATATAGTTTAAAATGGGATGGAAAGTGCTTTTTGACAGGCAAGTGAGTGAAGAAATTGAAATTGAATTGCAATTAAAACTGCTACAGTAAGGAAGCCGGTTTGTACTGTTCCACAAATCTAAAAATCTCCTGTCACTGTTTACTCAATAATTGGTAAAAATGGCAAGAATAAACAATCTTTCTAATCTTTTTCCGTCACTTGAATTACAAACACTGTGAAGCTTTAAATGAATGTAATAATTGGACGAGACCAATAGATCTGACAAAATCGACCAAAACAATTTCCCGTACATTTGTCTAATCATAAATTACATTGGACAAGCAACATCATTCAGGAATACCATTGGTCCATCAGAAAAGAAATGACAGCTGGTAGTGAACTCTACATGAATTTTATCATATGGGGGAACAGTACAAATCTAGTAGGGAAGTTTTACAACACACTTGATGATTATAAACTTTGAGACATGTAAACTGTTCACCTATTTTTTTTTTTTTACTTCAGAAGATTTAGAATAGTTTTTCTTGTTTGTCCTTGAAGTAGTACTGTTAGGAGTTTAATTTTTTCATCACAGCACAGTAGAGTATTATATCTATATAGTAGCTGCTATAGACTTTATTTATAGCGTAGCTGCGCGATATAAATTGATCCAAGTATCATTGTTATTAAAACGGCCATGATAACACTTGGGATTATATATGTACCAACTAAAGACACTAAGTTTGTGAGTGAAAAGGAACATCACACCCCCTCACTCTGTTTATTAAATGCAATCAAACGCAAGCAACTACCTTTCATGATATTTTGCTATCTGCTTCTATTTCAAATTTCCACTAAAATATTTACAGTATCTTCAACATCGTTCTACGTGACGTTACGGAAGCTAATTGTGACAAAACCTACAAAATCATGCATTTGCAGCTACTCATGAATATAGTCTGTGATTCAGTTATGTATTATAAAGCAAGTTGATATTCCAATTCTAATTGCACATCAAAAAGTGCAGTTATTCATAATTCACATTCATTTGCAAACTGTTACACAGCAGTGCTGTGACATTATGGTATTACAATATGCACAAGAAACTATAAGTTAGAGAGAGAGAGAGAGAGAGAGAGAGAGGGGGAGCAGAGAGAGAGAGAGAGAAAGATAAAGGGAGAGAGAAAGAGAAAAAGAGAGAGAGAGAGATAAAAAGAGAAAGGGAGAGAGAGGGAGAGAAAGAGAGAGAGAAATAGAAAGAGAGAAAGAAACAAAGAGAGAAAGAGAGATAGAAAAAGAAAGGGAGAGAGAGAAAGTAAGACACAAAAAGAGAGATAGAGAGAGAAAGAGAGATAAAGAGAGAAAGGGAGAAAGAGACAGAGAGAGAGAGAAAGAGAGAGAGAGGTAGAGAGGTAACAAACCTGGTGATTCTGCAGTGAAGGGCCTCTTGATGATGATGGGGACGGAGGGGCGGGGTGAGTTTGGGGGGCGGGGCACTGCATGACCGTGACTAGTGATGGAATTAAGGCTAGAGCCTACGTACAGCAAACCGTGCGTGTGTGAATACATAGTGTATGGATATGAGAGGGAGGGTAAGTGATACATGCAGAGTACACGTTTGAGAGTGGTTAGAAAGGGAGAATAAGAGAGAGATAGAGAGGCAGAGAGAGAGAGAGAGAGAGAGAGAGAGGGAGAGAGACAGAGAGAGATAGAGGTAGATATTAAGAGAGAGAGAGACAGAGAGAGAGATAGAGATAGAGGGAGAGAGAGACAGAGAGAGAGAGAGAGAGACAGAGAGAGATATTAAGAGAGAGAGAGAGAGAGAGATATTAAGAGGGAGAGAGAGAGAGAGATAGAGAGGGAGAGAGAGACAGAGAGAGAGAGAGAGAGAGAGGCACACAGAGAGAACCGAGACAGATAGAAAGAGGGTGAAAAAGATAAAGATAGAGAAAGAAGAAATTGAGAAGACAAATAAAAGAAAAGAAAGAGATGGAGAATGAAAATACCTCATGTTAAAAACCACAATCAAATCTGTAACTTCAATACAAAGACAAAAGAGCGTACAACATCATATCTGCAGTAAACTCACAGTGGCTCAACAATTTAGTATGATCATGCATGTATGTATGAGTGATGCACTGCAAACTGTATACCACAATCAATTCAAAACCTCTTCTAATTATCTAACAACATACCTGTAAAGTTCTATGATACACTTTCAATTTGTTTGAATTCAAATGTAAAACACAGCAAAATATTTAAGTGTTGGATTATTGTTATACAGTATATATGTACATGTAGGTATCATGCATGCATGAGAGAAGACTGGTGTACAAACACTCACCTAGGACTGAGCTACCTGAGCTGCTGTCTAGACTATCACAAGTTGTGGGATCATCCTCCTCTATACCACTCTCTACAAAGATAAACAGACACAAGTACATGTATATAAAACAACTATCATTATGCTTCCAAAGTTAATTATTTGTGGAGTTATTTAACTTGCTCTTTATTTTCTTTAAAGACTCTTTACATTAGGGCATACACATACATGTCCATCTAATAAAATCATTCTGAAAATGGTTGGATTAAAAAACTTTTGGATGGATTGTATAACATAAGTTCTAAAACATACTCTCTCAAAAATTTCTCAACATTATTAACCCTAACCCTAAATATCACTTAACCCCAATTACAACCCAAACTTTAATCTAAAATCTTTGAGACAGAGCTCAGGGCAAATGTTGAATCACCTTTCAAACATTCCAACCAAAATGTATATGACATCAGAGAATGACACAAATTTTTCAACCTGACTTCTTCATTTCTCAAACACACAATCTAAATACAGTAAAACCTCCTATAGCGACCACCTGTCTATTAAGACCAGAAATGTCGTTTCTTGAATAAGGTTTCTCATTGAAACGTGTACTAAAGGAACCTCTTCATAAAGACCACCCAACCTGAGACCACCTGCCTATAAAGACCACTTTTCATGTTCTCATTGAGTGGCCTTTATATACAGGTTTCATTGAAGTTGAAATCTTACCTGCACTCTTGTCTGTATCGACCGAGATGTGTTTGGGTCTGATAGGACCAAGGTCTGCTTGACTCATTGAAACATGTACTAAAGGAACCTGTACTTAAAGACCACCTACCTATAAAGACTACTTTTCATGTTTCCCTGAGTGGTCTTTATATACAGGTTTCATTGTAGTTGAAATCTTACCTGCACTCTTGTCCGTATCGACCGAGATGTGTTTGGGTCTGATAGGACCAAGGTCTGCTTGACTACCGGCTGTACTTGATAGCTCAAAATTATGCCATTTCATTGACATGTAGACTAAAGGAACCTGTACATAAAGACCTCCTGCCTATAAAGACCACTTTTCATGTTTGCCTTGATTGATCTTACCTGCACTTTTGTCCGTATCGACCGAGATGTGTTTGGGTCTGATAGGACCAAGGTCTGCTTGACTACCGGCTGTACTTGATAGCTCATCACAGGACTCAAAGACATCACTAGAAAAGAAGGAGAGAGAGAGAGTAAATAAGAGATGAACAATTTTTGAGTTACAAAAAGTGTGTCACTATTGTGTTGATTCATTTTTGTGTACATATTACTCATAGATTGTGTTCTTGTATTATTGCCTTTCATATCTGGGAAGCAGACTTGAATGGGTTGCATCAAACGTCTACCGTATTTGCCGGCGTATAGGCCGCAGTATTTTTGGAAGAGAAAATATCAAAAAGTCGGGGTGCGGCCTATGCGGCGAAAGAGTAAAAAAAGTTTTTTTTTTTTTTTTTTTTTTTTTTTTTTTAATTTTTTTTTTTTAGTTTCGATTTATGGCGCTATGCCTGGCAATGTCTCCCAGCTCAGTAATCAGTGTGTTGACTCACCACTCGGAAACTACAACAACACTAAAATTTGACTGTCATCTTGGTTTGAAAGTAATCTTTCTAATAGATCTCAATATGTAGTTTATAATAATAGTTCCTCAAATTTTTTTCTATAACAAATGGTGTACCACAAGGTACACCACTGGTACCATAGGTACTTTATTGTTTTTAATTCACATTAATGATCTTACACATTCTTCTAAAAATGACATTGTTACTATTATTTGTGACAAGTTTACAAGCACAAATCAGCGCCTTTAACTGCACCTCGATGTTAAATGAAGGTCCTTCCACGCGTGGGTTTTCGGCAGCAAAACAATAACAACAAAACAAAAACAAAAAACGATTTTTTTTTTTTTTTTTTTTTTTTTTTTTTTTTTTTTTTTTTTTTTTTTTTTTTTTTTTTAAATGTCAAAATCGGGGGTGCGGCCTATGCGGGGGTGCGGCCTTTACGCCGGCAAATACGGTACTTAAATCCCTAGATAAATGTTTTCATACAGTTAACAACTAAATTACCTTGTAAATTTGATGTTTTGTGTATTTTCCATAATTCAATAATGAAAGATGGACTGGTTGGATTAGGGTAGGGCCTTTGTTGAATACCTGCAGATGTGAGCTTTAATATGTCACATTCTCAATAAACATATATTGGGACAATTAGGGTAAGGGTATGAATAGTTTAGTTATTAACTGTATATTCTGAATAAATAAAATACAATTTTAATTATATCTTACTTGATCTCTGAGTCGCTCTTGATGCTGACTGCTCCTCCGCTACCCGATAGGTTAGCTAGACGGTCTATCTTCTCTTGGGAGGCCAAGAACAAACGATGATAGTTCTGCATGTTCCTTGTTGCCTCGTGGTAGTGCCTTCATTAAACCAAGAAGAACATTCAGTCAGTAATATGTTCACAATGGATAAATAATAACAATAATAGTAATATATATATATATATCATATCATTTGTCACGTCAAGAAAAGTGGCACTTTTTTGTGGTGGTTTACTGCGCCCTATCTTAACAATTAGCCTTAAGTATTCAGAATTCCCTTTTCAGTGTGGGATTCACCATGTCAGTTCAGATAGCTTTAAAGGACAAATTCCACACTGAATGATTACAGGCTCCTCATGGTCACCTATCTTTGCTCCAGTGATCTCGAGTCAGCAGACAGCAATAAATTGTGTGGTGAGTCTCAAGGAGTAGATGGAAGATTGCATTCCACATTTTGAACTTCAAAGAAACTTCAACTACATATTAATAAATACTTTGCTTAATTAATTTAAAGAATAATTTCGCCAATTCATAATTAAGTTTGTGTAATTACTTTGAAAAGGCTTTTGATTCTACTACATTACCGTCACCAGTTTAAATGTGTTTTCAAAATTTCATATAGATCGGTGAAATACCTAAATCTACCATCAACCAAGATTACAGTCAAAGCTGTCTATAGCGACCGCCCAAGGGAAACACAAAAAGTGGTCTTTGTAGGCAGGTTCCTTTGGGACATGTTTCAATGAGAAACCATATTCAAGGGAAACAAAAAATGTGGTCTTTGTAGACAGGTGGTCATTAAGGCAGGTTTGACTGTATTTATGAAACATTCATCAAGTGATTCATCCTACCTTTGAGTTCTCTTGCGTTCTCTCTCCAGCTTCTTCTCCAGAGATATCTGAGACGTTCTCAGGCCATCCATGTGACGCATGATCATGTCCGCTATAAGACCTGCCACGACCACAATGTCAGGTCGCTCCTCTGGGTCAGCGGTCAAGCATCTATGAAAGAGAGAGTAAAAGAGATTCAAGTATGTTTGACCCATTGCAATGAACAAAGATTAAAGAAAATCCCAAAACAGCAACTACAGACAGGTGTCGTGGTCGAGTGGATATAGGTCCACGGTTCAAGTCCCGCCCCGGTACTAATGTCCTTTGGCAAGATATTGATCTACATTTGCCACACTTGACCCAGGTGAGGTAAATGGGTACCTGGTAGGATTATTCCTTGAAATGCACTGTGCGCTGATACGGTTGCCGGAGCTAAAGCTAGGGGTATAATTTCCAAAGCTCTTTGGAAGCGCATAGAGACGTTATATAATGTGATATGCCCTATACAAGAACCAAATAATATTATTATTATCCAGTTGTCAAAGAAGAAAGACACTGAGAAAGAGAAATGAACTTTGACCGACACATATAGCTTCTTAATGTAACATCATATCCAAGATGGCAATGATGCTTCCACATGCTACTAGTGGTAAACACTTTGGTTGCTTTCTTTGCCTCTTTGCACAATCACTCGCTTGCCACAAATGCAATTTTGCACAAAACTACATATATAGGCCCCAATTAACAGAAGGATTACTTTGTGCAACACAATGGCTTTGCAAAATTACCAATTTCCAGTCTTGATTAGCTCCATGACAAGCCTTTTATTCCATCGGTATAGACTAATCATGCACTTTAAAGAGTTAAATAATCTATAAGCCTTCGGTTTATATTTCCCAAGATAAATACAACGTGGCACAGGAAGAATATTTGTGTGGCTTCGAAAGAGTTAACCTTCATTTCTAGTAATGTGTGTGATCACAACTGTATGCCCTTCTTACTGCTCACATATACACACACTTCAAACTAATCCACTACAACATTCATACAAAATTTAATACTTGATTGAAGAACATAATATTTTACATTTATAACATACTTTACTTGAACATTTTAAAGGATAATTATACTACAAAGAGAAAATCAAACAAGATAATTTTATGATGATGGCTTTGTGAAATTACCTATTTCCAGTATTATTTATAATGATTATACAATACTTTACTTGAACATTTTGAAGGATAATTATACTACAAAGAGGAAATCAAACAAGATGTTTTACCTCCTAATCGTGGTGCTGACAAGGTCAGAGTATTGATCGGCAGGTAAAGGTTCATAGTCAGCTTCTACAATCTGCAAGGAGAAAGGAATCCAAAGAAACAAAATAACATCACTGGTCGGTATGATCCGAAAGGGGCAATGTTAAACCTTAGTGAGCTTAGCCCTTTGCTTAGGGGAACCAGGGCCCAGTTTCACAAAACTTGTCATCAGCGACAAATGACAGGCTTTGTTATAAGCTACTGAAATCCTTGCTTCTGATTGGTTATCAGCAGATTTGTCATTGATTTTTGTCATTTGTCATTGAAAAAAGGCTTTGTGAAATGGGCCCCAGGTGGCTACTGTATAAAGCCTAATGGGAGTGAATGAATTCAGAAGTCAAGGGGTTAAAACCAGTGTTTTATGGAGTGCCAAGCGTCGACTTCTTCATGCCATACAAGTTTGTGTAATTCTGTCACGCTCATCATATATAAAGTAAATTTAAGTATAATGATCTGGAACTGAAAAAAACACCATGAAAAGAACATCCTGTTGACATGGGCATCATTATTTAGTCATACAGTGACATTTAGTGACATAATCATGGTCATTTCTTTCTAGGATGGTGATGTTCGAAATTGATGCTATACAGTGCGTCCCAGAAAAAACGAAACCGAGAAGTATCAATGTTTTATCATAACTTAATCACAACCATAATTACTGAATAATACATATTTGGAAAGCTGAGAGTCTCCTCTTTCGGTTGATGCTACTCACGTGATGCATATTTCACGCATGAGTGATTAAAAGCAATATGAAGGAAGGAAACCAAAAAGTAATTTCGCGGGCGGTATCTGAATTCCGAAGAAAAATTCATATTTCTAGAAAGTTCATTTTCTGCCCTTTCATATGACACCTCAATCAAGAAAAATGAGCCAGGATTAACAAAGTTCTGTTTGTTTAAAGTAGCCCTTACATTTTCATAATTTTAACAAATGAAATCGTTTTCACTGGGTGCCTGCCGTAGCAAAAAGCAGATTTGACAAAAGACTTAACTCCGTTTCGTTGACAATCAGCCATGCATGAAGACTCTCGTCTACGGCTGAATGTCAACGAAACGGAGTTAAGTCTTTTGTTAATTTCGTTTATTGATACGGCAGGCAGCCAGTGAAAACGAATTCGTTTAATAAAATTATGGAAATGCAAGCACTACTTTAAACAAACAGAACTTTGTCATTCCTTGCTCATTTTTCCTGATTGAGGTGTCATATGAAAGGGCAGAAACTCAACTTTCTAGAAATGGGAATTTTTCTACGAAATTCAGATACCGCCCGCCAAATGTCTTTTTGGTTTCCTTCCTTCAAATTGATTTTAATCACTCATGCATGACATATGCATCATCTGAGTAGCATCACATGAAAGAGGAGACACTAAGCTTTCCAAATATGTATCATTCATTAATTATAGTTGTGATTAAGTTATGATAGAACATCGATACTTCTCGGTTTCGTTTTTTCTGGGACGCACTGTATAAATAGATTCTATACAATTTGATGAAATGTTAAAACATGCAAGAATTACAATGAATATAGAATATGGCAGAAATTTAAACAAAACCAAAGAAAGGTTAACCTATTAAACAACAATACCACTCTTACGTACATGCAGTAATGTAATAATTTGATAAAGGACAACAAGTATTCAAAATTATCAATCAATCAATTAATCAAATTGGCTACATCGGAAAATGTTTTCTTACTTTGCTAGCCAGTGCAAGCATATTGGCGCTGTAGAATGGTGGCTTGAGAGTACACATCTGATAAAGAACGCATCCAGCTGCCCAAACATCAGCTTTCTCACCATATGGTGTGGACTGCACAATCTCAGGGCTGAAATAAAAACAGACATAATAAGCACATTGAAATTTGCTTAATCGATTATCCGCTAGAGAGTATTAACTCTTTATGCGCCACTTAAAAAAACCCCCTGTGCCACATTCTTTTAGGGTCACACATTTCGAGGGAATCTTTATTGACTCTGCTGAATCAAGAGGCTATAACTCTTCACTGGATGATCATGATGAAAAATATTGTGCAGCAAAGTTGTAGACCGGAAAACGTGCTTTTCGATGAACCGTCATTTGTTATATTTTGAATTATCATTTTTATAATAATCATAATTATATAATGTTTAATTTTTCTTATTTACGGCAGTTTTTTATCCCTCTAGAATTTCTTATTTAGCAATGATAAGACATCTTCAAATCGAATCTATTAGAAAGGTGGACTTCTTACCTTTCTTTACATACCTTGCTCAAGTATTCTAACAATTCAGAAGGTTAGTATTTAGGTTGTTGAAGAAAAGAAGTTCAATAGGGAGAGACTTGAAAGTACCCCGCTCAGCCACCCTTGACAATGGGCTAATCTGCCCATTGAAATCCCTATTACCCCAGGTTATTGTCAATGTCCGGTTTAGCGGGGCATGAAAAGGGACGTCGTGGGGATGTTTTTCTTTGTTGTGCCATGATAAGTCAATAAGAAATAAGAGAATGTTATTGATTTTGCCCACTGGTATGAGCATGTAAAAATGGTATAGGCATAATATATTATATGTGATATACATGACATAATCAGCATCTTATTGAAATGTCTCATTATGAATGTTCACCGCATCTGTTCTCTCACCTTCTTTACCCCTCAATAAAATTGATTTCAAGTACATTTATCACAGCCATAGATATACAAAGAAAGAATGAATCAATCTTAAAATATAAACTATATTGCATTGTTTTCCATTTACTTTATTGTGAGAGAGCTTATTATCAGAAATGATTGACGAGTGGAGTATGCAATGAATAAAATATGGAGAACGGACGTGAGAGACATTATGAGAGAGAAATAGTGATATGAAATGAAAGGACTTTACTGTGAATAAAGATTATAAGAGAAAGAGATAAAGATGACGGCAAGACAGGATACATATTGATACGAAAATAACAATAATAATGAGATAGAGATGACGGAAAGAAAGAGAGTAAACACTGATAGCATAAGAATGAATAAAGATAATAAGAGAAAGATATAGAGATGACGGCAAGACATAGGGTACATATAGATAGGAAAATGATAATAATAATAAGATAGAGATGACGGAAAGAAAGAGAGTAAACACTGATAGCATAAGAATGAATAAAGATAATAAGAGAAAGATATAGAGATGACGGCAAGACATAGGGTACATATAGATAGGAAAATGATAATAATAAAAAGATAGAGATGACGGAAAGAAAGAGAGTAAACACTGATAGCACAAGAATGAATAAAGATAATAAGAGAAATATATAGAGATGACGGCAAGACATAGGATACATATTGATAGGAAAATAATAATAATAATAAGATAGAGATGACGGCAAGAAAGAGAGTAAACACTGATAGCATAAGAATGAATAAAGATAATAAGAGAAAGATATACAGATGACGGCAAGACATAGGGTACATATAGATAGGAAAATGATAATAATAATAAGATAGAGATGACGGCAAGAAAGAGAGTAAACACTGATAGCATAAGAATGAATAAAGATAATAAGAGAAAGATATAGAGATGACGGCAAGACATAGGGTACATAATTATAGATAGGAAAATGATAATAATAATAAGATAGAGATGACGGAAAGAAAGAGAGTAAACACTGATAGCATAAGAATGAATAAAGATAATAAGAGAAAGATATAGAGATGACGGCAAGACATAGGGTACATATAGATAGGAAAATGATAATAATAATGAGATAGAGATGACGGCAAGAAAGAGAGTATTACACTCATAGCATAATAATGAATAAAGATAATAAGAAAAAGATATACAGATGACGGCAAGACATAGGGTACATATAGATAGGAAAATGATAATAATAATAAGATAGAGATGACGGAAAGAAAGAGAGTAAACACTGATAGCATAAGAATGAATAAAGATAATAAAAGAAAGATATAAAGATGACGGCAAGACAGGATACATCTTTCTTTCATTAGTTTTATTCATTCTTATTCTATCACTGTCTACTCTCTTTCTTGCTGTCATCTCTAGCTCTTTCATTAATTTTTATTCATTCTTATTCTATCAGTCTACTCTCTTTCTTGCTGTCATCTCTATCTCTTTCTTTCATTATTTTTATTCATTCTTATTCTATCACTGTCTACTCTCTTTCTTGCTGTCATCTCTATCTCCTTCTTTCATTTTTTTTTATTCATTCTTATTCTATCAGTCTACTCTCTTTCTTGCTGTCATCTCTAGCTCTTTCATTAATTTTTATTCATTCTTATTCTATCAGTCTACTCTCAGGGAACACTTTTATCACTAGAGTCTTCGTCACTGCTCGATTCGTCGGAATCAGAGTCCATGCTCCATGCTTCCATAGTAACAAGATCTCGAGCCTCCTCTACACTAAACACACGTTGACGTTTTCCAGCAGGTGCCATCGTAACATCAGTAAAAAAAATCCAAAGAAAACCGCTAAATACACGGTAATTTCGAATGTAACACTATGAAGAAAAACAGTTTACCGGAAAGTGTGCGATGTATACAATGTAAACAATAGTAAACGCAACGCGTGGCTACACACTGCGAGCGGTATTATGAATGTCTAATTGACTCGTATACATCTGTGCAAAAATGCGAAGTTGGCACGCCTACGTCCGTGCAAATCGGCGAACAAAGCAAACAAAGAGTTAAGAAAACCTGTCAATAAATAGTTTGTTTATTTGTGTGTGGCATGATGGCTTAATGGTGGAGCAGTGGTCTTGTAACAGGGAGGTCTTGGGTTTGAAACCAAGTCAACGTGCTAGTGTCCTTTGGTAAGGCATTATCCTCATTACCAAGTCCATTGGTAAGGACTTAGAGTTGTTGGTCCCCTGGTTGTTTACTTACAAGTATATACACATGCTTTCCTAGAATTCCGGTAAATCAAACAAACCAACCAACCAACATTGTTATTTCATATCTTGAACTATATTTCTTCTTGAAATATGTACTGCATCACAGAGAAACTAAACATACATGTAGTGTAGGACAGTCTGTTTTGAATGACTGCCTTTCTTTATTTAAACATCACTTATATGTATCGCCTTTGTTCCTTTCCTTAGACTGATATCTACATACAGGTTTGACTGCACTGCAAATTCACCACAAAAACTTGTCAGAAAATTCACTTGACTACAACACCTCTACTTATCTAGGAAATTCCATAATATACTTACATTACATTGTATATTTGATATCTATTATATATAACTGTTTGGGCGAGACCTATGGCCGCTAAGATATTTCTTGTTCTATTTTCATTTTCATTTTCTATCTGATTATACTACATTTGTCAATAATTTGTATAGATCTACTTATCCATCAATGTACTTTTTCTCAAGATGTATGAATATCTTTTTTCCCCCTCTTTCCGTTTTTCCCTAATTTTTTTCTTCCTATTTTTGTTGTTTCTATTTTTACTGCCTGAATAAAACTGCTATTTTCTTTGTAAATACTCTTATTGTCAGTTCTTAAATTTGTATTTTCCTTCTTTAAGCAGGACCATTGGGTAAAACAGCCTGCCAGCGGATAAATGTTATCCTGTTAAAAGACGTTTTTAATAAATAAATAATAAATAAATACTTGTATGCCACTCACCAGCTGTAGAGTATGGTTCCTACCACTGATGTCATCTTGCTCGCATCAGGCTGCCTGGCTCTAGCAAGACCAAAATCAGCTGTAACATCAAACACAATAAACAACATTAATATCAGTATGTGGGATGATGCGAGGGACTTTAAATAGAGAAATACCAAGAATAAAGTCCTTTAAATATTTGGGCAATGATAAAATGAGATTCAGTTAAATGAATGTTTCCAAGAGTACAAATTTGCAGTATTTAATATTACAATACGCTGAAATACAGAGTGACCCCCTCCCCCCCCCCCAAAAAAAAAAAGAAGAAAAGAACCACCACTAAGCAATTCTTGGTAAAGCTTACCTTACATGTCAGAGCTAAAATATCAGCTCTACCTTTATTCTCCTATCCTATCAATATCATAAAATATTGCAACACTTGACATTTTGCAATAGACCATTTCTGTAATGTAATAACTTGAATGCACAAATCATTGTTAAGTGCCTCGTTACAATTAATTGTTGCTAGGTAGGACAAACATTATGGCTTGTTCTACCTAACAACACGAAATGTACATGTATGCCATTCACATTCTGACTATTGAAACACAATTATTCATGACTGGTGAATGAAATAATTTGTAACGAGGCATTTAACGAAGATTTGTGCATTGAATTTGCTTACATTAGGGAAATGGTCTATAATTGAGACAGGTTTGTGGTATCACAGTATTTACTTTAAAGCCTGTCTGTCTTGTTTGGCCAAGGGGGATTAGACCTCCCTGCAAGGTCATTGACAGGTGGTTATCTCATCAAATCAGTTCTCAATTAACATAAGAAAAAGAGGATCATGGGGGACCAACAGGCACCGATTAGGCATTGTTTGCTATATAGAGGGCGCCAGTAGCTATAAGTAGTGCAGTGGGGCTTAAAGCCACATTAAAGGGATTCTGAAGATCATACTCACTGATGGTAACCCTATCCCTTTCTCCAAGCATGATGTTATTAGGTGTCAAATCTCTGTGTACAATCTTCTTCTCTTTATGCAGATATCTCAATGCCAGCACAATCTATAGTCAGATGGATAGAATACATGAAAATAGTAATGATTAATGCATAAATTACCAAAGGGGCCGGCACCAGCATATGGTTTAGAACCCGGAACCTCCCGGTTAAGAGACCAGTGCTCTACCACTGAGCTACACAGGTACATGTATCACGCCTCCATTGGAATTTTCTTTTTATATTTTTTGAGAGATTCATAAATAGATGATTAGCATTACTAGATGGAAGAATATATCTGAGCAAAGACACATTTGACATTTACATAGCAGCAAGATCCCAAGAGGAATAAATTCAGAAAAATTACATTACAATCTTCATATATCTGTTCAGTGTTTCATATCATAGTAATATAAAGTATGTACTTGCACCAAGACACTGGCATAATGGCAGAGATCTCAATGTAAATGCCCAATTCAACCTCTCTATGTTCCTTTATTCTTTTAGTACAGATAATTGAAACTTGAAAGATAAGTTCATATTAAATATCTATTTCATTTAATTATAAATAGTGTCCACTTTCTGTTACTGGTGAGTGTAGTTGTTTTTATCATATAAAGAAAATCATAGAAGTCTTAATTTTTACTCACTTGAATAAATATATGCCATATCCTCTCCTCTGAGAAGTTCTCATTCTTCTCTTTAAGTGAGTTGAAATGTTCGTAGAGTGGGGCTCCCTCTATGAGCTCCATTATGATGTACATCTTCTCAACTTGAGCTGCGGAAAAAAATTCAAATATTTAAAGTAATAATTACAATTAAAGGGTGGTCTAATCCCTCCTGGGCAAACAAGCGCAGACGATCTTTAAATCACATTTACCATCATTGGTCTAAAAATGCACAGACTAATAATTAAATAAGGGGTTGATTGCTCCCTTCTCTCCACAAACAATAGATAAGTTTCCATATACATTTAAACCTGCTGTAGTGACCACCTGTATAGAAAGACCAAATTATCTGTTTCCCTTGGAAGTGGTTTCTTGTTTAAACTCGACTTAAAAATTATGAAGAGCTATTTGTAGCCTTTAAATAAAATATATTCAAAAGCAAAAATTCAAGTACCGGTATTTTAGATTTTTCATAAATTCCACATCAAGAACATGAAATCTCCTTGATATTAGAAAATATGAATGATTTGAATCAACATTTTATGCCTTTTAAAATAACTTTTACAAAATATTTTCAGAGATGCTAACAGCTTTCCATAATTCCATAAGTTCAACTCAGGATCTTTGTAAAACACCCCCTTGTTATATGCTTTGAGAACAATTAAATAAAACTTTATTTGAAGTTTAAAAAATAAAAATAAAAGTCTTTGGATTTGTCCACACTCACGTTCTGTAAACGTCCTGTAGTAGCGCACAACGTTGGGATGTCTCATGTGCTCCTTGACGATACTGAGTTCGCTGATGATACTCTCTATGCTCTTCTCTTTCTCCTTGGCTGTCCTACCTACAGCAGGGTTGTTGAAGGAGATCTCCTTCAGGGCTAGGAAGTTGCCACCGGCGTTCTTCTTCACCTGCGAAGGATGACGTTATTTACAAATAGGTCATGAACAACACAATATTATGTTATGATATATGTTACATTATGGGAATAGATAGTCTTATGTGGCGTTGCAAGAAAGTTGCAAGCAATTGCAAATCCCCGAAATCAAGCGTAAGTCTTGCGATTAATTGCAAATTTGCAATTGATCGCAACTCAACTTTTTTGCAACCCCCCAATAAAAGAATAAAAGCTACATCTATTTTACTTAATATCATTATTAAAACTTGAATCCTAACAATATCTTAGTAAATTCAGGAAACTAGTGGGGCATTGCAAGAAAGTTGAGTTGCAATCGATTGCAAATATCAGTTTCAAATTTCGCAACTTGCAATCAAACGCAACTTTAGTCTTGATGATGGCTAGACTGAAATGACAGCTAGATGCTCACCTTGTAGACACTGCCAAAGGCACCTGTTCCTAGATGCTCATAGACCAGGTATCCAGAGATGGACTGCGTAGGCTCCTTGTTCTGATTTGTCTCCTCAAAGTTCACCTTGATAGTGTCCAACAGATCAGCCTGAAAAGTAACAGAACACAATATAAACACCACTGATGCAGGATTACAGAACATATAAACCCCAAACATTATTTAAAATGTAATGTACGTGTAAGTGCAATAATTATCCGTAACTGTATTCAATATTTGTTCTGAGTTATTGCCATTACAATATCAAAATAACACATTTTCAAGAATGGAATTTTTAATCATCTCCTTTTTAAAGATTTTAAGAGCCATTTACTTCCAACTACCAAATGAAGCATCAATTCTTCCTTTTCTTATTTCCTCTTCATTCTTCCTCAATTCTTTTCTAACAATAGAATACCTGCACATGCAGCTTTAATCATCTTTTTTCAAACTGTGATCCTTATTTTTAATTCAATGAATATACTTACAGCTTATTTGCAATGGTACTAAACAAGAAAATTATCGTCATAGCCTATACTGTTTAGAATGTACTATTTTTGTCTTTCTTTCAATTAAGCTGGTGATGGCATGCATGCACACACGGCTTATTGACCCAAAGACTATACTGAATTCTTTCATTCTCCTAGACTTAACACAGTAGCCCATCCCGTTCCTGTACATGCATGGGTTAATAAGTATTATAAGATGATAACGTGGATCCTAATCAAATGATTGATTGAGAGCGTACACGTGACCAGGCATTTATTTTGCCTAACACGTAATTTTGATAATGACCGGTCATTAGTAAAATCATGTTATAAAACATCATTTTATAAAACAAATAATGCAACTCATTTTGTTTGGGCATTAGTAAAATTTACCACACTCGGTACCTTCATTAGTAAAATCATGTTATAAAACATCATTTTATAAAACAAATAATGCAACTCATTTTGTTTGGGCATTAGTAAAATTTACCACACTCAGTACCTTCAATATACAGTCCAAACACCCTCGGCCATCGCCTCGGGCGTGTTAGACTGTTCCAAAGGTACCTTGTGTGGGTAATTCTTACTAATGCCCTCACTGCTTTGTATTATTTGTATACTTACGGGTAGAGCAGAGAGCATCTCTACCAGGCTCTTGTAGGCACTGATATCCCTCTGGTAGTGACCCACATCGATGAACTTCTCGAAAAGACCGGGAGGAAAAAGACGTTTGAAGAGACGACGATTCCTCTCCATGCTGAACAGAAACCTCAGCGATCGGAAAGAATTTTTCTGTGAAAAAAAACAAAAGCGCATGTGTTGCGAATGATCATGAAATCTGCTCCATTGCTACAAGTGATTGTAATATAGTGTGTTATACTTGTAGAAGTATTGGCAACCTTCCAATTTTGGCAGAACAAGATAAATTTTTAGGTATTTACAGCATTTTATTTATTGAATGATACAGGGAAGTAGATGTTAGAGTCTTTCATTTCTTGTCCAAAATTATACAAGAACCATGGCAAGAACTAGATAATGGCCTAAATATAAGCAAATATATGCAAAAATTAACATAGTAAGTGGAGAGGGGTGGGGTTACTCATACAAAAAATTTAACATCGGGGAAAGAACATTGCATATAAAGGACTTTTGACCCACATTCATTGCCACAGCTAAAACTCGCCGGGGGATTTTGACAATACTTTTTTTAAAGGCTGCTGCTCGGTCATCCGTGGCAGCAGCGTTATGAACAAGGGATCATGAGACAGAGTATTAGTCACTCTTAAATATAAAATGTTATTCAAAGATAATAACTTTTAAATGAGAATCTTCCAAAGTTTGGTATGCTTTTTCTTTTGATAGTCATTTTATAGCACATATTAATTGAGCATCATCAATTGATACTCACTACCTTTGTCTATGCCTTTGACAGGAACGTGTTCATGAAAAGCTACCTTATTCCTTTCATTTCTATGTTTTCTATTTATACAATTGTTTTTACGTTCAAAAGTTGCAGATTCTCAGTATCAATATGTAGCTTTCACAGAAACCAATTTGGAAAAACGCAGGAAAGAATATATCAACTGCATTTTATGTTTATATAGACCAATGTGCAATTCTTAAATGACTCCTAGACAAACATTATTTTTCATGTTAACTTCTCTACATTTTCTTTTTCGCTAAATGAGTTTTCACAACACCACCCGGCCAGTTACGAGTACACTTGAACGGATCCGGGCTAACTCGGACCTGGGGAAAACTCGGCCGCTCTGCAAAAACTGTCATTTTTTTCATTTTACCCTAACCCTAAACCTAAACCTAACCCTTAACCTGCAAAAACTGACCGTTTTTGCAGCTGGGCCGAGTTGTCTCCGGTCTCGGCTCCCCTTTAACTTACCTGTAAAGTCTGTACAGCCTCACTCTCGGCCTTGGTGGAGGTCTTCTGAGGGAAGATGAGCATGCCCACGCTGTAGATACCATTGTTCTGAACAATCTGCTGAGCGTTGGTGTCGTTGCGCACCAGTTCAGTCAGAGCTGCACAGCATGCTATTTAGTGAACAAAGCAAGAAGAAAGTGACATTAGAAATACAGTCAAACCTGTCCCGAAGCTGTGACATCATAAAAATCCATTGTCCTATGGGAACTCAGTGTTATATTGCTCTGGCTCGTAATGTTATGAACCAGACCAGACCTATAGGACATCTATTTATTAAGATGGTCATATCTCAGCCAATACTTAACATATTCAATTGGTTTTCGACATTTGGACATTATTTTTGACCGACCAAGGGAAACACAAAAGTGGACTTTGTAGACAGGTTCCTTTAGTACATGTTTCAATGAGAAACCATTTTCAAGGGAAACAATTCATGTGGTCTCTGTAGACAGGTGGTCACTAAAGCAGGTTTGACTGTATCACAAATTTTTTTTTTTTAAAGGCATTGTTTAACAATGTTTCCAGTTTGACAAATCTGAGATGCATTGCGCTTCAAAATGATCATGAAGTGCTTCAAAAAAGTAAATTCTTCGAGCGACCAGTTTTACCATACTCATTTTCCCAAATAGACTGTAGTGTTATAAAAACCATTGGGAAAATTTCTAATTCCAATCATAAATATCTTGATTATCAGATCGACTTGTAAAAGTCATGGAAATCTCTGACTGACCTAAAGATTTATATTTTTGATTGCACCATGAGCTAAATTCAAGATTTTTAATAAAATCTGGGGCAAAGATACCAAATCCCTTTAACAGTGAACAACAGTGAAGGAGCTTATATTATAACCTAATGGCATAATGACATTATCTATATGTAGCAAAATTTCAAGGAAGATAACTATTATTCTCTCCTTTCGATAAAACTTTTTGTTCTACTTTGAACTAAGTGTATTTGCTGTATTTATTCTATTATCAATGAGAAGAAAAGATTTGCTTTTTTGCTTATCTTGTATTCATCAACACTTTGGCATGTTTTTCATATTAACCCATTCGATACAACCTGGTATTTCTTGTAACTGACACCACAGGCTTCTGCTATGTTATTGTGGTACTCAAAGGGTTAAAATTAAACACATCTTGCCAAACAACTCACCTGATTTCAGAGATAATATGTGCTCCAATTGAACATCACCCTGTAAGATAAACAGATGAATATTTGGTGAGCTTTATAATATTATCAACAATGATCAGTCATTATCTATCATTCATATAGAGCTACAGTCCGACCTGTCTGGCAGCAGAAAAATATTGGCCACTTTTACCAGGTGAACTTTCATAACAGGTTCTGTAATACAAATTTCCTTCTAGAGGTAGGCAATTATGGATGACCTGGCTCTCATTATACATTGTGTTCCACATACATGTATATAGTACAAATAATTATACTAATAACATTCATATTGATCATTTAGGCATACTAACAAATAAAAACGTACAACACCTCTCGCAAAATCACAGAATTTGAAAAGAAACATACAATATATAGACTCATAAAATCTGTACATCACATTATAATACATATATATGACATAAGTGAAATAGAGCAGCCTTTCACAAAATTAAACCTTATCTGGGCCCTGTCTTACGAGAGTTACGATTGATCCAAATCAATCGCAAGTTTGCAATCTCCTATCTCTTCTGTACATAATCGAGATTGATATCAACTCTTTGTAAAACAGGGCCCAGGATAATATTTTCAGGGGGGTGTTTCACTTAGATCCAAAGTCAAACTCAACTCTAAGTTGGACTTAAACAATGTGGAGAGCCATTTGAGGCCTTAAAATAAAATATACTCAAAAGCAAAATTTGAAGTATTTTAGACTTTTCATAAATTCCACATCAAGAACATAAAATTTCCTTGATAATAGAAAATATGAATGATTTGAATCAACATCTATGCCTTTTAAAATAACTTTTATGAAATATTTTTAATGATGCTAATGTCTTTCCATAACTGTTAAGTCCAACTTAGTGGATCTTTGTGAAACACCCCCCTGGAGGTTTGAATTGTTCTTACATTATCATGGACGGGGAATGGAAGCGAATGATGTCTGCCTGATGAACCTGCACTGGCCAAAGCGTGGGATGACCCTCTATCAGAGCTGAATTCACGATCACTGAAAACAAAAGAGAAGGCAGAAACAATTTAATTACTCATTATTCTTAAGTACCATTTGAGGTGTCCACACTTGTACAAGCATTGCTTTTTAGTGGACCCCTCTGTTTCCAATATGTATTCCTAAATTGTTGTAAATGTTTATAATTGAATCGCAATGATTTGTTGGAAACATAATCAATTGAAATTGAAATATTGAAATGAAAGTAATTAATTGACAATTACAGTAGGGGAAATGTAACGAAAAAAGAACAACATGCATAAATTGTGTGTATGGTCCAGATTCACAAAAGTTTAATACCACAAAATGAAGGTATAACAACAATGCTCTTTTCGCAAATTGCAAGGTTTCTTGCACAGAAACTACAAATCTTTAAAATTTGCAGAGGGTTTGGGATTCTTTTTTACACATTCATACCACATTAAAATTAGTGATTCCATCAGAAAATTCATTGGAAAAATGGAAAGAGAGAGAGAGAGAGAGAGAATTGATAATACATGTAAGGATTATCAGTGATTCCGAAAGAAAAGTCATAAAAAAAAAAGATAAAATACTACCCCCATATCGAATATACAAAAATGTTATCCCGTACTCCATGAACAATTATGAATCAGGAGTTGCAAAAACATTTTCCTGGAGATTTCGTTTTTCATATAAGTAGATTAAGATTAATCAAACAGTACTTACTGTAAGAGCGCAAGAAGGAGGGGGATTCCCCCCATACTCCTGACATCATTACTTGCATCCTGGTCTTGAGCTAGCTGTGCTATGCACCAAACCTGAAATGATTATAAAAAGAAAGCAAAAAAATTAATAAAGGGGAATTAACCTTAATGTTAATTTCAGTTTGTAGGCCATTTCAAACATTATCTGAACAATATACAACATCGTTCATTTGAATAAAGGGAGGACGTAACTCTTCTTCAGAATGTTTCTTTCTTTCTTCATTCCCATTTTTATTTAAAGGGAGAAATTTACCATTGTATATCTGAACATGAATTAAAAGCAAACATCTCAATAGACAAAAGTGTATTTGACAGAAAAAGGGGTCGATCTCACATTAAAAAGGGGAGGATTAAAAAAAAAAACACCAACAAAAGGACACCCAATGTGACTGCTCCCCAGAAGAATTTGGCAGTGGGATGTACAAAGGTCGTTAATCTATTTAATCAGATTACTATTCTATTATCAAAGACAAAGGTTGTTTAATAGTGAACAAGAGGATGAGGGCCCTGCTTCATAAAACTTGTTATCAATGACAGGTTACAATAACCGTTATACTAGCTACTGAAACCGTGGCATCCGATTGGTTGAGAGCAAATTTGTCATTGAAATTTAGTATTTGTTATTGATAACAAAGTTTATGAAACAGGGCTGAGAACCCTTGATCTTCAGAGAGTTATCAGTGTGGATTACTGAAATCAAACACGGTTTAACCCGGTCTACTTATTTATAGATATCAAAAAGTTTTTTTTTTTACCCAGAGAACTAGGAGCACTTTTTGATTATATCCTTTTACCCCATAATACAAAGTACATTTCTGTATTAGTTCCTTTTATCCCATAATGCTATTAAAGGTACTATGTCCCTTTTGCAGCCAACCTCAAATTCTGTAGAACTTTGCAGGAATTATGAATATGTCATGTATGTCCTATCTGTGAAATTTAAACGTTAGCAGTGTCCTCATATTCAAATTATGCAAGGAAACCCGTTTACTTGCTAGACTTCACTGTCAGACACTATTGAGTGACTGGCTGGCTTTTTTTCTTCTTTGGTAATAACATACATGAAAAGAGTTGTAAAGGGTACATGAGCATTTGTCTACATCAATAACCCACTTCTTGTGATGGCCAAGATTAAACTGATTGAATCTTTGCGCAGCATAAAAACGTATGACCATTCGGTACAATGTCTGAAAATCAAGACTATTACTTTGGGGCTCTATAGCCCTAAAGTCGATTTGACAACTAATAGTCGTTATTTTCAAGCCCTAAGTTCTAAATTAGTATTATCTTTCAAATGCAGTTGGAATTTAACTTTTTCATTTTTTGGCCTGCAAATGGGACATAGTACCTTTAAAGTACAATTTTTTAAACAAATACATTGTACACTCACATACAAGACCTGAACAAATAATGGAATACACCCATCTCTGAAATGAATCATCCTCTTCATCCTCATCCTCATCCTCCTCATCATCATCATCATCTTCTTGTCGTTATCATTATCTGGCAATCATTATTACCATCAGCAGCAGCATCTTCATCACTATCATCACTATCCTCCTCCCCCATGTCTCCCCCCTCCACCTCCTCCCCCTCCCCCTCCTCCTCCTCCCCCTCCTCCTCTCTCTCTCTCCCCCTCCCCTCCCCCCCCCCTCCCCTCCTCTCCTTCCCAGCATCAAGAAGAGAATAGTCTAGGGATGCATACCACATCACAGAGTAGACTGATGTTATCCGAGTGTAGAATGCTGAGAAGAATGGGCATCCCATCAAAGATCTTCACCTGCTCTCCCACTTGCTCTTCCAGACATAACACCTTCAACAACCAGGCAGCAAGTCTACACGGGAGTGGAGAAAAAAGTATCTTACTAATACAAGGATGTCTTTACATAATCCTAATTCATCAGTCAACTGACGGTGGAAAATGGAGTGAAAAATGCAAAGGAAGACAATTTATCAATATATAAATAATGACTGCACCCAGCCTGGTAGCAAATCTAGGCAAGGGGATGATATATGAGTTGGTCTAGCGGCACGTTCACTTGGTCAGCTCTCTGTCTACGCCTACAAACTCGCCCAGGCGACCCCGGTTCGAAAACCGAGTCACATTTTTAGGATGGTGAGGATAAACTAGGTCGGTCTCGACGTAAATAATCATATCTGATTGATACATGTCTGTAAAAACCAATTACACACACACACACGTAAAGAATACCTTGTCAGTCAATGCTATCATAATCTGATATACATGGGCAGAGGATCAAGGGGAAGATGGTAGATGGGGGGGGGGGGGGGGGGGGGAATTCATTTGGGGTGGGGTAAATCTACTATATGAACAATTTACAATTTCATTGCACCTTCACCAGATTGGCAAAGTTTAGTAAGGACCATTATTATACATCTAATATCATCTTCAGCTGATGTCATATGTGAGACTAGATCGGACGACATTCATTTTAAATCCAACTAAAGGAGACAAAATTATATTCCACTTCTGCACACATAAATCGACACAAAGAAAGGTTATGGAAATGCCAACCACATTCCCCTGAGGTAAGAAATAACAATTCTGTTAATGATGAAGTTTTGGGATCAGGGAACTTACTTTTTGGAGAGGATGTCATAGTCTTGTAGTATCCTGAGCAGTGTCTCTACACAGTACAGCTCTCCTATGATTGCTCTAGGTTCAGGGCTAAAGATGAAATGAAAAATAAATAAATGGATAATAATGAGCAAGATGAACACCATAGAAATAGATATGATTGTCTTTTTTTAGGGGGGGGGGGGGAACAAAAACGGCAGATTCCACATCAAAATTTGGTCTCAGAAATCGTTCATATCGAAATGATCAATATCAGCTTTACATAAAGTTTTGAATCAAAGAAAAAATTAAAACAACTTAAAGATAATGAATTTACCAAATAAAGATGGTTACTAAAACCAAAGTCAAATTTGAGACAGAGTTTGTATTGCTCTCTGAGAGTGCTTTAGTGCCTTGTGGGTAAATAGGCCCATAATACAAATACATGTACATGTAATATAAAGACTTACCTCTGAGCCATACCGATGAGAGCATAGAGGGAGCAATGTAGGACCATTACATCACTGGCTGACAGCAACATCACTAAAGGCTGGACAAAAAGAAACAAGTAAATTAAATTGTTAGGTGATTATACAGTAAGGCCTAAACAAAAAATGTTGTATAGCCCTTTAGGCTCCCTACACTTTAGAGGGGCTTTAATCCCTATAACCCCAGAGCTAATATCTCCAGCCCTCATTTTGAATGACCTTTTACAGTATCCCTACTGATAACAGTAGCTATCATCATAACATGATTGGTTTCATATTTCAGCCGGTATCATCAGACTCAGGTAACAATAGACATCTCATGCATGTGATATCTATATGTATGCTGAATGAACGTAGATATCAAGAACATTTTACCCCACTTCTTCTTATAGTATAGTTCTATTTGATTAAAGCTAATCTTGAGCTCTGGTATGGGCATCGTATGTCAAGAGAACATGGCTATAATTCATTCTGGATTGTTCATCCTGCAGTAGATTGATTGTTTGAACCAGTGAAATAAAAACAACCTCACAAAAACTTGCTGGAAATCATCTCCAATAAAAACCACAGCTCTCATTTGCACATGGTGACCTGTGTTGAGCACATGGCGTCAGGCCTAAACTTACAGGTACATGTACCTTGATTTCCTTATCTGTCTATACTCATTACTCAGCCCCTATACATTTTCTACCAAAATCATCCTGAGGCACATGTCGTTTATTTGTAATCTTGAACGGCATTCAGTGTAAGTTTTGTGGGATTCTGTGAGAATTTATTTTCTATCATTACCAGAACTCAAGCTTATCTTTAAAGGGATCCGGTAGCTTTGTCTCAGATTCTGAAAAAAATCCTGGATTTAGCTCATGCTGCAATGATAATTATAAACCTTTAGGTCAGTAAGGAATCCTATGACTTTTACAAGCCGATCGCCTGTCTGATTATCAAGATATTTATGATTGGATATCAAAACCAAATTTTGCGTTTTCCTAACGCTTTTCATAACACTACAGTCTATTGGGGAAAACGAGTACGTTAAAACCGGTCACTCAAAGATTTTTACTTTTTTGAGGCACTTCATGATCATTTTGAAGTGCTTTTTTTTTTAGGGCTTTAATATTACACCATATCACAGACACTGATAACACGTAGGGCCGTGCATCTCAGATTTAACATTGTTAAATGATGCCCTTAATTTAAAAAAAAAAAAAACATCCAAAATGGAGCTTACCCTGTGAGCCCCACATGCTATTAACCAGTCTCTCTGCTTCACGTTACCAGACAACTTCTGGAAAATATCTGAAATAAAGATAAATCATGTCAATAAAGAGATCTTATTCAGTCCAATGGAGATAAAATGATCCTGTCAGCTGAATATAGTAAATGGTTTAGCTTTTTTGAAAATGATATTTTTTTAAAAGGTATTACAAAGTTTTGGTAAAAATATTTAATTCATCTGAAACTCTTTGATGTTATAACAAGATGCTATAGGAATATCTTTAACCAATCTCCCCCGCTGAAATACTTTTTTTTTTTTTGTAGTGAATTAAACAGTAATTAATAAATCAATTATTAGTTCCAAGCTGCCTGTATTTAAACCAGCTCATGTTGTTGTATACTAGCGCCATCTACTGTTGTAAATGGTTCATGGTATAATCGATATTGAAAATGGGCTTTCGCCCCGCTCGGCGCTGACCCCGCTCCACAGCGGGAAAGCCACTGCATTCGCATGGCTAAGGTCCACGGTCTCTTTTAGAGCTCAATGGTTCCAGCATCTGTGTGCGTTTGTGTGAGAGCAAGTACCGTTCAGGATTGTATCGCACAAATCAATGGAGTTATAGTCTCCTAGCTTGCAGAGTGAGTAACCTATGGTTTGACGTACCCGTAAACCCTCCTCCGCAACCGTCTCAATCTAGTCTCAGCTTCGACTGATCAGTCATTTTGATATACATTTATAACAAACAGTTTCAATATGCTACGGGATACATGAAGTCTTATCATTTTTTCCAATTATTATGTCCGTGAAATGCATTCAGAAAAGAATATCAGAAAGAAAGCAATTTGAAAATGAATGACCACACAATCGTTCAAATAAACATGAAAGAAATACAATAAATATGTCTATCCATATACCGCTCTTTCTCTCTCTCTCTCTCTCTCTTTCCTACAGAAGTTCGTTGTAATGTTCATCATACCCTTGGAAGTTTCGAAAATAATCATTTTCACCACATAGACCCTCTCTCTCCGAAATATAGACCCAGGCTCTCTCTGTCACTCTCACTCTCACTTGTTCCCTCTTTCCCTTCCTCTCGCACCCTCTCGATCTCCCTCTCTTCGCCTGGACCTCTGCACTGAATGTTTGACTTGTTTTATGATCATTATTTTCTTTCATTCTCATCTACATTATAACCCCATCAAAAAACTATGATCCTATCACGTTGAATGAAAACTTCTATCGTCTTTGTGATTATTAGTATCTTTGTCATGTATTTATATCACCCTCATTTACATAACCCCGACAAAAGTAATATGGTCCTATCAAGCGAATGAGAACTTCTGTCGTCTTTGTGATTATTATTATTGTTTTCATATATTTATATCACCCTCATTTACATAAGAAAATAAATAATAACAAAAGAAATATGGTCCTATCACGTGAATGAGGACTTTCATCGTTTTTGTGATTATTATTATTGTTGATATATATTTATATCACCCTCATTTACATAACCCCGACAAAAGAAATATGATCCTACACGTGAATGAAAACTTATATCGTCTTTGTGATTATTATTTTTTTTGTCATATATTTATATCATCCTCATTTACATACACCCCAACAATGGTCCTATCACGTGAATGAGAACTTCTATCGTCTTTGTGATTATTATTATTCTTGTCATAAACTCCAACCAAAAACTACTGTCCTATCACATGAATGAGAACTTCTCTCGCTCTTGTGATAATTATTATCTTTGTCATATATTTATATCATCCTCACTTACATACACCCCAACAATGGTCCTATCGCGTGAATGAGAACTTCTATCGTTTTTACGATTATTATTATCCCTGCCAAACATATATTATCATACTCATTTACATGAACCACAACCAAAAAATATGGTCCTATTACGCGAATGAGAACTTCTATAGAAGTTGTCTTCGTGATTATTATTATTGTTGTCATAAACTCCAACCAAACACTACTATCCTATCGAGTGAATGAGAACTTCTCTTGCTTTTGTGATAATTATTATCTTTGTCATATACTTATATCACCCCCATTTGAATGACCCCGACAAAAGAAATATGGTCCTATCACGCGAATGAGAACTTCTATAGTCTTTGTGATTATTATTATTGTTGTCATAACCCAACCAAAAACTACTGTCCTATCACGTGAATGAGAATTTCTCTCGATTTTGTGATAATTATTATCTTTGTCATATTTATATCACCCTCATTTGAATAACCCCGACAAAAGAAATATGGTCCTATCAAGCGAATGAGAACTCTTATCGTCTTTGTGATTATTATTATTCTTGTCATAAAATCCAACCAACAACTACTGTCCTATCACATGAATGAGAACTTCTCTCGCATTTGTGATAATTAGTATCTTTGTCATGTATTTATATCACCCTCATTTACATAACCCCGACAAAAGAAATATGGTCCTATCAAGCGAATGAGAACTTCTGTCGTCTTTGTGATTATTATTATTGTTTTCATATATTTATATCACCCTCATTTACATAAGAAAATAAAAAATAACAAAAGAAATATGGTCCTAACACGCGAATGAGGACTTTTATCGTTTTTGTGATTATTATTATTGGTGTCATATATTTATATCACCCTCATTTACATAACCCCGACAAAAGAAATATGATCCTATCACGTGAATGAAAACTTATATCGTCTTTGTGATTATTATTTTTTTTGTCATATATTTATATCATCCTCATTTACATACACCCAACAATGGTCCTATCGCGTGAATGAGAACTTCTATCGTTTTTACGATTATTATTATCTCTGCCAAACATATATTATCATACTCATTTAAATGAACCACAACCAAAAAATATGGTCCTATTACGCGAATGAGAACTTCTATAGAAGTTGTCTTCGTGATTATTATTATTGTTTTCATATATTTATATCACCCTCATTTACATAAGAAAATAAAAAATAACAAAAAAAATATGGTACTAACACGCGAATGAGAACTCTTATCGTCTTTGTGATTATTATTATTCTTGTCATAAAATCCAAACAAAAACTACTGTCCTATCACATGAATGAGAACTTCTCTCGCATTTGTGATAATTAGTATCTTTGTCATGTATTTATATCACCCTCATTTACATAACCCCGACAAAAGAAATATGGTCCTATCAAGCGAATGAGAACTTCTGTCGTCTTTGTGATTATTATAATTGTTTTCATATATTTATATCACCCTCATTTACATAAGAAAATAACAAAAATAACAAAAGAAATATGGTCCTAACACGCGAATGAGGACTTTTATCGTTTTTGTGATTATTATTATTGGTGTCATATATTTATATCACCCTCATTTACATAACCCCGACAAAAGAAATATGATCCTATCACGTGAATGAAAACTTATATCATCTTTGTGATTATTATTTTTTTTGTCATATATTTATATCATCCTCATTTACATACACCCCAACAATGGTCCTATCGTGTGAATGAGAACTTCTATCGTTTTTACGATTATTATTATCCCTGCCAAACATATATTATCATACTCATTTACATGAACCACAACCAAAAAATATGGTCCTATTACGCGAATGAGAACTTCTATAGAAGTTGTCTTCGTGATTATTATTATTGTTGTCATAAACTCCAACCAAACACTACTATCCTATCGAGTGAATGAGAACTTCTCTTGCTTTTGTGATAATTATTATCTTTGACATATACTTATATCAACCCCATTTGAATAACCCCGACAAAAGAAATATGGTCCTATCACGCGAATGAGAACTTCTATAGTCTTTGTGATTATTATTATTGTTGTCATAACCCAACCAAAAACTACTGTCCTATCACGTGAATGAGAACTTCTCTCGTTTTTGGGATAATTATTATCTTTGTCATATATTTATATCATCTCATTATTTTGAATAACCCCGACAAAAGAAATATGGTCCTATCACGCGAATGAGAACTCTTATCGTCTTTGTGATTATTATTATTCTTGTCATAAAATCCAACCAAAAACTACTGTCCTATCACATGAAAGAGAACTTCTCTCGCATTTGTGATAATTAGTATCTTTGTCATGTATTTATATCACCCTCATTTACATAACCCCGACAAAAGAAATATGGTCCTATCACGCGAATGAGAACTTCTATCGTCTTTGTGATTATTATTATTGTTGTCATATATTTATATCACCCTCATTTACATAAGAAAATAAATAATAACAAAAGAAATATGGTCCTATCACGCGAATGAGGACTTTTATCGTTTTTGTGATTATTATTATTGTTGTCATATATTTATATCACCCTCATTTACATAAAACCCGACAAAAGAAATATTGTCCTACCACGCGAATGAGAACTTCTATCGTCTTTTGTGGTTATTATTAGTCTTGTCATAAACTCCAACCAAAAACTACTGTCCTATCACATGAATGAGAACTTCTCTTGCTTTTGTGATAATTATTATCTTTGTCATAATTATATTACCCTTATTTAAATAACCCCGACAAAAGAAATATGGTCCTATCACGCGAATGACAACTTCTATCGTCTTTGTGACGTATTATTATTCTTGTCATAAACTCCAACCAAAAACTACTGTCCTATCACGTGAATGAGAACTTCTCTTGCTTTTGTTATAATTATTATCTTTGTCATAATTATATTACCCTCATTTACATAACCCCGACATAAGTCCTATCACGCGAATGAGAACTTCTATCGTCTTTATGATTATTATTATTCTTGTCATAAACTCCAACCAAAAACTACTGTCCTATTACGTGAATGAGAAGTTCTCTCGTTATTGTGATTACTATTATATTTGTCATATTTATATCATCCTCATCTACATAACCCTAAAAAAAAATATATGGTCCTATATCACTCGAATGAGAACTTCTAGAGAGAGAGAGACAAAGTTGGAGCGAAAGAAAGAGAGAGAGAGGTGTGTGGATAAAGAAAGAGAGACAGTCATCAGACAGACGGTCACAGACCGACAGAGAGAGAGACTAACAAGTGATATGGATATAGAAATAATTGTAGAAAGGGATAAACGAGGTGATGCGATGAGAGGGAGAGAGAGAGAGAGAGAGAGAGAGACAGACAGATTATATACAATATACATCAAAAGAGAAATAAATAGAGAAAGGGTAGAATGGTATGGGGTACTGAGAAATAAAGAGTGAGGGAAAGAAAATGGGAGAAATAAAGATAGCGAGAGAGAAGAGAGAGAGAGAGAGAGAGAGAGAAAGGAGAGAAGGGATAGAGAGGGATACAAAAGAGAGGGGGGAGATGAGAGGGATATAGAAGCGACAGAGAGAGAGAGAGAGAGGGTGAGAGAGAATATCAAGTGAGAGTGTTATAACACGGACCTGGTCAATGCAGTTGGTGCATGGTTATGAGACGGAGGCGAAGAATATAATTCAATTATACGGAAAGAGAGAGGTTAGCCCAAACACGTGTAGCAATTACTGGCCTCTACCAGAGGTCATTAGGCTAAATAAACAAGCGTACCGTACCCGTAAACTCACAAAGGGATGATCTCAAAATAAGAATGTGCAGTATACACATAATCGACTGTTCGGGAAAACGTCGTCAACCTTATTATTGATTTATCTTCGTTTGTAAGATTAAACGTATCTTCTTTATTTTTAATAAAGAAATGCAAAATAAATAATGTTACGTTCTGTATATAAATGATTACCCAAACTGTCCCCGTACAACGACTTTGGGGAGTATTTTGAGATTATCCCTAAAAAAAATGTGCTCTGAAATTCTTCTGGCCAATCCGGCCCTACACACATAGACTAATACACGTACACACGTAACATGTACTATACGTACACAGGGATCAATGCACAGGGATCAATGCCAGATCTTTGCAGTTCATCACGGCCAATTGACTTGACCAAAATACAGGCAATATGTGCGTTCGTTCACAGAGCTGGCGAACAACAATATTATCAAAGTCGAGCAATAACAAATGCATTTCAAAGTTGAAAACACAGAAACGATTAAGAGAGGGAAATGGAAAAATGAGTTGAAGAGAACAACACAGGATATTCCGGTCCGCGCAGGAAATTCATAGATTAACGTACGTAAGTACAGTAAAGATGGTGACGGTCCGATCGATTATAAAATTATATATTGCGATTACAGTGTACAGACAAGTATATTTTTCTTCAAATTTAGGAGACAGTATAAAAATCTTACACTAAGGCAACTCGACTTTAAAATAATTATCTTCATGATTATATATATTGTTTAAGACTGGTAATATGATTGGGTGTCAAAACATGTTAATTATTACACTTTGACAATAGTGCTATGTATGTGTTATGCTGTTCAGATGACATATAAATTTTCGAACTGAGAGGGAGCTATACCAAATTTACCGGGAGTACCGGTAAATTTTTTTATTTTTTAAAATTTTAATAACTCCAAATCAAAAGCTTTTTAGAGCCCAATTTTTTTAGAGTTGGGTGTTCTAACACTATATTTCACAATAGTAATGCAAATTTTAAATTTCATGATCCAATCCTGATGAAATATTCCCAAAACTTTGTAATACCTTTAATGAGTGAATGACAAGTTGAATCTCATAGACATACAATGTAACTCTGAAATATATTACAATATCTAAATTATTCAATGTTAAAATAGAACAAATCTATCACTTTTTACAAAGGGGAGAAAAAGGATTAAGACAGAGAGAGAAAGTGAGAGAGAGAGGGAGAGGGAGAGGGAGAGAGAGATAGAGATAGAGAAAGGGAGAGAGAGAGAGAGAGAGAGAGAGAGAGAGACGGGAAGGAGAGAGAGAGAGAGAGAGATCAAGAAGCAGTGAATAGACTTACTTGACATTTCTTTGAGTATGTCCACCATGAAAGGTTCAGAATCGCCTCTGTTCAAGTAATTCTCAGTCGCTGTTAATAATTTCTACATACAGATGCAAACAATAAATAACATACAAAATATAAGTACAAAGAAATACAAACAAACACAATATTTTCATCTGAGTTATTTTGATCAAATTTTGAAATTTCAGATTTTTTTTTTTTAAATTTCAGATTTTCAAGTTCGTATCTGGTCTACAGGCATGAACATATCAGTCCTAACAATTCTTCACAATTGAAGAATTTAGAACAAAACTTATAAAAGGACAATAAGTGACAGAAACTCTAATACCGACATGAAATCAGACTGCAATACAAAAGGAAAGGATCATTACATCATCGAGTAAGCTAGAACACCATTATTACATTATCCCCAGTGAAAGCATAGTAATCCCTCAGGGACTTTAAAAAGCTAACAGAAGTGGAATTAATCTTTTTTATGCTAGTACAGTTATTGCAATTCTACCAAAATAGAGTTGGTAGACACAAAATAGAATTGGGAAACAAAATATATGGTCTTTATAGAAAGGTGGTCTTTCTAAACAGGTGGTTGCTATAGCAGGCTTGACTGAAATTTTTATCTTTGTGACATACCTGGGAAAGTACTTTAAAATATATGGTCATAATAGAAAGGTGGTCTTTCTATACAGGAGGTGGCTAAAGCAGGCGTGACTGTAACTTTTAGTTTTTGTGACATACCTGGGAAAGTTTTGAAAATATATGGTCTTTATAGAAAGGTGGTCTTTCTATACAGGTGGTGGCTAAAGCAGGCTTGACTGTAACTTATAGTTTTTGTGACATACCTGGGAAAGTTTTTAAAATATATGGTCTTTATAGAAAGGTGGTCTTTCTATACAGGTGGTGGCTAAAGCAGGCTTGACTGTAACTTTTAGTTTTGTGACATACCTGGGAAAGTACTTTCAAATATATAGTTTTTTTTAAGAAAAGGTGGTCTTTCTAAATAGATGGTGGCTATAGCAGGCTTGACTGTAACTTTTAGTTTTGTGACATAGTCTACCTGGTAAAGTACTTAAAAATATATGGTCTTTATAGAAAGGTGGTCTTTTTTAACAGGTGGTGGCTAAAGCAGGTTTGACTGTAACTTTTAGTTTTGTGACATAGCCTACCTGGGAAAGCACTTTACAAAATATGGTCTTTATAGAAAAGGTGGTTTTTTTAAACAGGTGGTGGCCATAGCAGGCTTTACTTTAACTTTTAGTTTTGTGACATACCTGGGAAAGTACTTTAACCCCACCCAGTTCAAACAGTGTCTTCTGGTAGGACTGGTCCCGGAGGAACAGCCTCAAGACGATGAGCACCCGGACAATGTGCTCCGTCGGAACTCGCTCTACCCATTCTCTGCGAAGGAAAATAAGAGGGCTTTATGTTACAAGACAGTTGAAAGCAAGAAGAGCATGACTAAGTAATAATAATCTAGAATATTTAGGAGTGCCAAAAACAGTACGTACCTAGCGCTTACAAATAAAAAATATTTGAAAAGAGGATAAAAATGAGTCTCACAGGAACTAGAGCACAAAGATCACTGGGGAAAAGGTAAGTTATGAATAAGAATGCCATTATTATATTGTCCTTGGCGAAAGCACCCCATAGGAAAGAAATGAGCCTGCCGCATACTCCTGCGGCAGACTTGCCGCAGATCTGCAGCAGACCTGCCGCAGACAGTCATCTTTTTCACATGCAAATTAGTTTTGCCGCAGACTTGCCGCATACTCTTTCAGTATGATGAAGAGTCTGCGGCAGGTCTGCTGCAGACTTGCTGCAGACCTGCCGCATACTCTTTCAGTATGATGAAGAGTCTGCGGCAGGTCTGCCGCAGACTTGCCGCATACTCTTTCAGTATGATGAAGAGTCTGCGGCAGGTCTGCGGCAGACTTGCTGCAGACCTGCCGCATACTCTTTCAGTATGATGAAGAGTCTGCGGCAGGTCTGCCGCAGACTTGCTGCAGACTTGCCGCATACTCTTTCAGTATGATGAAGAGTCTGCGGCAGGTCTGCCGCAGACTTGCTGCAGACCTGCCGCAGACTCTTCGTCATGAATATTCATATCTCATATAGACCTGCTGCAGACCTGCCGCATACTCTTTCATATCCAGTACGTGGCAATAAAGTATGCATGTAGAAGAACCAGTGATAAACTGATTGATACTTCGTAATCGATATTGGCAATAACGATATTACCAATTAGGTAATCCCAATATATATATATATATATATATTACCAATTAGGTATATTCTATTCTCAATTGTATTAACTTCATCACATTGATCATTTGAAGTGTATTCAAGAGTAACATTTAAAGTGACACAGGCTCGTACACATATATATACTAAATATGTATATTGTTTCTTGGTTAGTAATCATAGTTTCTTGGTTAGTAATCAATATATCTATTGCTTAAACGTGAATGTAATTGTAACATGATCAGACAAAATAATCTATTGGTTAATAATGGCAAAAGGAAAATAGAAATCACAAAAATGATGTGCATTGTCTTAATTTGCTTAACAAATCATGATAAATGTATTTTTCTGTCACACGTGTAAAGTAATAATGAATATGCATGAGATGATTGGTTTCAATTGGCCCTATTAGACTTTAATGGGATTTCCTGTGGCAGACCTGCCGCAGACTGTTCCTGTGGCGTTCTTGTATGCGGCAAGTCTGGAGCAAAGTTTCGCCCTGCCGCAGATCTGCCGCAGACTGTTCCTGTGGCATACTAGTATGCGGCAAGTCTGCAGCAAAATTTCATCCTGCCGCAGATCTGCTGCAGACTGTTCCTGTGGCATACTAGTATGCGGCAAGTCTGCAGCAAAATTTCATCCTGCCGCAGATCTGCCGCAGACTGTTCCTGTGGCATACTGGTATGCGGCAAGTCTGCAGCAAAATTTCATCCTGCCGCAGATCTGCTGCAGACTGTTCCTGTGGCATACTAGTATGCGGCAAGTCTGCAGCAAAATTTCATCCTGCCGCAGATCTGCCGCAGACTGTTCCTGTGGCATACTGGTATGCGGCAAGTCTGGAGCAAAGTTTCATCTTGCCGCAGATCTGCCGCAGACTGTTCCTGTGGCATACTAGTATGCGGCAAGTCTGCAGCAAAATTTCATCCTGCCGCAGATCTGCCGCAGACTGTTCCTGTGGCATACTGGTATGCGGCAAGTCTGCAGCAAAATTTCTTTCTGCCGCATACTTCGGCATACTCTTTGCCGCAGACTTTTAGTCTGCGGCAGGTCTGCTGCAGATCTGCGGCAGGTCTGCGGCAGGTCTGCGGCATACTTTTCACTTTCCTATGGGACAGTAATCCTCCAGCTACTTTAAAATGCTTACAGAAGTGGAACTAATCTTTTGTATGCTTGTATAGTATTGTCATTCTACCATTATGCATGAACAGTGTATACATGTGTTCACTAATAACTATCATGTGTAGACACACATTTATACACTTACATATCCCATAAAAACAATTAAAATGTAATAGTCCATGTAGCCAAAGAAACACAACTAACTGAGAAACTTAAACATTCCTTACATTTGTATACATGATCATGCACTACCTAGTAAGTTTCACAGCAGTTTAGAGCATTAGGGTGGCAAAGTGTTATATGCCACTACAGAAATATCAACTTCATCCAATCAGCTCAAATAGTGTCTGCTATATCAATACTTACGAGCAACATAATCTGTGCTTGACTATTGCTGTAAAAATCTGTGAAAATCAAACACAAACAATATACATGTAAGAGTATGCAATCTCATTAGAGTATACATTTATTGACAGATTTTAATCAAATTATGGAACAGCTCATTGTAATGATTGCACATTTCGAGAGACAATTTGTTCATCAATTGTTCATGAACCTCAAGAACCCAAATTCTTATATTTTAATGGAAACATAAAAACAAAATTCTGTACATTTAAATATACTTATCCAATCGTAGGTTAACTAACACTAGATTTTTTACTACTGATGACAATAATACCAAGAGCTCCAGATATAATTTCATTTCTAAACCATCTTATAAATACTTTGAAGGGGATGGTTATGATTATTTTCCATTTTATTCAATCATTCATTCATTTCCGTAACAAAAAACAAACAAAAAAACTATAAACATATTCCCCCCCCCCCCAAAAAAAAAAGGATTTTTTTTTTTTTTTTTTCCCCTCTTTTTTTTCTTCCTTTCTTTTTTCTTCTTAAATAGAGACAGTTCAATATATGCATGGAAAAACACACATGGGGCATAATTTCAAATTTCAGATTGAAGCAAACTGTAAAAGAATGAAAAATAGAAAAAGGAACCCCCTGCAGAATTTAAAAAGTTTTAGAGGCACTCACCTGATCAAACTGCTTGTTGAAAACATGACCGCTGAAATTCCTTTCTGTCTGGTACTTAGAACTGAAGCTCTCCAGAGCGGATGCCTCAAATATCTGGTGTTGATGGCTGTAGCCATTGCCGTTTGGAGGGGAGCAGTGGAGACCGACCGTCGTGGATGAGCCATGTTGGAAGCCCTTGCCATCTGGGCTGTTGTTGTTATTGTTGTTATTGCCAGCGTCAAAGTCGAGGGGAGGTAGCTGCATGTATGGCGGACATGCACAAGAAGAGGTTTATAAAAGAAACAGTAGAGATTGAATGTCGTTCTGAATAATTCCCATACTTGCACTTACAGGGATGGCAGTTAGAATTGATCAGAGGGCCTGAAAATCACCTAGAATGAGCTATTTTGTACACAAAAAGCCTAAAGTATAGTCTGAAAATAACTCGCCAGGGCCTGAATTCAGGCTATTGCCTGAAAATTGGCATTCCTGCACTAATTTATTTCTTTTGTCTACCATAAGGTTTTGTCCACCTTTTTATTCTTAGATTCATGATTAGGCTAATAGTCTTTTCTTCTTAGACCCACCTTCTTAACTTGCAAAGATTGGTCAATATTTCAATCATTGTACATGTTCATTTAGATATTTGTGTAATAATCAGTTATGAATCCAACACCCTGAATGGTAGAAGGTCATGACCATGTTCTATCAATGTATATCAATCTCTGTTTTAAGGGTATACCATTCTCTTTAAGATGATTGCTCTCTTCCATACCCCCCCCCCCCTCCCTCTCCCGCATTTCCCCTCCTCTCTCATCCTCACAATTTATTAATGTTTGTCTTTTTCTCCCCCTCTCACTCTACTCAATATCGATATAGTATCTGCTTCAAACCATCTCCATTCATATTTTCCCTTTTAAGCTATCCTTTGTATCACCTCTATTTGGTCACCCTCTTTCTCCTACCCCCCCCCCCCACACACACAATATTTGTTATGTTTGCCTCCCCCCCCCCTCTCACTCCACTTAATACCCATCTCTGCTTCAGAACATCCCCATTTAGCTATCCCTTTCTACCTTTTTTTGGTCTGTCTCTCCCCCCCCCCCCCCCACACCCCCCTCTTATCCTTCTATGAATCTTGATACATACACTCAATCAAGATTTCAATCTCCACCATACCTGTTGTTTGTTTGACGGTGTACTAAGAAGCCGTAGTAGTTTATCCAACTCCTTGTCCCTGGAAGAAAAACAAAAACAAAAACATATTAAGATATTTACCATAAGCAGAATAAGAAAAAGAAATCATTTTGCAATTCTATAGCTTCCTCACTTAGGAAGTTTAATACTGATTATGGCTATAAATGCAATAAAGCAACCATAATTTGTTATGAATTGTAGAGAATACTCCTGCTCTTGATTTGAAATTCATTTTGGTAGATTAAATCAATAACTCTTTCATTGTTTTATTCATATCAGCATTCCTTTGATGAACATGCTATCTGATTTTCACGCAACCATGAAAAAGCTCATCAAATCATGCAGAAGAAATCACCATGGTAACATAGACAAGAATTTCAAAACAAAGCCTATACTATACGTACGTGTGTTAGATGAGGTTCTGGTTTGTGGCTATGATAATTCAATCATCAATTTGCTATACACTTTGTATTAAATGTTAAACATACAGGTAATGCTTCAGGGATCCTTGTGTTTCAAAGTATACACATGTATAACGGAAAGAGCAATGAGATGAATAGTACATGTACATGTACATGTACGTATATGTACACTGTATATCAGCCAAAATGGAAATAATGTTGCAGAGTTAGCTTGTAAGCACCATCTTTTAATTTCTAGTGCTTATATAGATCCTTATCATTTAATATTTTGTTTCCAATTGTATAAGATCGATACATACTGTACAGGCACATATGCTAGTTTATAAATTTGTGGTGCCTTTTTAAAAGGTAAAGAAAAAAGTAGATTTCTAGTTCTACATACATGTACGGTTCATTGGTACCGCCTGTCTTCACTTGAAGAGTACAAAATTCAATATAAAATGAATAAAAACGGAATGTAATCAAATAGATGTTACACTGTACATTCTCTGCTCTATCGATTTTCAAGGGCATTTTCTGCTTTGCAATGTTCAAGCATGCCATGTCTTTGTACTGATTACATTAGGAGGGTGTGGTGAGATGAAAGGAAAATTAGATTCCGCTTCGACTTCCATTAAGGATACATCTCCATAATGTAAGAGACAGGAGCGGGAAATAGAGAGATAAGAGTAAATTGAAGAAGTATGAGCAAGAGAAATGAGTAAGAGAAATGAGTAAGAGAGAGAAGCGTACATTATGTATGTGCGATTACGCATACAACTATAGAAGACCATGAACTGAAAGAGAGAGAGAGAAAGAAAGAGAGAGAGAGAAAGAAAGAGAGAGAGAGAGGGAGAGATGGAGAGAGAGATGGAGAGTGAGATGGAGAGAGAGAGTGGGAGGGGTGAGCAAGAAAAGGATAAATCATGGAATGGATATAGACAATTGGAGTCAGAAGAAATTTAAATAACATATAGGTGAGATGAGATGAAGAGAGAGAGAGAGAGAGAGAGAGAGAGAGAGACGGAGAGTGGGATGGAGAGAGAGGGGGTGAGCAAGAAAAGGATAAATCATGGAATGGATATAGACTATTGGAGTCAGAAGAAATTCAAATAACATATAGGTGAGATGAGATGAGATGAAGAGAGAGAGAGAGAGAGAGAGAGAGAGATGGAGAGTGAGATGGAGAGAGAGTGGGTGAGCAAGAAAAGGATAAATCATGGAATGGATATATATAGACTATTGGAGACAGAAGAAATTTAAATAACATATAGGTGAGATGAGATAATGAGAGAGAGAGAGAGAGAGAGAGAGAGAAAGAAAGAGATGGAGAGTGAGATGGTGAGAGAGTGGGAGGGGGTGAGCGAGAAAAGGATAAATCATGGAATGGATACCGACTATTGGAGACAGAAGAAAATTCTAATAACATTAGAAGCAATGACATCTACACTTTGAGAGTACTTTTCACACTCCCGTAAATAAGAATGAACATGTTCATGCATGGCCGAAGTCTACAAAGTATTGAATCATATTATGAGTCACTTCAGAGTACCACACCAGGATACCTATAATCCGGTTTGACATGTTTATTGGGAGTATACATGTAAGTACATAATGTTCATTTTAACAGGGGCTGAGAGCAATAAAACATATTAAAGGTTACAAATCAGATTAACTTTCCTGAATTTGATTACAAGCACTTCCAAGAAGATGGCAAGAAGTGTGCAGATGCAAATATCATGCATTCACCCTTTTTACAGAAAGAATTTAATTGTAGACATGTGCTCATGTACCAAATTTCTTCCAAATTGAATTGTAGGCTTGTCTTTAACATTCAGTGAAACTTTCGATTTGTGAGAATTTATTTTCTGTCATTTAAAGGCCTCAAGCACTTTACACGGTACACTGTAAATGATAATTTTTGTGAAAAGCCACACTAGATTTAAGATGACCCTTACCTTTTGACATCCGTGTGCCGGTGCTTCTTGTCTCCGCTGGGCATCTTGACCACTTAGTCGCATGCCAGAGATCCAGCCGTTGAGGGCAGGCTTCACATTAGAGTCGCTCAAGTCCGCTTGGTACAATCAGGAGTTAATAGAGGTGGATCAGGTCATAGTCTCCAGCAGTTCTCTTTGATTGTTTTGGGGGATTTCTGAAATGAGAAATTAAAAATACCTGTATGTTTAGTGCAGATTTTTCATTTTATGGCACACACTATGTTCTACTTGGAAAATCAAAACCTGAAACTTCCAAGTGAAAAATATGAAACATACACAAAAAGAAGTTGAAAGAGAGTGAGAGAGAAAGAGAAAAAAGGAAAAGGGAAGATAGAAAAAGAGAAAGAGAAAGAGAGAGAGAGAGAGAGGGGGGAGAGAGATGAGAGAGAGAGAGGAGGGGAAGAGAGATGAGAGAGAGAGAGAGAGAGAGAGAGAGAGAGAGAGAGAGAGAGAGATATAGAGAGAATATAGAGAGCGAGAGAGAGAAGAGAGAGAGGGAGAGAAGAGGGAGAGAGAAGAGGGAGAGAGAAGAGGAAGGGAGAGAGAAGAGGGAGAGAGAAGAGGGAGAGAGAGAGAGAAGAGGGAGAGAGAGAGAATAAGAGAGAGAATAAGAGAGAGAGGAGAGAGAGAGAGGAGAGAGAGTGTGAGAGAGGAGGGAGGGAGATGGGGAGAAAAAAAATAGCATATACAAGAAGAGAGGACTTGGGTGAGAATAACTACACGTAGGATAATTATCATATCTCATTTCTCATCTGGTGTGTTCTCATGCTTGAGTCAATGGGCAGGGCACACTATTCACATTACATGAATCAGTAAGTTCACACAATTGAGTAACACCTGTTATAAGGCTACATGCATATGAGCAGGTTTAAAACACCACTGCACTACTTATAGCTACTTGCGCCCTCTATATAGCAAACATTGCCTTATCGGTGACCACTGGTCCCCCATGATCCCCTTTTTTTTATACGTTAATTGAGAGCTGATTTGATGAGACAACCACCTATCAGTGACCATGCAGGGAGGTCTAATCCCTCCTGGCCAAACTAGTGCAGTCTGGCTTTCAAGCATACCAATCTTAAAGAACAAAATTAAGTGTAATGTATATACTGTAGCTAGAGTGCATAGAATCAAACCTTTAAAAAATAAGAATGAAGACTTAGTTCAGAAAAATTCCCTGCCTTCCAAATCGATATCAAAGCAAACACTTTTTCTGCTCACTTTTAATACATGTACATGCACAAGTATGACCTTGTAATATATTATCAAAAACAAGTTTAACAAAATTTAAAGTCAAATTCTAATAAACAATCTGTGCCATCTCATGTATAGATGCTCAACAGTGATTGTAAGAATTTGGAAAATATGAAGCTGGATAAATGTAAATTACGGTAAATGCTGAGGCTTTAAAAATGCAAGGCAACCTGGAACAAGTGAATAATCCATGGACGATGGATGGACTTGCCCACTGAATACTCCCGATCGCAATCTACTCAGCAATACATCCATCCAATATCAAAATATCCAGCAGGAGAATGACAAACAACTCTATACAGTAGTTAATTAAATTGTTCAGCTGCCTTTGGAAGGGAATACAACCACAATCCTTTTGCTGAGAATACTGTAATGACTCAAGTCAACGTTAATAAACTGCACTGTAAGCTTGGCAATAGAAAAGTGGTTGTTCATGAATAATTAACCTTAAACTAAATTATTAATAAAACCAACCAACTTGCATTGAGGTTTATGTACATGTAGAGTGTAGACAAACGATTGCTATTTCTCCTGATATCATGGATTAAAGGTAAAGACCAGTTTGGAAATGCCCCCCCCCCCCTCTCAAAATATGAAATGGAAGCTTTTATTACCAATCATGTCAATGAATATGTTTTGACTAATACGTGATCATACAAATTTTGCCGAGAAACCTATAATAATTAATATATTTGGTAAATTATTATATCTATTTGGACCTGATAGATATAATGCACATGTCGCGCACGTGTGGGGGTAGTCCCATATACATCTTGCTGTGTACAGTGTTTGTAACTTTATCAAGACTGGGCCAAATTTCTTATCATTTTGATGATTCCAGAACCTTGCAGTACACACCAATACTTATATGCTAGACGATCAACCTTTTCTAATCGATTCCATAACGTTTCTTTCACAATGCAATCGCATGACCATAACTTGTCTTTATCTTTAGACTAAAATATCTGTCTATATAATTAATACTCATAAATAAATTGTTAAAACTTGTTTAAATCTACATGTTGTAAAGATGACCAAAAGTAATCCAATTAGTTATAAAGAGTCTGGTGTGTATAGACTAGTCTCTAACCATTTAGCTACCGAAGATGTGGATCCAGCATAAAGACCACACTGTTTAGATTAATGGTTTCAATTACTAGACAGAAGTGACACCAGTAAAGTTGGAGTTGATGCCTTTCTACAAGTACATTGTAGCTCCATACAAACGATCTAATAAGTAATAAATAACCTCCAATCAGTTATAAAGAGTCTGGTGTAACTAGACTAGTCTCTAACCATTTAGCTACTGAAGATGTAGAACCACTTAGCATAAAGACCACACTGTTTAGATCGATGGTTTCAATTACTAGACCGAAGTGACAGCGGTATACATGTAGGTAGTTGATGCCTTTCTACAAGTAGCTCCATACAGACAATCTACATGTAATAAGTTATAAATTACCTGGCAATCAGTTATAAAGAGTCTTGTGTGCATAGACTACACCATGTAGCCTCTAACCATTTAGCTACTGAAGATACAGGTATATGGAACCACTTCGGATAAAGACCACACAGTTATACTGTTTTCACACTGGCAATATTTTGCTTAACCCTGTACTATAGGTGGGGTTAAGGGGGGGGGGGGGGGTCTTAGCCCCACCTATAGTACGGGGTTAAGCCTATTCCACTTTCTGTTCAGACTGGTTTTTACCAAAGTGGGCTAAAGTTGGCTAACCCCACCTATAGTACGGGGTTAACTAACCCTGCAAAATAGCAGGGCTAACTCCGCAATTGTGGTGCTAACTCCTGCTAACCCCGCAATTGCGGTGCTAAGCAAATGAATGAGAACAGAAACGAAAAATAGTCCGGTACTACGCAATGGAGCGTATCGCAGCTGGCCAGATGCGAAGTATGTCCAATCATAACATACACGATATCCGGGGTTAACGAAATGCAGTGAGAACAGCGGGAATTTTCTTATTCCGGAATAGGCGCTAGTACGGGACTAACAAAAGCGTGTGTGAAAAGCCAAAAAAAAATAGTCCAGGGTTAAGGATAGTACGGGGCTAAGCAAAGTACGGGGTTAAGCAAAACCAGTGTGAAAAGAGTATTAATAGATTGATAAGTTCAATTATTACACAGAAGTGACAACCATACAGGGAGTTAATGCCTTTTTACAACTACAAGTAGCTCCATGCATACAATCTAACAAGTTATAAATAACCTCTAATCAGTTATAAAGAGTCTGGTGTGTATAGACTAGTCTCTAATCAATAGCTACTGAAGATGTGGATTCACTTAGCATAAAGACCACACTGTTTAGATCGATGGTTTCAATTACTAGACAGAAGTGACAGCAGTATAGGGGAGTTCATGGCCCAATCGCAAGGTGCATGCTTTGTGAAGTAGATGGGAGTTTCTTCAATCATTTGCTATTAGTGTCAAGTGATTAAAGGTATTACACTTCCAAGTTGTGATAGAGATTGATGGTATATAATGGCCTGTTGAGACAGGTTTATAGGAAAGGAATGGAAAGGAAAGAAATAGTGTATAAATAACACTGTATAAAGTGACAAGAGCGTACATAGAAACTAGAAAACAACATTAAGTAAAGAAACGATAAAGAAATACACTTTAAAGGGGTAAAAAAAGTATTACTAGTAGTACGCCTGTACACATAATATTAATGATGACTCCTTGAAGATTTTTAGGCAGATGTTACCCAAAGACTCTCATTAAACAATCAATACATCATTTGCAAAATATGCTGATTCCAGGGGCTGGTCTATTTTCACACTGTACATATTTACATCGATCTCATTGTGATTCATAGATTGCCATGGAAACCAGAGTTTACAGAGCGAGCTGCATGCTGCAGTAGATTGGTATGGGATTAAGACACAAGTTCACTTTCTAGTTTCGTCCTTACAAGCTTTCTAATCAATAAAAAAAGCGTTGCTTTCATTCATATACATGTAGGGTACTGAAACAAGAAAATCTTCCAAGTATGAGACTGTCATGAATTACGACCCTTGAGCAAGGGTAGTCAGGATTTTCAAAAGTTGAATGCCGTTAAAGAATCAAATTAAATTGCATTTATCTTTATGATCACACCATTTTGGAAATTTATGAAATCTCTTGCCATGAAAGTGGCTGCCAGTTAAGACAGTTGTCTGATTTTGTTAGGCTTCATGCCGCAAATTTCTGACTTTACATTACCGTTACTGCAATAAGAATATGAGGAATCCAATCAGTTCATAAAAGCAGACAAAAATTAACATAGGCTGTACATGCCTATGTACAATTTATCAATTTCTCTATACATCACAGTTGAATACTTGCAACAAAGCAGTTCACACATTTGTCCATAAATGGTGTCCTTTCCAAATTCACAGGCAGTACAAAGAATTTAAACAAATGGTGACAGAAAGGTTGAACATTTCTTTTAGCATTTCTTTGAACAATGTTTGCAAGTAAATCCATTATTAACCTCTACACCACCTGCCTTGTGTTAAAGACTGCTTTCCTGGCCTACCTTTACTTTAGATGCCTTCAGCCAGATACAAGTACATGGGGTTAACAAAACTCATTTGATGTATTCCAAAGGTAAAATGTAACAAGCAAACACAAAATAATTATTCCAAAAACAGACACACATCAGTGTATATACTGTATAGTCACCTTCCAGTGACTTTCTCCAACTACATAGCTGAATCTATCAAAAGCTCAAAGTAATTTCCTTATATTCTGTATATCCTTTAGTGAAGAGAGACAGGAGCATGTGTGAGCAGAGTTTGAAGTTGATTCTTGAGAAAGCCGAGATATTCTTTGAAAATTCTTTATCAACAGGATGTTGTTTCATATGGCCTATAAAATACCATTGAAGTTCCAAAACAGATAA